TCGGTATTTCCTACTGTCCAAATTAAAAATATCGCTATTTCATACCTTTCACAAGTATAATATCGAAATTCATAATGCCAAAACCTTATAATATAGCAATTTCAGGGTGCCGATATTCATAAAATCGAAATTCCTACTGTCGAAATTTCATACTTTGGAACGCATAATATCGACACTGATTATACCGAAATTCATAATGTCGATAGGCGCAATGTCGAAATTTCTCAATGTCGAAATACCTAATGTCGAAAAATCATTATTTTGAAATTTTCAATGGGAGATTTATACTGTCGAAAATCATGATGTCGAAAATGTCGAAATAAATAATGCCTAAACTTCATGATGCCGAAATATCATTACGTCGAAATTTCGTGATGTCGGATTCATAATTTCGAAATTCTTGCTGTCGACATTCATATCATCGCAACTATAATATCGAAACTTCATATACCGACGATTCATACTGTCAAAACGTACATATAATTTCGAAGTCCAGAATACTGCACTCGATAATGCCGAAAATCCATAATGTCGAAATTTCGGCATTCTGAATGTTGACCTCTTCAAAGTAATCCATCTCGGCTATTTCCAGAGCAACGAAGTTGTCCTTTCCTTCACCAACTTATGAATTTTCGACCAAGTTTTTCAGCGAGAGCTATAAGAAAAGAAGCCCCAGCGGCCAGGGGCATAAAAAATGGATTGTTCCGGCGACAAAAAGGTGCCCAAATTTTCATATTCTTGAGTGCGGAGTAGGAGGCGGGGGGGGAGGGGGGGAGGAGGACCCTGGAGGGCCCCCTCCACCTCCCTCTCAAAAGGTGCGTCGCGGAATTTGATTTTTTTCGTGCTCACCCCTGGGGGGGCATAAGCTTCTGGATGCGGCCGCGGGGGTTATAACTAACGTGCGTAAGGGAGCATCGAGTGGACAACAAGGTACTACGAAAGATACAGCGGAAAGCGGTTCTTATACACTATCGGGGGGCGCAAACCGTTTCCTCAGGCTCTATTTTTTTCTAATAAAAATTGTGTGATACACTGTTCCTTACTGTCCCTAAAAGTAAGCAATTTACAAATCTAGGTACTTTCGCATTAACGGGGGGAGGTTATCAAGGTAAACCGAGTTTTCTAGTCTTCGATTTTTCTAATACAACAGCCGGCTTAATATTTAACGAAATCTCAGGTGGAAAGTCCCCCAAAAAAAAGACAATTTTGAAATCTGGTGGAAAAATCGTGTCTTTTTGTAATTTTATACAAATTTTGTGAATTTTTACGCCCTGATTAGAAAAATTTCACCCCCCCCCCCTGATAACGACACAGAACCGTAAAACCTGCGGTTAAAAAGGCAAAGAATCCGGAAAATCTAGATGCAAAATCCACAAAAAAGGGGCGCACGAGATAAAAACGGCTAATTCGTTTAGGCAGCCGGTCGGATATGCGGGGGGGAAGCGGACAAAAAGCCTGGAGGGCAGCAGCAGGATTGGCCCCCTGGGGGTGGAATGGAATTATGCAAACACAATGGGAACGGCCCCCGACATCCCAACAAAAACCCTCCGCTTCAAATCTATGCCCTTTTACGGGTTCGGCGTCCACTTGTGGTGAAAATTAACAATAAGTTAAAAAAAATAGCATAGCACGAAATGTAAGAAGGGGCAAATCATGCTTTAACTCTATTCTCCAATTTTTCCTAATATACAAAGAGGAAATGTTTTTAAACCGTACGCAGGTTATACAAATTTCTAGTAAAAATATAAAATATATCGATCCTAGGGCCAAAACTGACCATTTTCGACAAAGTTTTGGATTGAAAAGTAACCGTAAAGCTCGGCAAAAACCCAAGCCCCCCCGATAATGCAAAAGCTCCTTTTGGCATTATCGGAGGTGGGGGATTTTTCCGGACTATTTTAATAGTCTTTTTCAAATTAAATAGCGATATTTCAAGATTAGAAACGATTTTAAAAACGTAGAAAAATATTTTAAATTCGTAACTTTTGTAAAGAAATCTAAATTTAAATAATTTGTAATTATTTTTGTAAGCATTTGTATAGTTGTTCGCTTAACAAGAGCGTAAAATTGGAACTTAAGGAGTCAGCCTCGCCCCCCGGATAATACACAAGAACCGAAAAGAAATAACCAAACTATCGCGGCAATTTCTACCACGCGTCTGCACGGTCTATTACGGAAAGAAAGCCGTCCGGCTTCTCCACTGGAGTCTCCTGCTCTCTGGCGCAAAACAAAGCTTTTTGAGGCCGACGGAGCTGTGCTTGCTGTGTTTGGGGCGGGCTTCATCGTGTATTCCCGTTGGCTGGACGGCGCCGTGGCTTCCGCTCTTCTGCTAGGCGCGCAAAAATGGCCGAGCAGCTGGAGCGAATGATGCGGATTAGCAAAAACAGATTCGCCGCAAAAAAATTCTAATTCTAATTCTAGAAAATCACATGGTTTTTGAGGGTTTAATTAATTTGTTAAATCTAGAGCTAGTTAGGTCTTACTGTAAAGTGTTTTTACTCAGGCTGGCGTTTTGGAATGGGACCAAGCCTATCTTGTGCAGAATTTTTCGCTGATTCCGAATCTGGTTTTCAAATTTGCTGCCGACCTTTATTTAAAAAGTTATTCGACATTTAGACTAAAAAAATTGACTAAATCTGGATATTTTGCGTTATTTTTTAAGTTGTCGTCACCTCCGTCGTTCAAACTGGCTCGGTAATGGTTTTAGAGGTCAAAGCACGATTTTATGCAAAAAGTCATGTGTTTTTGTGCAAAAAGCAAAAGAAATTGTGCAGGGCGGGGATCGAACCGCCGCCCAGTGCCTGGCAAGCGAACAACTTACCATTGCACCATGGTGCCAACTAGGAAGGGGGCTTCGAGAGGGTAGATAAGGGGCACAACAATACCTGGACCCAGGCAGGCAATAGTGGGCCAGCATCCGAATTTATGCCGTTTTTAAGCTTAATTTAGACCAAAAATGACTTTTCAACGCAAAGTCCGCAGCAAATTTGGGAAACGGATTCGGAATCAGCAAAAAATTCTGAACAAGATGGGCTTGGTCCGATCCTAAAACACCAGCCTGAGTAAAAACACTTTACAGTTAGTTCAGGAATATATTAGCTAATACGACATTTTCTTAATCAATTTCTATCGGAACTTTCGCATTATCGGGGGGGGGGGGGACTTCAATAAATTTCCAATTTTTCTAACAAAATTTTCATAAATAGGATCCAATTTTTCTAATGTAAATAGAGAACTTGTTTTGAAGCTGTCTTTTTTCGCTATTTCTAGACGTAAAAACTTTACAAATTCGGTTAAGAAGCCCAAAAATAGCCCAACTCATCTCGACCAAAATTTTGGATTTAAATTTTTTCTATATTTTTTAGATAATTTGCTGACTCGAAATACGGTTAAATATTATAGAAAATAGTTCAAAAAATTCCGACTCCCCGATATTGCAAAAGAACCTTTTTATCTATTTCGAAAAACTTCGAGGAGGCCCATCAGCTTATTTACTACAATTTAAACACGTAAGAGCTTAGTAAATTTTTCATGTAAAAACTACTATTATCGATCAATGCTTTTATAAAAAAACACAATCCAAAAATGAATACATTTCCAGTGGGTGAATCGAGCCTGAAAAACGGCGAGCTCTAGGGGGGGGGGACAGAGGTCGACGCTGACTGGGGGGCCCGGGTCACATTATACGAGGAAATCGAGCGGATAAAATATGAAAATTGATATGGGCCGGGCGGGACCTGAAAGAATGCAACAGAAAGAATACCCGCACATCCACAAATATCCGAGCACAACGCGAAAATAGGTATTTTCAGCTGGAAAATGGCCAAAGAATTGAAAAGGACACGTCCCCTCTTGATGTCCAGTCAAAATCACGAAAATACCGACAGGCAAAACAGCCAAAATACCGAAACCCAAAATCCCGACATTCAAAATACCGACATTTATAATACCGACAAGTCAAAATCCCGATAGTCATAGCCTGGACAGCGAAAATCCCGACACCGCTATCAACGGTACGCGAAAATCTCGATAGCTACAGTAGGAAAGCTCAAAATACCGACGGCCACAATACGGGCAGTTATAATACCGACAGTCAAAATCCCGACATATTACTGACGCGAGTCTGAATTTTGCTTTAAACAGCTATCTTGCTTGTCGGTATTTTCGCAGACGGAATCTTGGTTGTCGGGATTATTGCTGTCGGTATTCTGGATGTCGGGATTTTGGCTGCAGTTTGTTGTGATCATAGTATGTCGGGATTTTGGCTGTTGGGCTTCTGACTGCCGCTATTATTGCTGTCGGCATTTTGTTTCTCGGCATTTTGGCGTTTCCCCCCGTTGATCCACTATGCCTTAACAAACTTCGATACATTTTGGCTAAAGTGCAACGCGATTCGGTAGTTGTCGGGTAGTTTCCCCAGCATTCCGCTAGCTTTCAAGCTGTCGATTCGTCGCTTGTGATCGGCCGTCTGCACGAGCCGCCGCTTCTCGAGCAACTTCCACTTGTCGGTGTCTGATAGGATGGCGCTGAAAGGGGGGTATTCAAAAGTTAGAAATTTCTGATGCTTAAAAATCTCGTACCCATCCACAAATCTCCAGCGTGCGACGTCTTCCGGCTTGCGACAAGGCTGGGAAAATATTTGCTGGTCGATGAAGCGGAAATTCCATTCGTTGCCGATTTTCCTAAAAGGTGTGTATGTTTATAGCGTTTTTATTAAAACTTAACTATGCTGCAAGTGTCGCGATTTTTTAAAATTTAGCTAAACGGTTTATAACCTGAAATTCAGGCGATATCTGGTCTTACTACGGTATTTTTTAGTTATTTACTGGCAGTTTGTGAAGTTTTTCCAGTTAGTTCTATGGTGGAAAAAGTTAACCCACGTTTTCTTCCATCCGTGAAAGAAGAAATCGTCGAGCGACCATCTATTGTCCGTCAGCCATCCGTCACGCACCCACGCACGGCCCTAAAGTTTCCTCTAGTTTTCGGCAGTAATTCGATACCTTTTCGTAGATGTGGTATTCTGTCGAGGTGGCGACCGACAGAATATATTCCTGAACGCAGGCCTGATAGTTGAAAAGGCCCTCGTAATTCCTGAAAAATGCTTTGCTTCTGAGTTTATTAGGGACGCGCGAAAATACCGACAGCCAGAATCCCGACCTGCTAAAATCCCGACTTCCACATTCCCCACATGCCAAAATACGGACAGCCAAAAAAACTGTTTAAAACGAAGTGGCATCGAAACTAGCGTCACGGATATGTCGTTATCATGACTGTCGGCATTTTGGCTGGAATTCGCTAATCTTAGCCCGGTTCTTTGGCATTAACGGGAGTGGGGGCAGGGATTTTCAAGCCTGTAATGTTCACGATTTTCGCTTACTTTGATGCAGCCCAGATCGCCTCGCAGACTTGCCGACTTTCGTATAACTCCGGGTGGAAGTAGTCGACGATAACGTTCTGAATTTTAGAATATGTATAATTAAACTACACTAATTAAATTAATAAAACTAATTAAACTATACTCACGTTTATGGCCCCGTTATCGGTCCCAAAATACGGGTGCTCTTGGTAGTAGTTGGCCCAAAAATGGAGGAAACCGAGGCCGCGTTGTGTATTCCTGGAATCATGAAGGTCACATGCTAAAATGGGCCCCAATTACCGTACGATATAACTGCCGCTGGCCACCTCGTCGTTGTAGAAACGATTGTAGAAGACGAGATGGAGGTCCTCGGTTAACGTATAGTTTTCGAGTCGATGCAGTGGGTTGACGACGCCTAATAAGGGATTCGAATGACGTTTGGCCCTTTTTTGGTTCTGGTTCATTAGCGGGGGGGGGACTAACTTGATTTCAGCCCAAGTTTCATAACTAATGTTCTGAATATTTTCGAACGCTAAAAAATGCGGAAACATTTTTTATAAATTCGACCAGCGCCCAAAACCCGCTTCGCGGGCCTTGAGCGCTGGAATGCTGCCTTTGCATGAAAAATTTGACTTTCCGATAGCTTGGGGTCCTTCGGACCCCCGCCCCAACCGACCACACACGCGAGCGCAACTCGCGAGAATGAGGAATTTTCTATTTTTTACATTATGCAAATTAGCCCCAAAAATAATAAAACCGGCTTTAACTTTGTAAAATTGTATTTTATCGAAATTCTGAGAACGTCATCGGAAACAGAAGGGTCGATTCCTCCGGGTGACGGAGAATTAGGACGTTTCGGGCACGGGAAGGCCCTCAAATCGGGCCTCGAAAGTGACATCCACACACACACACACACACACACACACACAGTTACACGCGAAAATTATATAAGGTAGGATGTATTCGCTTTTTGATGAATTTCAAAAAAATTTGACCAAAAATTCGAATTTTAAGAGGTTTTTATGAACTTTTCTATGTAAAAAAGCTGTAAAAGGTTATTAAAATAACTGATTTCATTACAAGGTTAAAATCCTTTAACTTGAACCCCCGCTAACGAACAAGAACCTATTTTGTGGGGTAAACTAGCAGAGTTTCTAGGGGAAAATACATTTTTTTTAAACCGTCAAAACCGGCCTACCAATATCCGCATCGAGAAACAGGGCCCATCCGTATTGGCTGGCCGCCAAAAACTCGGCCAGCGCGCAGTGACGCCGGAACATGAACTAAAAAATAGGCGCTATTGCATTAGCGGGGGGGGGTAACTTTTTTTGTATAAGTCCAATTATGCCTAATAACTTAATTAAAACTATTTAATCGTGTTTTAAAAAAATTTAGCTAGTATATTTCGAATGCAAAAACCTGCCACAAACTTTGAAAATGGTATTATTCCGGTAAAATAATCGAATTTTTTGTAGATTGGATATAAATATGGTGCTCCATGATAACCTCTGCGCCCCCCCGATAATGCCAGAGAACCGAAGAATGCTAGATCATGGCAAAGATGCGGAAACCCAACAACTTACGTCTTTTTGCGGACATTTCTGAGCCAGGCTCGGTTCCTCGGCCAAGTTGAGCACTTGCATCGCGTAGCCTTGCAAATTTGCATAGCAACTGATCGAACCGAGCTGAAAAGGGGTTGAAAAGAATTCTTGAAGACGAAGACCCACCGCAAATTCGTATTCCTCGGAATTTCGTGAATTCTCGACGACCACGACGATGATAAAGGTCTCCGACAAGGGTACGGGATTCGAGGCTCGATCTCCTGTATATTTTTTGGATTCCAGCCCCCCGGGAGTAGCGGATTATTTTCAAAATGTCGAAAATCATAATTTCGAAATTCATTATGGCGAAATTTCAGAATCTCGAAATTTAATAGTGTCGAAATATAGAATGTCGAAATTTACATAGGCTAATATGTAAATTCCCCCGAATCCAGGCAAAAAAAGTTAGTCATTATGAAATTTCGACATTATGATAGCAATTAGTAGTACGTAGTACCTCTCGCCCGCAATGAAAATGGTTGATCTTCTGTGCCTCTAGAGTTGGCAAAAGAGGGGCCGTAGTTGATGACAACATATAGGAGGCAAAAGCCTGCGCCCAGTGCCACCCAAAACACCCGGCGCCTCATCGGTCAACGCAATCGCATGTTTTCTGCAAATTTTAGAAAAATTCTACAAATAAACAAAACTTTTCTATAATAAGTCGTCACTAAAGGCAGTATTTTCATATTTTTGCACAAAGAAACGGACACGATTTTTTTCAAAAACTACAAATCCGATGAGAATTTTTATTCAGAAGCTTGTAAAACTGTTATCCAGCATCGCAGAAGCATTTCAAGTACAACGAAAAATGCGCATTTTTCGGACTACCAAGCCTACTAGTCGTATTTGCATCTACTTGCAAGGTCGCCGAGAAAACGGCTAAAACTTCATTTTCCTATCACCTTGGCACACATGTCAACTGGAAAACTAGCTGAAAACTTTAAAAATTCGACATTTTGGGCAAAAAATAAATATTTTTGTATCTTTAAAAAATTTGTGAAGTTAAATGTTAATACTTTTCGGCATAGCAAAAAAACGTTTTAGAAACAATGTATCTATTTTTATTCAAAAAATTGGATCCTGCTAAAAAGTTGCGCCCCCCCCCCCCCGTTAATCAAAAAGCACCAGAATTACATGATTTGCTATCAGAATGTCGAAAATTCATAATGTCGAAATTTCGAAACACTTTGGATCGGATTCGGGTGGTTTTCAAGGATATTTGCTTATGTAATTTCGGCATTATGAATTTCGGCATTACGAAGTTTCGGCATTAATGGATATTTTTATTGAGAAATTTCGGCATTATGTAACTGCACAAATTTTGGCACTCTTAAAGTAACCCGAATTATATATATTTATTATTAATATTAAGACAGTAGTTACGCTAGCAAAAATCAAGGTGAAAGTGAAGCATCGCCAAAAAGGGATAGCCAGATACGGATCAAAGTAGAGCGCCATGGCAATGGAGCGTGAGGCGGGGGGGGGGGGGGGGGGGCGCGCGGCCAGTGAATGCAGTAATTGAAGCCATATATCCGTTATAGCAGCTCTCCAGGATTCCCCCGGCAACCGTTCGCCCTTCCCCATTCGGCAACAACAAATTGTCGCGTGCCCCCCGCGCGCATTTTCCGATCGGGATTTACCGTTTTACGCGCGCAGGTTTGCCGGTAAAACCGGGGGCTTAAAATGGAGGCCGTGGAAAGGGCAAAAACAACTGCATAGGTTTGTAAAGCTCGAAATTGGGAGGTAATACGTGGGTTTACATGGTTTTAGAAGTTTAAAAATGCCGTGAAAACTTCGAATCTTTTCCGTTATCGGGGGGGGGGTTCGGATCAACGCTTTTTATAAGTCCCGAAATGCCTAGAAACGTAAATTAAGGAGCTTAATAATGTTTTTAGTAAAATTTAACTATATTTCAGGCGGTGAAACTTTCCAAAAAAATAAACATTTTCTAAAGATGCAAATTTTTCGTCGAAAATCATTCATTTCGGCTGTAAATGTGGAAATTCAGTGGCAAAAGGTATTTTTAAGAGCCTTAGAAAATTTTTGAAATTTTTGGGTGCTAACAATCGGCCGTACTGCCAAGAATGAAAGCGATTTTTGCGGGAGTCGCCGCGTCATCGCGTCAAAATATATTCTGCAGCTGACCGGTATTCGTCCTGGCAGCGGAAGGAATACGAATTTTAGCGATTTTTCTAAATTTTCCAAGAGTTTCCTGAGAAATCGATCCGCTGGGGTTTTTGGCTGTCGGCATTTTGGTTGTCGGTATTTTCGCTGTCGTGATTATGGTTGTCGATATTTTGACTCATGATATATCGAACTGTCGGGATTTTGGCTCTCGTGATTATGGCTATCGGGATTCTGGCGGTATTACATGGCTGCCGAGACTTTGTCTGTCGGTATTTGTGTGTATTTTCGCTGTCGGTATTTTGGCTAAAATTCCTTATATCCCCGATGTATTCAACGTTAATCCCGCGACTTTACTCAAACCAACAATTTACGAGCCGTGTGCGCTACATTGTGAGATCATCATTATTGCATGGAGAGAAACGACGAGATAGGCCGAGGAGCAGAGAAAAAAGAGAGAGACAGAGAAGAGTGAGGGAAAGTGTATTGCTTCGGAATCTGGGTAGGAATCGAATAGTGGAGGTTATGGCTGCTGTGGCTGGCGGTCCTTCAGATATGTTGGGAAGGAGTATTTCGCGTTTTTCGGGTACAACGGAGGGCTATTGACGATGCGGGCGGCGCACTGAGTCGCCTCGTCGGCCAGCAGCTGCAATACGGGTCTTTTACTTTTTAGAAGACTCAGAAAGAGGTAGATTTGGGAATTTGGTCGAAAATCGAGATTCTGATTGGGGAAATCGATATTTTTAGTTTTTTTCTTGGTAACCGGTGGCTTACCAAAATCTGACGCTGCAGCTTCTGAATCTCGCGTAGTCGATCAAGGGCCGTCACCGGCTCGCAAGGGTCATCGCTGAAATTAAAATAAATAAAATTAGGAATTTACACAACCCCTAACAATACTTTGTAAAAAAGCTACAGCGAGCATCTTAAATAATAGCTTTTTGAGAAAAATTCATCTAAATTGAAGGGAGTAACTATCTGTAAAACTTAGAAAATGTCTGCTTATTTCGGTTTTTATCCAAAATCGCCAGTTTTAGTCGCAAAATCTATTTTTTTGTGGTTTTTATTAAATTAAAATTTGGGCCAGGTATTCTAAAAAACCGTGTAGAAATACTTGCTCTGTTAATATTATAGCAATTTGTCCTATGGAAATAAGGTGCCCCCCCCCGATAATGGCAAAGCCCCCGGAAATGTTTTATTGTGATTTGGAGCCGATTGTTGTGTAAGAATTCACAACGAAAAAAGATCTAATTTTTTTTCGGCGCTGTAGCACCGCACGACTTCGGCAAGTCAAAACAACGTACAGCGGGCTCCACTGGGGCCGGGCGGGGGCTCGCTTTTGCCAATTGTCCGTGAACGTCATCTGCCCCATCACCACTCCGAAGAGCACCACCATCAACGCCAATCGGCAACCACCAGTCGACAGCATTTTTTTGTATTTGCACCAAGATGAGGGCCCGGCGAGGTGAGGCTGAAAATGAGTGCTGAAAAGTAGCCAAAAACCCCGAATAGTGTGAAGAAAACGACTTCCGAATGTCATTAGTTAAATCGAGGATAGAAACCGGAAATAATGAGGTTCAGTTAATTTAATATGTTTGGATTGCTAAAAAGTCTTCAGCCTTTTAGAAAATTAAAAAGTTTAAGTTTACTCCTCATCTTTTAGGAAAAAGTAAAAGGTTTGACAATTTAAATAATTTTTTTTTTTGGAAATTTTATATCTAAAAGGCCGTAAAACTATTAAAAAGTTGAGGTTTTATATTCAGCGAGGGGATATTAGAAGAAGATGCAAAATTGCCCCCCCCCCCGATACCACACAAGCACCCGAGAACTTCCCACGCCGAAAATTGGGGCCCCGAGGACATCTGGGGGGATTACGGTAATGAGCTAAGGGCCCCGCAGACCACAAAAGGCACAAAGGGCCCACCGGGGCCCACAAGTAATTGGCCAGGAAGGCCTCCCCCCACAGCAATCCCCATTTTTTGGCCACGATCATCAATCTGCATCACCGGATTTATGAGGATCAAATACCGCGACCAACCGCCCGGGGGATAAGCGCCCTCAAAAAGGCCAAATTTATTGGCGCGGGCAGGTGGCGCGGAAAGAACAGGGTTTTCTGGTTGGATTAACGCTTTAAAAATGTAATTTATGACGACGAGTTGGTACAGGGACAGGTCGCAAAATAGGAAACAACCAAAGATTACGAATTTTCGGTTTTAGTTTGACAATAGGCAAAAAATTGCTCTGCTAATTGTTATAGAAACCACGCAGTTTGTATTGAGGCTTTAGTGAAGATTTTAGGGAAACTGCTTTCACCGCGCAGGATACATACGTTATTTGGAGCACATCGTAGTTGCGTGAAAAAGCCACGAATTTCCTACTTGCAAGTAGCGCACAAAATAGCGCACAACGTAAGCGTACTCTATAGCTGGCGTACGTAAGGCTCCTCTGCGCAATTTTGCCTTTAGCGCTCTAAAAATAATTTGAATTAACATTAATAATATTATAAGTATTATTAGCTACTTATTTTTCTACCTATGTCTACATCGTAACTCTACAAAGCCTTTAAAAACCCGGTACTTTTCCATTATCGTGGGCTGTAACCTTTCTTTAGGATTGAATTTGTCTCGTATAAATCGAGGTAGCGTTTCTAAACGTATCTACTTTTCAAAACGTAAAAACTTTACAAATTGTTACTATGATATACAAAAATGCGATTTTCCAACCCAATTTCAGAAGATTTAAAGTTTTCGCTAGCTTCGGAATCGGACAAATTTTACTAAAAACTATTAAAACAATGGTTTTTATAACTTGTCGAAAAAAATTAGCCCACCACCCCTGATAATGCCAAAGAACCAAAGTACGCATGCGAGTGGTCTTGAAAATACACAATTTGGATGTAGAAATCTCATTTCCTATCCCAAGGGTAGTTTTCCGCCTAGGACTTGTGGGTGGAAAAGATGATTGAAATTCCGAGACACTAGCGGATTAACCGGTTGATGGCGTTGGGGAGATTTGGTGGGTTTGTTGAGATGGAATGAGCCCCAGATCTGCTCGCCGGGGCCTCTGGCTTCGCATGTCCGAGGCCCCGCCCCCATTCCCGGCCACTCTTGACGACAGTAGACTTAATAAAGAAGTTTTTTTGCCTTGCGATAAAATCATTTTTGACTGCCCCGAATGCGAATTACAACTAAAGAGGATGAAGAGTCGCATCGACCCATGCGCGCGCGTTGCCTGCGATTCAATGGTCACTATCGCTAGCGACACGCGACGCGTCCGATCTTCTGGATACTGACAAGAATTCCAGTTATTTTTTAAAGTTTAAAGTTTTCAAAGAACTGAAAACAGCTAGAAACAGGGAAAATGAGAAAAATATTGAGATCCCCCAGTTTTTTTTGCCCCCCCGCGGGTTTTTTTTTTGTGTGGACCGAAAAAGAAGGGTGTTTTTTTTTCGGTAAATTTTTTTTTTTTTTTTTTTTTGGGGGGGGGAAAGGGGGGGGGGTCGGGGCCGGGGGGGGGGGGGGGAAATTCAGGTTTTCAAGCTGTTTCCGATTTTTTCCAACTCTTTTTCGAGATTTCCAGCGTTCTCCAGCCAAATTCTAGGCAAAACTGCGCAAGCGACATCGCTACAAATCTCAAACTATTTCCCCCGAATGCCAGAAGCTGATCCGCAGACCAAAAAAACGTCACCCTACCCTCACGAAGCCCCTGTGCCCCGGGCAAGATTGGTGAAATATTGTGGGGTCAATCCCTGAGAATCTGGCTTCCCAACTGCGCCTATAAGGTTTTCTTGCCCCCAGCCTCACTTCCTCGACCCGACCCCGCAAATAATCAGCGAATCTCCGGAAAAAGGGCGGCAATCACCCCGGGAAGCCCGGCAAACAATTGCCTTGCAAGTTCAGGGAATGTTGATGAATTTCTGTGTTTGCGTGAGTTTACCCGGGTTTCCGAGTTTGACTAGATTCCGAAACAGTGAAAGCCCCTAAAACTCACAAGGGCCATTTTCTAATAACTCCTAAACTTTTTATAAAAAACCTAAGCCTAAGCCAAAGAAACCTTAAAAGTCGTCTGGCCGAACTCTCAGCCTTCTATGCTGATTTTGTGCGCACTACTCTTCAGTTTTAGTCTCGAAAACTCGGCTTTAGCCTACAAAAATGTGACTTAAGATTAGTACACAAACTACGAAAAATAAAAATGTCGCCCTAATTCGATAAAAACGTTCCCGCTTCAATTCAATTGAATTTTTGCAGTCCAATGGTTCATTTTTCTAGTCTAAAGGTAGAGATTCGACCTCAGCGCAGAAACTGTACGCCTACGTACGCCTACGTAGTTTGAGAAAATCTTTGTTTGCGAACCTGTAGACACTTTTTTGTTAAAGTCCCTCTCGCTCGGCAGTTTTTGAAAGATCGAATTTATCAGAAATTTCAAGCGCGTTCTAAAAACTCGCAAAAACGGCAACCTGGTAGGTCGTCTGAACTTTCTACAAGCCCCGCAGTCCAAAAAACGACGTGAGTATGCCCTATTATTCGAAAAAAAGTGACGAAGGCTTTAAAAAATGGTCAATTTGCGCCTCCGTAAAAGTTGCCTCCCATATTCCGGTCCAGCCGGTCTCCAGGTGACCAACACAAAAGACTGCTGTGTGGGCGTCGAATGGCCCAATCAGACCCTGGAGGCTCAACTGCGGATATCCAGAATCCACTTTTTTGTCTTACAAATCGTTGATCCGTGAGGGCCCGAAAAAGGTTAGCAAATGAAGAGCGCGGGATTAGGCGCTAATGATGTCCTGGATAAAATTGGAAACTTTTAGTTTAGTTTCTGCAGAAATTAATCCGTTCTTTTTGCAAGGTGTTGCAGAAATAAAGTTGCTGGACTTGGGCAAAGTTGTCGAGAAATTTTTAGGTTCTTTTGCGTTAGCGGGGGGGGGGTGGAGCAGGCAAAAGCCTCCTTATTCTTTGTTCAGCTTAACTTCCATTTTTAATTTATTTTTATCGTGTTTTTAGCAGTTTCCGATTCACAAAAAGTACTAAAACGGGTTTAAAAATTAAGAAAATTCTGAAGTTTAAACAGTTGATCATAAGTTTCGACAAAAATCCAAGGTTTCTTATCTAAAAGGGTGTAAAATGCTTGAAAATTCACTTAGATTTCCTCCTAGTGCACCTACAGAAACATGGAAAAAGTTACTCCCCCGCTAACGAATCAGCACCATATTTCGTGTGCACGCGGCCTCGAGAAAAAATGGTTTGCATCTGGGGCTAAAACCTCCCCATAATTATTAGTGTGATAAACGCTTCCCGAGCTTTCCCAAAAAACACTGCCCTCCCCCACTTCCGGCATCTGTTGCGATCACCCAAGGGCCCCCGGCCAGCACCCATCATCATCCCATCGCCTTTGTTATTCATGGCCCTCAGATGGGCTTCTCACTTGCAACGGGGCCATTTTTTTCAGAAGCAACGAAGATCGCCCATTGTTTAGGGTGATGCTATCCGGGGCACGCGCTGCTGTTAGCCACCGCAAAACGCGGACCCAGATCACACGATTTCAGTGTCCTGCACCTCGTAATGAGAAAAACGGGCACAAGGCTGCGGGAAAATCCCACAAAAATTTGCCAGTTGCGGTCCCGCACGGTCCCACAGCAATCAGTCGACATTGTGAGGGGGCGCCAACTTCGAATCAAACTTTCTTCTCGAAAAATGTCGGTTAGCAAACCACGCTTCTCACAAGCAAGCGCTGATGGGCGTTGTTTCAAAATCTCAAAGTTCATAGCGTCGAAATTGAGGTACTGGGCTCTTAGCAGGGGCATCAACTTTTTCCCGGTAACCCCTAAACGCAAATTATAACCCCTCTTCCTTGCATTTTACAAAGTTTCTCAGCTGTAAAAAAAAGGTCGAAAATAATGTATGAAAAATGGCTAAAAAGTAAAAATTTTCGAAAGTTTCCTTAAATTTTGTTATAACTTTCTGGCACCCAACAACTAGCAAATCACTCCAAAAATGCATTACACCTTACCAACAGGTAGACATAGACGACAATAAATTAGTTTTCCCCTGCAAACAGTCCAGTACCGAAAGTCGATATTTTTGCTTTTTGCGTATTTCGGGATTCGAAATATTGAAATGAAGTTTTAAAACCCTGATAGCAACTCGCGCGAAGGCTCAGCTCATGCAAACCTTTATCACATCCGCATAAAAAGCTCATTGACATGACGTCAGAGGCGGATCTAAAGAGTACACAATGATTCAGGGGATCAAGGACACTGAACAGATATTATTCGAAAAATGCAATCACATCGGGTGCGCGCGAAAAGCTGGCGGGTTTTATACATAGTAGGGAAGCTCAAAAACAAGGATGCAGGACGAAAAAGTAATTTACAGGTAAAAATAAAGCGATAAGGGCGGAGAGATGGGCTTGGAAATGAGAGCGGCAGGGTTCTGGGTCGAGACGGGATCTTTAGTACTATGATGCGATGAGGTCCTTGTTCAGCAGGTCGATCAACTGCATTATTTGTGTGTTTTCGCCCAACTGCTGGACGTTCTCCATGATGTCCGCCGCCAATTCCTTCAGACGGGCCAGGGTGCTACTGAAAAGGAGGACATTCAAGTGATAGGTTAATTACTTACTCGAAGGCTCCTCGGGACTGGATCAGCGACACGCAAAACTTTTTCAGCTCGATATCCTCGGTGCGTTGCCGCAGAATATCTGAAAGAAAACATACACCAGATCCTTGGGAATTCCGTGGACGGATGAGAGCTTTTTGCATCCGAATCCATTTGGCTAAAATAAATACATAAATATTTCGCAGCCATTTTTCAACGTAAAAACTCTGCAAAAGCTATTAGAAACTATCAAAATCTAGAAAAATAGATTTCACGATTTGCGAGACAATTTTTTTAATGTTAACACATTTTCCAAGGTACAACATTAACGCCTTCAAAAAGCTTAAGATGTTATTAACATGCTCGTTATGACGTTACTATACTACCTTACCTGTGGGAAAAAAATAATAATGCAAATAAACGCCAGAAAATAGCACTCACTCAGCACTTCATCGTCGTTCCCAGCCGCCTTGGACTTGATGGCTTTGATGATCGGGTAGGAAAATTTGCCCTCGGTCAGGTCTTCGGCGTAGCTCTTCGCCGCATGCATGTCCGCCGAGCAAAGATTCAAATAGTCGTCTCTAAATCGAAAACAGTTTTGCAAGACAGTCCAAAATCGATCCTCATACAAAAATTACAACCTACCGAATTTGGAAATATACAGCCAAGTTGCGTAGGAGTGAGGTGAAATCCTTCTGCTCGGGAACGTTGGAGAAGACTTGCATTGAGCGAATGGCCAGCATAAAAAGCCCGCCGGTTTCTACCAATTTCAGATAGTCATAAAAAGGTGTCATGAACCTACTCTGCAACACCATCGTCTCGTACTCGCTCTCGCTCGGGCACACCACGGAATCCCGCCAGAAGATTTCTTTGCCCTGCCCGCGATGCAGCTCGAGCATTTGCTCTAAAAATAGTGGATAAACTTTATTTCTTCGAAAATGATCACCTGGCAAATCATGCTTTTCAAAAGCAATCTTTATACCGACTTACATAAGTACGCGTAATAGTGCAAAAAGATAAGATGCTAGGAAGTTACAAATTTTAAACATTTTTTGAAAATTCGAAAATTTTTCCCTTTTTTGGACATTTTTCATATATTTTTGATCAAAAAGCCAAAGATTATCGAATTTTTTTGAGCCTTTTGCATCCAAAAACTGCGTAAAACGCTATAAAAATGGTTTTATTTTTGTTATAAGACCGTACAGGATTACTGGGAAAAATTAGATCCTCCTGCTAACAGTCCGTAACAAATTTTCGAAGTTATAATTCGTGCAGTGTCGGCTTTTCGAAGCAATGACCGGCAACCAAAAACGGCCCTGCCACTTTTGAGCCAATCACATACCTGTGAAAATTTTTGCAACTGTTTCCCCAAGCGCCAGACACCGCTGCTGTGCAATAAAGTAGACGTAGTTGGCTGAGTTTATCGTGCGAGCGATGCCGTAAATTCTGAAAAACAAAATTCTAAACAAATACCAGGACACGCTACCGATGGGTACAAGGCTGGCCGCGGCGTAGGACAGAGTTGTCCTCAATGTCGTCTATCATCAGCGAGGCGTTATGCAGCAATTCAACAATATCTGGAAAAGCTCTCCCGACTAAGTTTTCAAAATACCCATGATCTGTGACAATTTCTGCTCGGGGATCTGCATCCATTCATTGAAGGCCATCGCTAGCTTGGTTCGTACCTGAAATAGGAACGTTTTTCAATCGAGCTGTTCGCTTGCCTTTTTCCCGGCACGTTCCCGGATATACTCAAAGGGGGCGAGCAGGTGATCTTCGTCTTGGGATAGGACGCCATTAGCGTTGTTGGCTTCGGATTCTTTTATTGTGTGCCCGCCAGGAGCCTGCCCGCTCATCTAAAAGGTAAATACTGTCATTTTTCCTGAATCCATTTCTCACAAAAGCAATGTTTTCCAAAATTCATGCTTCTTAAAAAAACTATGCTGGCTGTCAATCAAAGTTCGAAAATATCTAGCAAGTTCATGGCGATACCGATGGCAAAAAACCGAATTTTTGCTTAGAAGTCCAAAACTGCCTAGCGCTGCCAAAACGATAGTTTTTGTCCAAATCTTTTTGCTGTTTGTCGGCATTACAACGGGCTACTCCTCTTTTAATGAAATTAAATTTTTAGCACTTTCGGAGCCTTTCAGAGCTACGGTAGAATTTCCAGATTAACGTAATTTTTTAGGAAAAATGATGCCCTGAAGACGCCAATGAATGTAAGACTGGAGTCGCGGGGAAAGCTTAAATACAGCCTCCGGCCGGCCGGACAGCCGGGGTCCGGCGTGCAAAGTGTGTCGCTCAGCGATGAGTCACTAGATTCCCTCGATAGGTGGTGTGCCCCCAACACGCAGATTTCACAACCAAAAGAGGCTCAAATCCGTTTATTTCAACAAAGCGAACGTGCAACGCGGGCAAGTTCCATTTCCACCGAGCAGAAAAATTGCAAACAGATCAATGGAATAATCACAACAATAAAAAAAATCATTTCTTCAAAAACTGCCGGAATTGGTCGTTGGACATTTTGCCGGCCGCCGAGGGTGCACCAGTTGCAGGCTAAAAAGCGTATATGAAGGGTTTTTTTTAAGAAATCAGATATGCCTAACAATATAGAAGGCGTTTTAGAAAGTTTTTGGTAAGATTTAGCCTACTGACATGCGTTAAAAATCATAAACTCGACCAATTCACATCAGAAAACACCCGGAACACCAGAAAAAAAAGTTTGTTTCCATTGCCGCTACTAAAAACTTTTTCGCGAAAATTACCGTCTTATTCGAGTTGGTCGGCGCCACACGGGTAGAGCGAGGCACAAGCTGGATCAGAGAAGCATGCCCTTTTCGCATCAACGGGTTGAATATTGGGGCAGAAGATTTCTTGGGCGGGTTGGATAGCAGGACTTCCAGTGCGCGCTCTGAAAATTAGAATGTTTATTATGCGATAACACATTAATTAATCAGCTTTTAATTGTTGCAAATCCGAAAAATGACATGTTCTCACCTCTTAGCACTAAATCTTTTGCTTCAATCGCTTTCTTGGCCGCCTCCTCGTTTTCCATGTCCACGTAGGCCATGCCCTTTGATTGGCCGCTCTTGTGGGTCACAATGCGTGCGCCGAGCACCCTTCCGAACTGGGCGAACACTTCCTAAAAATGAGGAAATCAGTTTCAATAGTTAATTCCGCGTTGCCAAAAGGCCCAGAATAACCAACCATAAGCTCATCCTCCTTGGTGTTGTAGTGAACGTTTTTCACAAACAATTTGTTCCGCTCGAGTCCGGTGGCATACTTGAAAGCCGGTGCAGTGCCCAGGGACGACGCACCGTCATCGGATTTGTCCTTCTTCGTGTGTTTGCTGACGTAGAGTGGGCGCGAGCCGATCAGGGTACGATCTGAAATGGAACAATTTAGTTTGGAGTCAGTTAAGCAATCGCAATACCTTTCTTCAAAGCGGCTTCATAATTTTCTTGCGAGTCCATGACGACGGAGCCGAATCCAGAGTTGAGTTTGCTCATTCCGCGGTACTTGAGGTCGACCTTGACAACACCCGGGTTCAGCACCTAAAGATAAGGTTAGGGAGTTTCAGCACCAGGTCCAAACCTCTTCAATCGCGCTTTCCGGGCACTTGAAGTCCAGGTTACTGACAAAGACGATCCACTGATTCGAGCCATCGTTTGACGGGCCAGCAGCTGGATGACTCGCGTCGGGTGAGGGTGAGGCCGGTGGTGTCTAAAATAGGATCTTATTCGTTAGCAGGAGGAGTAACATCCGCTATTGAGCCTAAGCTCCCTGGTAATCAACCAAGTTCTTTAACAGTTGTTACGCAAAAGCTATAAAAACAGGTAAACCATTTAAAAATTTGAAACGATTTTTTAGCCATTTTTTAAGCAAAAAGTCAAATCGTCAAAATTTCCTAAATTTTCTAAACTTCATTATACAGAAAGAGCTTAAAAAGCCATTAAAATAATTTCTATTTAATAACAGAGCGCCACGAGAATATAGCAAAACTTAGATCCCTGGTTAACCCTCCCCCCCGCCGCTAACGAAGAAGCACCTCAGAAATATACCAAAAAAAAACCTACAGATCGGACGGGTAGCCCAGGGACGACAAAACCATCATTGTCTTTGATGACGGGTGCCGTGCTCGAAATGGCCTTCGTAGCGATCGGCGGCTCGGCGCGGAGTTTTTTCTCCACCTAAATCCCAGGTAAAAACCTTTTGCGTGGACCAACCGGCGAACCCGTGTGCGTATCAGCCTTCCGCTTTTCACCAGCGCTACCACCGCGTTGTGGCCCATTCGAGTCGTCCCTGGAAAAAGAAATAGTTTCCGTATGAAGATTATCATACCTTGTTCTTGGCGCCCCTTTCCCCACAGGCTTCTTCTCCTCGCGCTCCTTCTTCTGAGGTCGATCCTTGCGCTGCATGATTTGAGCATTGACCTGGAAAAGGAGGTTGTTTGTAGAGAAGCGTATCTTAAGGACGTTTTTCGTAAAATTTACTCACTTTTACATACCTAAGACGTTTAAAAATTTTTGATTTAGCCGAAAAATCTATTCTTTTTAGTAAAACTTGTCCCTCTACAATTTGGATTAAGGATCGAACCTTTTCTAGGCCATGTTGAAGCTGTTCGAACGTCCCTTCCTCACGTTCATACTGCACCACAGCCGCGTAGATCTTCTGCGGGTGGTCGGAGACGGAGTTCAAGGCCTAAAAGAGATTTCTAATTACCAGTATCGCAGTAAAATACCCGATAAAACATTTTTCGTGCTGTCACGGGGTCTTTTCCAAATTGGCGCTCGTCGCGTATGGCCGTAAGCCACTGATCCGCCAATCGCCCGCCACCAGAAGCCAGAATATCTTCCCAGATCCGGTGACCCTAAAATAATAATTATAAACAAATTATAACGCATAAAATAAAAATAAGAAATGATGTGCTGACCAGCTTGTAGTCGTCGAGACGTGTGAAGGCGAACCAGGCGTAGTTGCGTCGGTATGTGAATTCGGGATCCCAATCATACAGCCATCTCTGGCGCATGAACTAAACCGCAATTGTTCCATCGTGGTTCCCAAAAAAATGCCGAATAGGTGGCGAACCAGCGTATTGAGAAAATAATAATACTAGAAAATGTACCTCCTGTCCGTCGGCAAAAATTTTGGCAGCCGCACTGTAGTCCTTGTTGGCCTCGCCGCGCCGTCGCTGGAGATACGCATAAGTAGGGAAAAGAATCCGGGCATCGTCAGCTAAACAACAGGAATATATTACAAACGTTAGACCCATAAAGAGACCGAAAAGTAGCCGTAAAAAGTACCTGATGAGATACATTCCTTCGCCTTGATCCACAGGACCTCGAGTTCATCATCGGACCCATTTGCCCCCTCGACGGCGAGCAGTGTCTTTTGCCACAGTCCGCATGAATAGTAGCAATTGCGGACGGCTCGCTCGTAGAGGGAACGGATTTTCTGCAAAAAAAACCCGGCTCGAAATGTCGCAGTCAGCCTACCGAGGGAATTTTCAGCTTTTCCTCCAACCATTGCCCGTAGTTAAACCAGACATTCTCGTTGTCCGGTTGATTCTCGACGACCCTCTCAAAAAACGACTCGATCCGCGCAATGTCTTGTGATTCTGCGGAAAATAGTAAAAACAAATTTTTTTTACAAACCTTTCTCATATGCCAAATATTCATCATATACGGCCATTGGCTTCTCGGCCTGCGCAAGCTTGGTCTCCAGTGCATTCAGGTCTTTCGACTGAAGCGAAAAAGTAGAGAAAATAAATGTCTATTACCTTTTTAGCGGTTTCGACATAAATGGCTTTGACAGCAGTCTGCGTTTCCTCATCCACGGTATTTTCGGAGGCGAAATTAACGTTTAATTTCAAACAAAGAATATTACCAAATTGTTGCCAGCTAGCGAAGAGATCGGCCAGCTTGATGCTGGGGATCCTGAGAGCGCGTTTGTAGATGTCAACGATCCTCGCGATATCCGCCTCTTTTCTGCCTTCTAAAGGGAGATGTATATTCAGAGCAGTCAAAAAAACTACCAGATGCCACGAGCAAGAGGTTCTCCACGTCGAGATAGGACTGCCAGATCAGATATCCGCTATCGAAGCGCAGGCCAAGAGCCACGATGGCCGCTTCGAAAACCTAAAAAGGTACATGAATGTACGTCGGCCAGAAACGATACCTTTCTCGCGTATTCAGGGCCGTGTCCGCAAGCCCACTGCACATACTCAATCCAGAGGGCGCCATAGTTGAAGTCCAAAAACGCCTTGTTGAAGACGGCCTCCACGTCGGCCTTGTCATCTTTGACACCGATTTGGTCCCTGACAAGTTTTAGTAAGACCTTGTTTAATTCCAAAAAGGAAAAATAAGGTGCCTGGTGCCCCACACTCACTTTGCCCAGTTGATCCACTCAGACACGGGAAGCGGCGCAATGTCGTTCCAACGATTTCGTGCGGCTTCCAGCTCTTCCAAATCGCCATTCTTTCGCAAAACCGAGCAAAGTTCAGCGTGTAGCTTGGTGTTGTAGGGTTCAGCGGCCAGCTAAAAATTTTATTATAAACGTCGTTAAACATTGACCAACCTGCTGCTTCAATGTGGCAATCTTATCATCCAAGTCCTCAAGATCGAGCAAATCTTCCTCATCCATCTCCACATCAGAGCCGGAGTCAGACGAGCCACTACTCATCCTGGAAAAATTCATTAGCATTGCGGAGCGCCTCAATGACAGAATCGGTATGAACACTTTCCACCAAATATATAAAAGGCTTCGAGTTTTCTACGAATGTTGATTAGACAGAGAATGTGAAACCCTTTATTCAGAGAAAACCGTAATGATAAAGATATCGAAATTCAGAAAGTGACAATCCGGTGCTATTGTTGCGGGCGGACGTATTCGACGCACTTGCTCGGGTCCGTCGGGAAGTATTCTTGAGCTCGTGTAATGATGCGCTTCACCGACTAAAGCAAAAGTTGAAAATTACCACGTTCGTTACCTGGATATACTTTCGTTGCGTCTCGTCGTTGAGTACATGGGCAACGTTTGACACATAGGCTTTCGCGGAACCAGGACGTTGATGGATACCTAAAATATTGCGCTACATTTGAAGAATTAGAATTATTCAGAGAACCACAAAAATGGTTAAAAGATGGAAATTGTTCGAAACCCGAGCATTTTTGGCCAAATAGATCGACAATTTTGTGGTTTTAATAGATTTTTTCTAAGCTTTTCGCGTTTAAGAAGATTAAAACAGCTTATTTTTCTCCAGTTTTATTAGGAAAATGTAATCTTAAAAGAAAACAAAACTCCGTATGAAAAGCTGCAGCGAATCCTCTTTTTTCTTAGCCTTTCAAACAAACCTGAGCGCGTGACTCCCACCGGCCAGGGAGCATTTCCAATTGCCATCTCCATGTAGGCGTTGCTGGCTTGGATGTAGTTTCGGTCGATGATCATCAAGCTTGAAATGAATTTTAAAAACACAAAAAGGAACAGTTACCGGCAAATGTGGGCGAGATGATGTCGGATGTCGTGGTTCGCTTGTTCTTTGTCGAGCAGTCGAATCAACGGCCTCATATACTCCACCTATTAGGAAATTCTTAGCCAGCCTCTAAAAATCATACCGTCTGCATGTGATACGCCGCATCGTGCTTACCCGCATTACTTTTCTTGACGTCCTGGAAAAAAGTTAAAGAAAAAGCCAAATACACCCACGTCCGGCCGATTATTCAGCATCGTTCCCCAATGCGAAAGGATGTACTTGAAAAACATGGAGATCACGCGACAGTCACGGGCCATATCGTCGTCTAAGAAATGATATAGGCTAAAGATATCACGAGACCTTACCTTTTCCCAGCATCTCGGCTCCCTCCATAATTTTTGGCCATTTGTCGAGATAGTCTGGCAGAAGAACGTCATTCTTCTTCTTCTCCCGGCCGGCTCCCTCAATGACCTCCTAAAAAATCGGATTCAGACTTGACGGTGGTTACTACCTTGACAAGGTCGTTATCAACCGCTCTTCTGGCTGCCTCCAAATCGTTCAACCGCCCTTCGCCGAGCTCGGGTTGTTCAAGCTAAAGGACCCCGATGAAAAATTAGCTGTTTCGCCTAACCTCCAACTGGAAAAGACGTGCTCGTATGGCAGCTTCTTCCTCTCCAAACAAACGAATGGGCTGGTTTCGCTGTCGTAGTCTCGAGAAAATCTAAAGCAAGAAATTCGGCGCTTCATTTTAATAGTATACCTCAGTTATCGCTCTTTTGTCAGTCAACGGTTCGACATGGGCTTTCTCTTTGCCCGCCTTCTTCACCGGAGACGTGTGGCTCTAAACGTTTTTTTCAAAAAAAAGTCCGCAATCCTCACCGTTTCCGGCTTCTGTTCCCCGTACTTTTTCTTCTGGTGCTCTTCGTATTCTTGCTGTTGTTTCGCCACCAGGTCGCCGCGTCTGATATACTTAGTGCTGCCATCCTAAAAGTTATTTTGAAGACTTGAACGTCATCTTACCTGAATTTGGATGTCTTCAACGGCCTTTCGCTTCTTCGCCATTTCATTCTTGAGACTTTCGAGGAAATCCATGATCTGAATCAAAATAATAGGGAAGCAATGGAATTCTATTTACGAGTTTCGAACAAATTTTCGGAAATAGGGAGCAAAGACGCAGAGAGGGCAGAGGCAGAGTGGGGGCGATAGCCCTCGTAACCGAATCTTTCCCAGCCACTCCAATCCCTCGTAAACGGGACAGTGCTGGAATCCGAATACCGTAAATGACCGAATTTCGGCCAGCTTTACCTTCACGGTCCCTTTAACGATACCATAAAACCTCGTAAGGCTCTACCTTGTCCTCCCAGCGGAGCCCGACTATTGAATCCTGGCTCTGCTTTGAGCTAAAGGGCTGAAAGTATACCAAAAGGTTGCCCTTCTTCTGTAGAGTACGAATACAATACATTGGACCGAAAAATAGCAGAAGCTAATAATAAAAGTCGAGGTGCAAAAGTCGGAAACTTGTTTTGGGCGGGGTTTAGCCCAAAAAATAGAGCTTACCAGGTCAAGCTAAAACTGCTTTTGATTGGCAAAAATTAGCATAAAACACGTTCTTTTCCGGATCTACTCCTTGTTTACCATGGCTTTCCCCGGGTATAAAATGCGGGCTCGAGGAGTGCCCTTCTACGTTCGACATTCGAATACAACTGACCACCTCTACTAACCACAAAATGGTAGTTTTCTTTTGTTTGATTGATTTGATTCCGCGCTTTCCAGACCCTCACCAATCTCCGCCTTGCCGCGCAGCAGAAGAACGCTGTCCGCCGTGAAGCTCGCCGTGGACAGATCAAGCTGACGTGGGCCCAGATCGTCACCGGGATCAATATCACCGATGAGGCGGCGCCGGAAGAGCCGATCAGCACGGTGGAGTTGCCGCCGATGAAGGCTCCTCAGCTGGCCATCACCTGGCCATATGGTAAGCGCGGCTTGTTATGGAAATCATGACAGTTTCGACGATATACGAATCGATCGACGATTGACGACGATACGAACGGAAGCGCGCGCTTGATCCTTTTTAGCTTGCTTTGCTTTGCTAAAGCTATTTTTTTCAGAATTGCCCAATCCCCGTGCCGACCTGCGTCTGAATGGCCACCTCTGCTCGCCTACAACGCTCCGCTCCGTGTACACCATCGCCCTGCCGCACGACGAGAAGCTGATCTCAATCCTTCCCCCTCCCCGCCAGCCGCTTCTGGCCATCTGTGGTTTGTAGTTTTCCGTTACTCCATTTAATCTATTTTACAGCTCCTCCGGCACCGCCAGTGTTGAAGGGTGGCGCTGACTTTGCCGTGTTGATGGGCAGCCGATACTTCGACCAGTTCCGCCACACTCCGGCCGGTACGCCAAATTCGTCAATTGTATTTTGTATTTTCAGTCGACGATGCTGCATCGACGACGTCAATCGGCACCGGCTTCTGCCGTCGCTATGGCTTCAGCACCGCCTCGACCACGTCCGTCGCCACCGATGGCTACGTCGCCGATTCGGAATCGTCGCTGGGCTCGGTGCAGATCGATTCGCAAGCCCGTTTCTACGAGTACGATGTGGCGACGGATGATTCGCAGCTGAGCGTGCACTCGTCGGCTGGCCATACCCCGAACCCGAGGGTGACCAGCTCGGAAACGTCCGTGTCCACCACTTCGGTGCTCGAGGCCGACTTCTACCCGGATGGCTCTGATCGCTGTGACTGCCCGACCTGCTCTCGTGCCATGTTCGTTCACCTGTTTTATTCCCAAAAACCTTTTCCCTTACAGCCAGACGATGGCCGGCTGCCCGGTGCGGCTGATGGAGCTGTTGGCCCAGGGCGAAGAAGAGTCTGATGACATTCTGGCCACGGCGGCCATCTCCAGCTCCTCGCTTTTGCTCAATCTCTATGCTGAGGATGTGGATGGATGTGAATGCATCGTCTGCCTTGATGCCATGTGGGACTTTTGATGGGAGATGCTAGAAATCAGGAAATAGTAGGCTGAGGTGCTGATACCAAACTAATGTGCTCTGCTGTAAAGTATACCAAAATACTCGTCAGTTCAAGCCAAACATTTTAATATACTTTACATACCTGTAGATGAACTGTGCGTTCAGATACAACAGTTTTACTAAAAAAATTCATCGTTAATTGACTTTTGGCCTCTACTTTTGAAATGGGCCTTTGCAGGAGGATGATGGCAGCGTGCCCGGTCGCCCAGGACAGGTTGCTGTTGAAGAGCACCAGCAGCCAGGCTTCCACGGTGGCGCAGACCTACTCGGACGCATCTGAGCTACACACCAGCTACAGCAACAGCGGATCGCCTTCCTCGGCCTACATCATGATCCCCGTAAACCTTTTTCAATTGTTTTCAACTGACAAAGAAGTAAAAAAACACGATCGAGTTGTTTAGCAGCCGGCCTCTTCGGATATCTCTGTGGAGCCAGTGGCCGCCGAGGTGAAGCCTTCCGACGAGAAGCCAGCCCCGGTGCGCAAGTCCCGTGCGGAGATCGAGCACTCGGTATTCGTTTTACAGTTTTAGTTTTGTTAAATTTACCTTAAAAGAGTACAATAAATCATTCTCAATTTTCCAGTTGGACTACTGGAAGAACTGCCAGCTGATCTGCGCGATGAGGGTGCGCTCGGCGACCGCGGCCCTGGACAAGCTCAGCTCTGACTGCTGAGCGGCACTGACTCGAATTGACCCTTCCTCTATTGCATTTATGAATATGAATAAAATTTTGTGACTGGATCCTGGATTGTTGTCTTTTTCGTGGTTAGCATAAAACCGATTGATTTATGAAGTTTTTTATCGTGGCTTCCTGCCTAGGCATTAATATCTTCACCTTACTATTTATCGTGTTGACCAAAATATTGTCGAAGGTTTTTCGAGCGTGAAAACCATTTGAAATGTTGTCTGTGGCAAATTTGGTCAAATGCCATGCAATTTGAGATTTTGGAAAAACCTGTGAACCCTTTTTGACCTTGAGTTTGTGAGTGTTAAAAGAAATGTCGGGCTATTTTCCTGTCCGCTAATGTTAGCAATCGTTTTATCAATTTAGCCATTTATTGGTCGTGGGTACTGTACATGAGACCGCGTACATAGTAGGTGTGATGAATCAGTTTGCCGGTGATGGACAGTGGGTTCACTTCGTCGGGTAGTTCATACCGCCTGAAAGCGCGTTTTTGAAAGCTGAAAAATTTCGAGGCTTTGAACGGCTTGCTGCCGCTTTTTTTTCAGGGCGATAAGACGACCACTAACCTTGCTTCCTTGCGCACAACGACGCCGGCATCGTCAAGTTTCAACTTTGTCTCGAAAACGAGCTCGACTGTCCGGCCGGTAATCTTCATCTAAAACGGGGTGTTGTGCTTTGGAACGTCAAATCGAGTGGAGCTCACTTTCAGCCGGTTTACTAATTTTTGAAGCCATAGATTAATTTTCACAAGGTATTTAAATGGACCTAATAATATGTAAAAGCCGTTCGATCGCGAAATCCAATGAGAAGCTCTCACCGTAATGTCATCGGGCCCAAAATGCGTGGCGTCAAGCCCAACCTCGAATTGTTCGTCGTCGACGTTGAACTGTAAACAACATGGGTTGCACGTGGAATTCTCGTAATTTTTACTTCCGTCGTTAGCTCAGAAATGTGGAGAACTTACCTCAACGACGCCATCGTCCACCTCGTTGCTGCACTCGGGATAGTGGTTTTCCACACAGATCGACGTCATTTTCTAAACAGGTAAATACAAAACAAGTCTTACTCGGAAATTGCTCCTTTTTACATTTATACGATCTATAGGGTTGAAAAAAGCGTGGTATTTGGAAAAATGCTCGCCATTTTAGCTTTCGGTGCTGTTGCGTTATCGGGGGGGGTGTGATTTATTCCTAGAAATTCGGAGATTCCTCGTAACGTAATGACATTTAGAAAACTCTGAAAAATGTACAAAATCTGCGATTTGGGTCTCAAATCGTCAATTTTTCTGGGAAAATATATCTTCGGTATTTTCGATAAAATTTTAAAGTTTTTAATTTAGGAATGTAAGGGAATTGATTTTAGGTATTTTATTTAAGGTCCATAGAAACCTTTTGAAACCAGTTACACTATTTGTATTAGAAAAATCCAAAAATTGGATGCTAAGAAATCGCAAATCCCCCCCCCCCCCCGATAATGTAAAAGATCCTAGCTGCCGATATCGATATCATTGAAGAAGTAAAACTCACGGTTTGTCGCCTAAAAATTGGCACCTATGGGGAATGAATGAGAGCGCGGGGGGCTGGGTGAGGAGGATCTATCTGAGGGCGGCGGATGGGTTGGCCGGGGTCCTTTTCAAACAGAAATCCCCCGGGTCAGCCATGTGACCCGTCAGGCTTCCCCTCCCCCTCTTTCACTGCTTCAGCTCTTCGGTAAAAAAGCGTTAGGGATATGGGGGAACAGCTGGCCCTCCACCCTCGGCTCCCACACACATCCGCTCTTTCCCATGGCCAATCGGATCAGGAGGGTGTTTCTCGCAGGGATCATTGGGGCCCACGGGCTGAGCACATGCTCAACGGGGATGTCTAGCTCGAGGGCGATCTCTGCCATATGATCCCGGGATCACGGAAGATCTAGGGGTGGTGAGCAAGAGATTTTGCTGCTGGCCGCTTACAAGGGAAGTGCACGACCGGCCCACGAGAAACCGACACGAGACATAGTGGATCTGATAGAACCGGACACGGGGATTCCGAATCTGTAATCAGAATTTGCTAAATAAAACGGAGAAAAAACTTAAGAAGCTTCAAGGTTGGTGAAATCGCCCAAAATCGGACTTTTATGGGCCTGTAAAGGCCCAGGGAATGGAAATTTGCCACAACCCATTAGTGCATCTTGTTCAGCAGAAAAAGCGCTTTCGAATAAGCTATCTTACTTCAAGTTTACGATGATTTCGCGAAAATCTCTTCTATGAACTTGACAGGCCATACCCTTGCCCATGAACGCAAAAACTTTTTTCAGTGAATTGTTTGCAAATGCTACGTATTACAGCTCATTCGAAAGCGACTTTTCTGCTGAACAAGATGCACTAATTCTTTTCTCCTCAATTCCGTTCCCCCGGTTTTCACGGGCCCTTAAAGGTATCGTTTTTGGCGATTTGGCCAACTTTGATGCTTCATAACTTTTTTCTCCGTTTTATTTAGCAAATTCTGATTACAGATTCGGAATCCCCGTGTCCGATTCTATCAGATCCACTATGTCTCGTGTCGATTTCTCGTGGGCCGGTCGTGCACTTCCCTTGTTAGCCGGGGGGGATAGTTTTTCCCAGTAATCCGGTTCGGCCTTATAATCCCGAGATCCAAACCATTTCTAGGGCATTTTACACCGTTTTTCGATCTGAATAAACTCAGAGCTCTAGCGAAAAAAGCCAAAGACGCCTTTTCAGTTGGAATGGCGATTTAACAACTAGAATTTTGTATTGGATACTAAAATTTGTCAAATTTGCCAAAATCCCGACAGCCAAAATCAAAATACCGAAAGCCATAATGCCGAGCAAAGCAATTGTTGGTTGAATTAATGCCTGTTTGAAAGCAATTGGCAGCCAAATCGGGGTGGAGAAATGTCGGTATTTTGGCCGTTCGGGATTTTGGCTGTTCGGATTTTCGATGTCGGTATTAGCTATCAAGATTTTGGCCTGTCGGGATTGGGGCTGTCGGGATTATGGCTATCGGGATTATAGCTGTAGGGATTTTGGTTTCGTGATTTTGGCTGTCGGGATTATTGCGATCGGAATTTTCGATTTCGGGATTTTGGCCTTTAGGATTTTTGGCCAGATGGGCTTATGACTGTCGGGATTTTGGCCTGTCGGGATTCGGGCTGTCGGGATTATGGCTGTCGGGATATTGCTAAATCAATTTTACCACTTACCTCCAACGAAGTGCCGCTGACAATGAGCTTCTTTCGCAAAAGTCAAGCTCTGTTGGTGTGTTCGTGTTTGCGTCCCGGCTCCAGGCGCTTGTTTCTGGGAGCTATTCTCGTCGCAACGTGAGTGTTGTCAGGATCTCCACGTAGTCAGAAATATTTATAAAGGGAAAATAGACGGGGGAAATCCGGGGGAACGGCAGCAAGGGTGGGGGGGGGGAGAAGAATAAATACATTAAATAACCGTGGTAACTCGGGTGAGTTTAGTTGAAGAATGAGGACTTCTTGTCGCCCCGGATGTAGAGCACGTTGTTGTGGAGGTGGTGGCGAACGGTGCGGGGGTCGACGCCGGCCGGCAGGCGGTAGCATCTGTGAAAAAAATTGTAATTTAGCCTTTCTAGAAAAATTCTCTTCTTCACGTTTAGCTGTTGCTGTCTAGAATTAATATAATTTATAGATATTTCAATTTTAATAAAATTATGGTTACAAATCTATTTTTAAAAAAAGCGTAAAAAATCGGTTTTTTTTTGGTCGAAAAATCGATATTTTGTATTTCCTTTCTACATTTGTAAAGTTTTTGCGCTTACGAAGAGTAGAAAAGTGTTTAGAAGCACCCGCTCTATTTATATCAAAAAGATTTGTCCCTAGGCAACCACTTCCCCCCTCCCCCCGATAATGCTCAAGTACCGATAAAAATTTTGCATGACTTTTACAAATTCGATTTCAAGTATAAATATAATAATTATATTTAGCTTTAGAAATTAAATAGGTAAACAACTTTATTTACGAATTGAACGGCTTGGGCTCGCCGTATCCAGCGACATCAACAACCCCTGATGGGCGGCGTGGCTCAAATCAAAAATTAACCGGTTGATCGTCCTCCTGACGGTGCCGAAGCGGCCGGTGCGGTGCTCGTGCTCGAGCATGATCTCCACCTGCCCGTCGATCACCTTGACGGTGATGTCCTCCTCGCGGAAGTAGGTGGCGTCGAGGCCCACCTCGAAGTGTCGTCGATCCTCGGTCACCTGGAATTGTTGGAAAAATTGAAAATGCGTTTAGATTAAATAGGGTAAAAAACATCGAAAATCAGCGTTTTTAGTCGAAATCTATATTTTCGGTGTTTTCTATTCAAATACGAGTAAAAAAATTTCAAATTTATGGTAGAAAAATTCCCTTCCTAGGAAAATAGCCCCCCCCCCCCGATAATGCAAAAGAACCAAAAAAACCAGTGAAAACCGGCTATAAACTGTATACCTTAACGGCTCCCTCCTTGCCCTGGAGCGGCCATTGCCAGACATTAGCGGCCTGAGTGCTGGACATGTTGAAGAAGGGCTAAAACCTGGTAAACGTCAAGGCCCAGTAGATGATCACCGACCTGTAACGTAGAGAAAAGTGTAGAAGGAGATGATGTGTCGGGGGGATGACGTGCTGGACGTGGCCCGTTCCCCACCTATATACCCCGGTGCGTCGAGTGTTCGGAAGCGGAAACGGAATGAGGGATGGGGCGGAGCAGAGAGGGGGAAGGGGTGGGCCATGGCCTGGGATTCCCGCGCGTGTCAATGACGGATCCGCGCCCCCAGTCTGGACCGGGGGGATCCGATTCTTTGTGCCGGGGGTGCAAGCCACACTGTACTTACCGGCTTTTGCGTACAAAAATTGGCTTTGTAGGAGAAATCAAGCTTGTTCGGCTTGGGCTTAGGCTTTTCCGGCTTATGATGTGATGTGATGATGTGAGGGCCTAGCCTTTTCCGCTTCATCTTTTTTCGTCTTCTTTTACTGGATTAACGTATATTTGTCGAAAGTGTGGAATTTCGAAAAGCCATAATACAGACAGTCAAAACCCGACAAGCAAAAGCCCGACAGCTAAGATGCCGACAGCCGAAATCCCGACAGTAAGACCTCAACGGCCAAAATCCCGCCAGCGAAAATTTGGACTAGCAAAATCCCGATAGCTAGAATGCCGATAGGCCGAAATCCGGAGAATAAAATCCCAGACCGCCTGGATACTCAAGAGCCAAAATTCCGACACCAAAAATGCCGACAGCGGTAATCGCGATCGCCAAAATGCCGACAGTGAAATCCCGCGCTATTTTGAACGGAACTTCCCTTTTTTACGCGATTTTGGATGTCGGCATTTTCGCCGTGTCGAGATTTTGGTTGTCAGGTTTTTAGCTGTCGGCATCTGGGTTATCGGAGTCCAAATTGTCGGGATTTCTCCCCGATTTTCGGACTTATTTCGAAAATTGAGTCTCTCTAAGCCTTTCTAATACTTATTTACAAAACACTCCAAACTCCGCTTCTTCCAACGGCCAAAAAGGGCAGAGAAAAACTGCCGGGGCCAACATCTCCCATCCGGGGGATCCCATCCACTTGCCCCCGGTCTCCACATTCCTCACTTTTTGTTTAGAGGCTGCCCAAATCCGGGACACTGTGACTAATCGAAGATGATGCGGATGATGGGGACATTCCTCCCGTCCCTCTTCGAGATCTCCGATCAGCACAAGATGCTCGGAAAGTCCGTAACACTCCAAGTGAACGGCCACACATCTCGCGGCTTCCTCCACGCGTTTCAACACAGCACTCTGCCTAGTTTGACAGCAATTTAAAGAGCACATTTAGTCATCCCTTTTGGCTGTCGATATTTTGGTTGTCGGGATTTTGGTAAAGGGTTACGGCTGTCGGTATTTTAACCTCTCTCTCTCTCTCTCTCTCTCTCTCTCTCTACCTGTCTATACCTCTCTCGCTCTCTCCCCCATCTCTCTCGCTCTATCGCGCTCTCTCACTCTCTCTCTCTCTCTCTCTCTCACTCTCGCTCACCGGGTCTACCTGTCTATCTTTCTCCCTCTCTCTCTCTCTCGCTCGCTCTCGCGCTCTCTCTCGCTCTCGCGCTCTCTCTCGCTCTCGCGCTCTCTCACTCTCTCCCTCTCCCTCTTTCTCTTTCTCTCTCTCTCTCTCTCTCTCTCTCTCTCTCGCTACCTGTCTACCTTCTCCCTCTCTCTCTCTCGCTCGCTCTCGCACTCTCTCTCGCTCTCTCTCGCACTCTCTCGCTCGGTCACTCTCTCTCACTCTCTCTCTCACCATAACTATCCATAACGAACCAAATATATCGACGCGTTTTGGACACCAAAAGTCGTGTATAAAATTTTTATTTAGCTGATTACAGTAGCAGTATACATTTTTTCATGGTTCGTAAGGTATCCACTCAATATGCACATCCCTTCAGGTACCAAGTATCAATCGACACATTAAAGTACATCGGGTGGACGGCCAAATCGGAAGTGGTGACCCCATTCCGGCACGTCGGGTCCTCATTCATCCGGCATACCGTATACTGGGCCCCGGGGCCCATTCCTGACCGGTAGAACACCTGAAAAATGTCGCATATTTTCGAAATATCGACATTTCTTTTTCGACACGCTTACAATTTTTTTGCTACCTCAAACGTGACGTGCTGTGGGGCGGCCGTGTCGTCGAGCTTCAGCGGCGGCATTTCCGGGACCAGATCGTTCTGGTTGACGACGCGGAAGCGGTACGGTAGCTAGAGCAATGGATAATGTGCCGATTTCAAGGATGCAAGCCGTAATACCGACAACCAAATTCCAGACAGACAAAATCCTGAAAAAATGCCGAAAAGTGAAATCCCGACATCCAAAATCTCCATCAGCTTGACGTTTATAGTAGCCATTTTGCATGTCGGGATTTTGGCTGTCGGCATTTTCAAATTTTCCCCATTTCCATACCAGCCGCTCCACCGTGGCCCCGAAATTCGTGTCGCCCACCCGGGGAGAGCCGAACGTGATCAGCTGCAGTAGGGCGGAGGGCAGCATTTTCTGCGGATCTTGCATTTGCTTAAAAATTCCCGTGCTCATCTACCTCGGCGACGACGGTGGCGGCGAGTACGGTCGCCAAGGCACCTCCTAGCGAGTGGCCCGTGCAGAGGAGCTGGAAGACTTTTTTGTGCTTCTTTTGCGAACCAAACCTACCGTAAAGCTTGGATTGGCGCTGACCACCGCTTGAATGGCGCTTTTCAGCCCTCCGCCATTATAGAGCGAGTCGAAGCCGTTGGCGTAGTAGTTCAGCGCCTGATGTAAATTTCGTCTTCTTGCTTAGGAGCTTTTGCATTATCGGGGGGGGGACCGACCTTTTCTTCACATATAATTTTCTAATATAAATGCCCAACTACGCCTAGACGCAAAAACTTTACAAAATTTTATATACTTTACAAAATACAAAAATATCGATTTTTCGACGAAAATTTCGTACTAAAAATTTTTTGAAGTTTTAGATAGTTTTTCTGTTTGTTTGAAAAATAGCTAAATTCCATTCAAAACTATGAAAATACTTATACGAAAATACGCTAGTGGGCATTTCTGGATTTTGCAAAAAATCCTCCCCCCCCCCCGATAATGCAAAAGAGCCCTGTTTATCCGCATTTGTTCTTTCTGTGCGTTTTTTCTGCCAAAAATGGCTCGGAAGAAGGCACTCGAGCCATGGATGGGCTCGGGCAACTGTTTGTCCAGCGAAGAAGGGCCCAAACGGACTATCCCACTCCCTCCCTTTAGCCTCCCTTTAGCTTCTCGTTTCTCTCGGTGGAGATGTGGTGTTTGTGTGTGTGAGGGTGCGAGAGATGGGATTCTCTGTTTTCCTCTGACCCTCCGCCCTACTCTTGAGGCAGAAAGTGAAGACAGTCAATAGGACAGTAAGGGACCGTCCGGGCGCTGGCACCTATTCGCGGCGCGTATGTCAACAATAGCCTTGCGTACGGGATTTTCTGGCTCGTGTGAACGTACAAACTCGCGGGGGATCTGCGGCTCAAGCGGTTCAAGGGGTTCAAGGGGTACATTTTCCGGAAAAAGGTTCTTAGGCATTATCGGGGGAGGGGGGTGGGGTGCGCTTAGAAATGAGCGTTAAAACAGTGTTTTTAGCAAAATTTAGCAATTATTAAAGCGCGAAAACTACGAAACAAACTTGTAAAAACTTGAAACTCCGACAGTTTTGTCGTAATTCGTCGTTTTCGTGGGAAGCATCTATTTTTTTTCGATTTTTAAGTCATTGTTTACAAGTTTTTTAGGAAAATGTGGCGTTATCTATTTTAATAGAAACCACTATCTAAAAACACTTCAACAAATCGAAAAATTCGAAATTTTGACCGAAACGCATCATTTTTCCGAATTTTCTTCAGAAATTTTCAAGTAAAATTTTAGCAATAGTACAAAAAAAGCTTAGCAACATTTGATCCCTTTATATCAGGAACGAACTATATTAAAAACTATCTATAATTTTTTTAAGAATCAAAAGATTCGAAATTATAAAGGAGGTACTAAGGGAAAGGGAAAGGGAAAGGGAAGGGAAAAAGTAGCCCCCCCCCGATAATGCAAAAGAACCACCAACCCTTCCGCCCAACAACGGCATATCGGACATCATCTTGGAGGCGTTCAGGAACTGTTGGGCCTGATGGAGATACTGATCCTGGGTGCTCGATCCGTGCGCAACAATGGCGATCAACCGTTTGGAAGCCAGCACGTAAACATCGGCTACGCAAGGGTCCTAAAGCGATTGAAGCCAAAGCCAGAAAAATACTTACGGGTAATGTGGGTGCTTTAATAATGTTTTTAATAAAATTCAGCTATATTTGAAGGGCATAAACAATTTTTTTAAAAACTAGAAAGATTTTAGCTGAATTTTGGGCAAAAATCGGCGGTTTTTTGGCCGAAAAATCGATATTTTTGCATTTTTGCTTATATAAGAAAGTGCGGTAATCGCCAAATTTCTTACCATATTCCCAGGCGAACAAGTCACATTAATCCGCTGCACATGCTTCACATCCGATTCGCCCCTCGTAGCACAGGCGAGAATCTACGAAGCGTTACTCCTTACACACTACCCCGACATACCTCTTTTTCTACCGTAGGCTTGGTGGCACCGACCAACGGATAGACAGTGTTTCTCACATAATCCTCATCATACAGCACCGTGCTGTTTTTTGGACAATTGAAGGAAGATTTTAACGCCGGCGTGGGGCATGCAGCACCAATAGGCTGACAACCGGAAGCCGGACACCAGCTAAAGCAGCATTTTTTAGACGGGATTTGGTAACCAAGGGAATATTACGCTATTTTATCAAATCATTTTCGTATTTCAGAACCATATATCTGGTTCTTTTGCTTTATGGGGGGGGGCACCAGGACAAAGCAACTTTTCCTTTAGTGCCTATTTTCTCTAGTAAAACGGAATTAACGTTGCTCAATTTTCGTTGCTACCCCTAAATGTAAAAACTTTACAACTTGACAAAATCGAAATCGATTCCTCTATCAAAAATGACCGTGTTTCGAGCAAAATTTAGCATTTTAAAACTTTTTAAGGGTTTTTTAAATAGTTTTCCACTTGAAGTATTATTTAATTCTACTAAAACACTATGAAACCACTAGGCATAATAACAAGTCCAAAAACTGCTGTACACTGCTATACCGTACCCGCAGCCCGAAGACGTCAGACAAACATTACAAGTGTTCGCGACGCAATCCGCACGCACATGAGCAGCTACAGCAAAAGTCACAGCCAAATACACCAGGAATTTCCGGGCAGCCATCTTCCAAAACCGGAAAATGCCCCACCGATTTTGGCCAGCCCTATACTGTAAGGACCCGGTCAATGGCCAAGCCAAACAAAGCATCGGTGAGAGCCGATTACCTTGGCAAAGGGCCAGCGTTTGGCCCGCCGATGAGTCAACTTTCTCACCCAGTTTGTTTTTTAGAAGCGTTGCGAAATGTGGTTTTGACGAAGAATTTAGTGGTAGAAATTTTATTAGCGAAACAAATGGCCCAGGGACCCGATGGAAAGCACAATAGTTGATAGCCGAGCACCCGAATTGGCATCGTCTGCCAGCACCCGCTCAATCCACGGTATATAAGCAGAAACACGCGTGTAAACACCTGAAAAGGTAAGCCTGAATGTTGGTTCTTCGAAAGCCAAAGGTAAATTGGATTCTTTATAAAAAAATAACGTAATATCAAGCAGTTACTAATGTTTTTTAGTAACTTTTAGCGATATTTCAAATAGAAAATCTATCTAAAAAATTTTTGAGGATTCCGAAAATTAAAAAATTACTTGAAAATGGGTCATTTTTGGTAAAAAAAACGATATTTGGTGTAAAATGGGTCCGAAATTACCTGGGAATGTCGCTTGATCTAGCACCCCTTCAAAACCATTAGCACCAAATGACGTGATTCCAATCTGAAAGCGCACAATTTTGCAGGTCTTTGATGGTACCATGCCTTGATGTACCGCGTGTCAACACCTACCTGCACCACATTCCCAAATCGGTCCCTAACCAACAGCGGTCCTCCCGAATCGCCCTGCAAGAAAACTGGTCAAAAATCTTTAAATAGCCGAAAAAATCCCTGCAGATTAGCCAAAGGTTCACGCAACGTACCGGCGCCGAACCGTGACCCAAGCTCCCCGCGCAAATTTGCGTCGAGCCGACGGTTGTCGTGCCTCCGGAAGCCCGCCACCAATTAAGCCTGAAAATCGGAAACTAGAGGGACAATACTTGTCGCTCTTACGAGCAGGTCTTCGTGTCCTGCAACGGAACGACCGAGGTCTTCAACCGGTCTGCCGGGCCGTTCGTTATCCGCACACCGAGGGGTATTCTTTCTAAAAATAACGATTTTTATGAAGGGTTCGATGTAGGGTTGGCATTTGAGGAAACCGGTTTCCGATCTCTTGGATTTGAATCAATGTTTGGATTGACCGGATTGTATTGAAATCGATTTTTCAATTGCATCCGATCGATCGATTCTGCATAAAAACCGATTTGAATAGGATCCGATTTGATCGGTTCTCGAAAAACCGGTTTTTTATTCGAAACCGATCGATCGGTTTCGGAAAAAAAATCGGATTCCAGGCGAGAAACCGAGCGGAAATGAACCGATTTATGCCGAATTTTGGATGCAAATCACGATATTCCTCATTTTTTGTGCTGAAATTGGGGGTCAGTTCGTAACTTCCAGAGCCATCATGTCTGGAAGGAATATATCCATTTTTTGGAGGCTAAGAACGGCTTAGTTTCAAAAAATCGTAGGACCGCTGCCTGCCAAGCACCAAAAAAATGATTTGCATCCAAAATTCGGCATAAATCGGTTCATTTCCGCTCGGTTTCTCGCCTGGAATCCGATTTTTTTCCGAAACCGATCGATCGGTTTCGAATCAAAAACCGGTTTTTCGAGAACCGATCAAATCGGATCCTATTCAAATCGGTTTTTATGCAGAATCGATCGATCGGATGCAATTGAAAAATCGATTTCAATACAATCCGGTCAATCCAAACATTGATTCAAATCCAAGAGATCGGAAACCGGTTTCCTCAAATGCCAACCCTAGTTCGATGTACATGAAACGTACCGACGGCCTTTCCAAAACCCGCCACCAGCGCTTTTGAGCCCTTGCCGAGCAATTTTGTATCATCACGCGTCAGGCAAACGGTCGTCACGCCATGGCCTATTTTTATGGCATGAGCTGTCTTTAAAAAAGGATTTTTGTTTGGCAAATTAGCTTACCTTCAATAGCGCGATGTCGTCGCGTGTGCTCCGGATATTAAACCCGCGATGCGACACAGTTTTGACAATCCGCACGTTTTGCGACACCTCGTTCATCGTCCTCAACCCCAGCCTCACCGATGATCCGACCAGACCCTTCCTACAAAAAAATATGTCCCCATTGAAATGGTGGGCCTACGGCAAACAATGAGCAGCAGTCAGGATCCATCTATCATTCAACACTGTCCCTCCACACATTTCCGTGTACCCGCCGCCATCAGAGGAGAACACCAGCGCGTAAAAGGAGAGCGAACTGGAAACCAGCGTCAAGCTGAGTTTTAGTAAAAGGCTTGACTAGACTAAAAGCCCAGAAATGACAGTTACGTAATAGCAAATATTTTAATAGTGAAAATATTTTCTATACGTTATATTTTGCTATACGTATATTTTTTTAATAGTGTTTAATTAGTGTTATTAGCTGTATTTGAAGTGGAAAACCATCTAAAAGCCGTTGAAAATGTTAACAAATCGGCATTTTTGACGAAAAATCTAGATGTTTGAATCGGCTACTTAGACTTTGTAACGGTTTTCGTTATGAGTAGTAAAAAAAAACGGTTTAGAAACGTCCCCTCTTTTCATTAGAAAAATTGGGCACCAAGGAAAAAGCCTGGCCCCATGTTAGAATGTCAGAATTCGAGGTTTCGCACAACATTTTTTACCAATTTACCTGTTTGGTGTGGCCGCGCCGATGACGCGGTAGTTGAACAGCTGCTCCGAGGTTTCCGTGCAAAAATTCAGGGCCAGTGACAATAGGGGGAAAACCGTAAATAATAACGAAGTGTACATCAAAACCGTGGGCCCTCTCGCTTCCCGTATGCCATCTTTCCTTATCAATTCCTGGCCCCATGATTTTGTACCCTGTGCCCGGAGGACAGCTGATCGACGAGTTCCTAGAATTTTTTATAATAGTTTTTAACGATCGTTGAGGTGGGAAAACTATCCAAAAAGCTCTAAAATTTGATAAATTTCGACCAATAATCGGCATTTTTTTGTATTCTGTAATAATTTGTAAGTTAAATGAACATAAAATTAAGCTACATCCTTTAGATTTATTTTTTAGGCTGTATTCATATACTACGCGAGCCGCGCCGACAATTGCGTATACACTTTGAGCCTTTATTAGCCACAGAAGAAACACAAATCGATTCATAGTGACAATATATGTACACATGCGGAATCAACAAAACATCACAACGACTATATATTCCATCCATTACAAAAATAACCTATGAAAATGATGACACCGGAAAGCTATTCCTTGAAATGCACGAGAACCGTATTTTTCGCGACATTCTTGCCGGGCGCGCAGTTGACCGATTCGACCACCGCGTCCTTGGAGGCCCTAAACAATTTTTGCAGGGTGGTGTTTCGTTCATACTTGATGATGTATTCCATCTTCATCGCAACCATCGTCACGAGCGACTGCCCTTGTTTCACGTTGTCGCCGGGCTTGACTAACACCTAAATCGAGGCCGTGATGGAATCCTTAAAATTGACTCTACCTTTTCCACAATTCCAGGCATCGGGGATATAGCATCGCCCTGGGTGGCACCCGCCCCAGCAGCCGCTAGCAGAGGATTCATGGGTTTTTGGAACTCGTTTTCTCCCACACCGTACACCTAAAAAGATTTTTTGCCTTGGAAAATGCACTAACCAAAATGTTCTCTTGCGTCTGGACCGTCTCCACACGCCATCTACGCCCAGCGGCCTCAATTGTGAACGATCGCTTATTGCCCTCCTCCCTCAAATTCGACACCTAATCCCAAATAAGCATCACACCGGTTGAAACTTACGCTGCTCTCGACTGCCTCACCATCGATGTGAATTTTGTACTTGTTCTCCCCGGTCACTTCTAATTCAACCGTCTTTGCGCCAACTTGGAACGTCTTGCGCATGTTGAGATTTAGTCGGAAGTCGGGCAGGGCCTAAAGGAAAAAATAAAATAAAATTTAACCGTAAACTCGTCACCTGGAACACACTTTTCGGCGCACCCAGCGGCCTCTCAGCGATCTGCCGCCCGATGACCGTCTCGACAATCTAAACAACAGGTCAGAAATAACAGCAAAATTACCTCCTCCATCGTTGTAGCCTTATCAGCAAAGAGCTCCTCTTGGAAGTCCGGGATGAAATCCGTGTAGACATTTCCCTAGAAAACAAGTCATATTTTTCGTTTTTCAATCTCTACCTTGATGAATTCGGGGTGCTTGAGCACCGTGCGCACAAAATCGATATTTGTTGGGAGACCAGCGATCCTTGTGGCCTTCAATGCCTTGTCAAGCTTGGCTGAGGCTTCGACTCGATCACGTCCCCAAACGATCACCTAAAAAGCAAAATGATTGGCAGCTCTTCAGTTTTCAGAATCAAATAACGAGTAGGCTTTAATGAGAATAAATAAAGCCCTACCTTCGCAATCATTGGGTCGTAGTGCACGGAAACTTCATCGCCGCTCACCACCCCGGTATCGACGCGTGCATCTTCCGGGAACTCGACGTAGTCCAATTTTCCTAATTACAAAAATCAGGCCCAAAGCTTTTGCCCTACCGGCAGTCGGCATAAAGGCGCCCTTTCGTGTATCTTCAGCGTAAACACGGCACTCCATTGCATGTCCATTCAATCGAACGTCAGCCTGCTTCAGCGGCAATTCTTCGCCTTGGGCCACCTTCAGCTGCCACTCTACCAGATCAGTCCCTGGAAAATATAAGCTTGTCAAAAAAAGGATTCGATTCGCAAATGCCATAAAGAACCCTTGAAACAGCGAAAAATTCTGCGCAAGAAGGCTTGGTCACGCCACGAAACTAAACAACAACAAACCCGTAATCGCTTCCGAAACCGGATGCTCCACTTGCAGTCGTGTGTTCATCTCCATAAAGTAAAAGTCTCCGCGCGGATCCATGATGAACTCCACCGTTCCCGCGCCCACATAGCCCACCGCTGAAGCCGCGCGCACGGCCGATTCGCCGAGCCGGCGACGTGTTTCCATAGCTAAATGAGCAATCGATAAATAGTCGGTTTAAGCTTACAAATATTTGGCGCGGGCGCTTCCTCGATAATTTTCTGGTGACGCCGCTGCACCGAGCAGTCGCGCTCCCAGAGATAGACGTAGTTATTGTGGTGGTCGCCAAATACCTAAAATAATATCGTTTTTAAACCCTCGCAACGTCTCGCATACCTGAACCTCGACGTGGCGCGGTCTTTCGACAAATTTCTCGACCAGCATTTCATCATTGCCAAAAGATTTCATGGCTTCATTCCTAGAAAAGTGTCTCTAACGTTGAGGCAAATTGCTCACAGAATTCCAATTTTTCAGAATCACTTGGAATGTGAATCTTTGTCTCCTGAAACATCTTTCCGAGCTACGGGAAATTGCCGTCTACCCTATAGAAACTTCGTATTCCGAAAATTAAATATTTTTTTCACAAGGTGCTCCCCCAAAACCAAACAAACCTGGCCGACGTGACCGCCTCGTCGAAGTCGCTTTCCTTCCAAGCAATCCTCATTCCCTTCCCGCCACCGCCGTAAACGGCTTTCAGCATGACCGGATAACCTAAGATGAAATCATCTACTAATCTACTAAAATCACTACCGATGGCTTGGGCATGCTTCTTCAAGTTGGCATCTGACTGATCAGCACCATGGAATCCCTCAACAACAGGCACTTTAGCGTCCTGGAAACATTAGATGTTTCCACACAAAAACCCTCTCACCTGCATAATTTGCTTGGCCAAGCTCTTCGTCCCCATGTCGCGGATAGCCTGTGATGGGGGCCCGATGAAAACTAGTCCGGCTTCCGCGCACTTGTCGGCGAATCCGGCATTCTCGGACAAGAACCCATAGCCAGGGTGGATACCCTAAATATCACCCATTAACGGTCGCCCAACTCTCAAACCTGTGCGCCAGCCTTCAACGCCGTGTCGATCACCTTGTCCACGTTCAGATAACTTTGAGTCGCCTGGGCCGGCCCGATGTGGTATGCCTAATAGATGTAGAAACGCAGGCTACTAGGCTCCTACCTTATCGGCTTTACGCACAAACAGCGCTCCCCGATCGGCGTCGCTGAATACAGCCACCGTTTCAATGCCCATCTTCCGCGCCGTGTTCATCACCCGAATCGCAATCTCTCCACGATTTGCGATGAGCACCTTGTCTATCTTCTTGATCAACGGGCGGCTCCCTTGGCTGACGAAGCGGAGCCCCGTCGCCGGGTAGCCCCAAGCCCGAAGCATCTCTAAAAACGGAAATCATTAGAATTCAATTACCGATAGTTTTAAATTTTAATTTAGTTAGTGCATTTTTCTTCAATTTTGGCTAAAACATCACGCCATGCAATTCGCGCCTGCCGACTATAAACTACATCAGGGACCCCGCGTCCTACGCCGACCCGAGTACTGTAGAAAAACCCGGAGCCGGGCCCCAAGAAAATTTCGGCCGTTTCACGAGTTTCCCTCCAACAAAAATCATTGAAGTGTTGAGGCAAGGGGTTTTGCTAAACTTTTTCGCAAATTTCTGCGTATTGCTGAATGTCTTCGCGTTTACCTCTTTCCCTGCAAGAACCCCACTAATCTCGTCATTTTCAGGTAAACATGGGTAAGCCCATGGGTCTGAACGCGGCAAGGAAGCTTCGGCTTCACCGTCAAAAGCAACGCTGGGCTGACAAGAAGTACAAGAAGGCACATTTCGGCACCAGGTGGAAGGCCAACCCGTTCGGTGGAGCCTCCCACGCTAAGGGAATCGTCCTCGAAAAGATGTGAGCTTTTTGTTTGAAAAAATTTCTTGGAATTGACAGCGCGAACTAGATTCGGTGAATGCTTTCTTTCCTTTCGAAGAATCGTTTTAGGGGAAATTCATGATCAATTTATCAAAATTTAGTTTACAGTTAAATAAACTGTGAGCCTTTCAAGTTCCGTAATTTAATTTGTGACAATTAGTACATATCGACGGTTAACTTTGCATTTGAGATCAATTCTTGCCTCTCGCTACCCCTTACTATTTCGCTGCTTTGTGAAGCGTCCAAACCGCCCACCATTTGCGAATTAATTTTTTCTTCGATGCGATTGATTATCAAAAAGGGAGATGCTTGCGGCTGTCGCCTCTGTTTTTTCGGGATCAAATCATCAACTAGCCATACCATGGCATCTAATTTTTCCGGTTTCAACCTGGTCCATTTTCAGTGGAGTCGAAGCCAAGCAGCCTAATTCCGCTATCCGAAAGTGCGTCCGTGTCCAGCTAATCAAGAACGGAAAGAAGATCACCGCCTTCGTCCCCAACGACGGTTGCCTAAACTTCGTCGAGGTATTGTCATTGATTTATGCCTAATCCTTTTTGTATAGGAAAACGACGAGGTGCTCGTCGCCGGTTTCGGTCGATCGGGTCACGCCGTCGGAGATATTCCCGGAGTTCGTTTCAAGATCGTGAAAGTCGCCAATACCTCGCTCCATGCCCTCTTCAAGGGAAAGAAGGAGAGGCCACGTTCGTAACTGTCTGTTATCTTTTTGTTTTGTTGAATAAATTTTCGTTTGTAAAATCTGATAAATCATTGCCCTTGGATTGTTATTCTAGAAGCACACATGCAAATCTGAAGCAAATTAGGGACTGCAGTGCACAAACAATTAGCTTACGGCTTTTGCGTATCGAGTGTCTTTGGGCGCAGAGGCAGTGAGTCGAAATTATTATTCTCCTGTGGGTTGCGTGCCGGCTTGTTCTCGGACAATGGTGGCAATATTTTTGGACTATGCATCTTGGTTTCTAGCCTGCCCTTTCCCATCAAACCGGAACTTCTGAGCGGGAATGCTCTGATCGCTCCGCTACTCGCGAGGTGGCCAGTAAGGTAAGTTTCGCTGAATAAACCAGCGGTTTTGATCACGGGCAACGATCTTTTTTAGCCATCGGCTCAGCCTTCTGATTGGGCCCAGTCTTGGAGCTATGTAGGGTGAAAGCGTATTTCCTGCACATATTTACCTCAGAAGCCGAGTTCGGTAACCGAGAAATCTACGCGAACGCATGACCTTTCGAAAAGTTCGAAGTCCAAGTCGCTTCGCTCGGATTTGTCGTCGGTAGGAATCGGAATAGCCTCTTCAATTTTCGTTCCAGTCCACAAGCGAACGTCCGGCTAAGCCGCCCAAGACCCGTCGAAGCAACAATCGCAACCTTTATTGCCTTCTCGGGATGGCATTGCTTATCCTGCTGGTTGTTGGTGCGTAGCAACGCCTACTACTTCTGATCTCAGCCTTCTAGTTGCCTTAGCCGTCACGATTCGTTTGATAATGAAAGACGAGGAATACGTCGGCAAAAAGACGGCGGCACTGCAGAAGCGCCTGAAGGAAGAATTCGGCACCGATGTCCGTCTGGGCGGTGACGATCCCGAAGTTGATGTGTTTCCGTAGGAGTTGTTCCGATTCTCGAGCTTCGCTTAGATCGAAGACGTGGCAGATCCCGACGGAAGAATATCGGCCCGAGACATACGACATTGATATGCACGTATGTATTTAGAAGCTACCGTTTTGTATTTTTCGTCATCCAGGTGTATCTGCCCGGCCACGGAACAAACATCTCGACAGCAGATGAATTCACCTTCCAGGGTATCGTCAAGATTACGGTATGCCCAGCATAATTGCAAAAAATGATTAGGTGGCCGTCGACGCACCGCAAAGCTTCCTGGAACTCCACAGCAAGGGTCTCGAGCTGTTGGCAGCGACGCTGCTCGTTGATGGAAGCCTCGACTCGCCACGTCGGATGAGCATGGGATTCAACGACACCCTCAACCGTGTCGCCGTTGGTGACGGGCAAGAGATCCCCGCGGGCAGTCACGTCCTTCAGGTATTATTGCGCTCGATGCGTGAACACTTGCAGGGGTACTACGCTGTTAGCAGGGGGTTAGCACGACCTTGAATTTTCTTAAAATAGTCAAAACTAGTCAAAACGCGTTAGAAACGATCATATCAACGCTAATATATGGGGTGAGATTCTCCCCTAACAACATAAAGTTTCGTCTGAACTGTAGATTGTCTACCGCGGCGAGATCTACAACGCCATGCACGGTTTCTACCGATCGATGTACTACAATGCGGAGGGCGAGCAGCGCTACATCGCCATCTCGAAGTTCGAGCCGGTCGATGCGCGCGAGATGATGCCTTGCTTTGACGAGCCGAGGTTCAAGGTTGGTTTTCCTTTGCGTGAGGCAAATGTGGCCTTCTCAGGCCAACTGGACGTTCACCGTGCGTCACCCTCTTGGCACGACGGCCACCTCGAATATGCCACTCGAGGGTGAAATGACGACTGAACATGCGAAAGGGCTCGCCTGGTCCCGTTCCAACTTCAAGCGCAGCGTGAAAATGTCTTCGTACGTGACGTGCATGATTGTCCACGATTTCGCCTACATCACCAACAAGACGCGGAAGAATGTTCAGGTGGGCCTTATCGATTGTCGGTTGTTTATGCATGTTTCTGTAGGTTGGCGTTTATGCGAATCGGGACCTGATCGAATATGGGCAACGGGCTCTCGACGTGGCTGTCAGATTTGTCGACTATTTTGAAGAACTGACGGGTGTCGACTACGTCCTCCCAAAACTAGGTATTTCTTGCTACGTGGTTTCCGTTGAGGGGCTTTAATTTAGACATCTTTGCCATCCCGGACTTTGCCGCCGGCGCCATGGAGAACTGGGGCATCATGACTTTCCGCGAGGTAAAAGGGGGCAATCGTTTCTCGAAAATGACCCTAGCTGGTGCTTTACAACCCGGAAGTCAAAAATACTGGATTATGGATCGACACGGTCGTGCCGCACGAAATCGTCCACCAGGTACGGTCTCCCTACTCTACTACTCTCTGCGCACTAACCCCCTTTTACAGTGGTTCGGCAACCTGGTGACGATGAACTGGTGGGGCCATTTGTGGCTGAACGAGGGTTTCGCCACGTTCGGCGAGATGTTGGGAGCACGGTTAGCCGGTCACGACGATCCCCACAACACCACCGGGCTTCGCGTAGCATAGTGTCGGCGACAGCCCATTTTTCTCGCGTATAGGCTTCGGCATTCTTGTTGGAGTCGCGCGTCATGGACGAGGACGACACCGTGCCGTACAAGCCGATCGTGTACCCGGAAAACTTTGACCAGCGTGGACCGGTTTACGACGTAGGTGTCATCAGGGAAATTTCGAACTTTTCACTCAAAAATATGTTGCATAAAGCTACACCAGGGTTAGCTAACATTTTCTGGTACTGGGTTGTTAGCCGGGGGTCCGTTAATTTTTTACACTTTTTTACCAAAACAGTAGAAATTTTTCAGATTTTTTACTTGAATTTTACGAGTTTTTGTAGCTAAAAGCTATATAAAATGTTAAGTGACTTTTAATTCGTTATGGGGCCATGTGGGGTAAAAGCCGAACCCCCCGATAACAGTCCAGTACCGATTTCTTTCCACCCGCAACCTTCCACTATTGTAACTTCCTTTACCTACCTTCTATTTCAGAAGTACCCGCCGGCCTACGACTGGATGCGCGAGTACTTCGATGGGATGAGCTACCAGAAGGCCGGCTACGGAATCTACTCGATGTATGAGACGCTCGGCGAGAAGCGCTTCTTCCAGATGATCAAGGTATCGGAAAATGACGTTTAGGCCAAAATACCATACCACCATTATAGGCGTATCTGAATAAGCACCGCTTCTCCACGACCCTATCGTCGGACATCTGGGAGGAAGACCCGATAAAGGACGATCTGTGGAAAAATGCCGTCGCCGCCAACAAGGATCATCTGACATTGGTACGGCCCATTCCCCCTTTTTTTCTACGACATTCAGGCTGGCTATCCGGTAATTGATGTGCAACAGCAAAAGCCCGGGCAATTCGTCGTCTCCACGCAGCGACACCGGCCCATGGGCGTCTTGCTGACCGCCCAAGAAGAATCCGAGTCAGCCAGACAACCTAGCATTGGAATTTATTTCCAGATTCTGGCGCATCCCCATCACTTGGACCGGCAGCGACGAGATGATCTTCATGAAGGAGAAGGACGGTGGGTTGGTAATGAATTGCTAGCAGGGGGACCATTTTTCGACTTGTTTTGGTCAAAAAGGTATGAAAAACGAGAAAAAGTCAAAATTTCGAATTTCAAAAATGTTCAAATATTTTTTTTGTAACTTTCGAACAACCAAAACTACGAAAAAAATGGAAAAATGCACTATTTTTTATGAACAGGTGAAATAGGCGGAAAACAATATTCGTTCCCACCACTACTTACCCAGTACCAAAGCACCTTTTGCAGAAAAAGTGATCATCCCCTTTGCCAACAAGTCACAAAAGATTCCCTGCGTCAACCCGAAAGGTCTCGCCTACGCTCGCGTCAACTACGGCAAGCTTTGGCCTGAAGTCGCCAAGGATTTTCTGAACATCGTGCGTCTCATGGGCTCTCCTTTTTTATTTTTTTCAGTGCCCCGATGCGATCTCTCGTATCTTCATCTACCACGATCTGTTCTTCTTGGCTGAGAATGGCCTAGTCGACTGGAGCGTGGCGCTGGACTTCCATCGTTATCTGCAGGAGGCGCTCTATTCTTGGCATCGCCCGAACAATTCTGAGAGGTTTAGGAGAACAATGATCAGGCCCGCGATGCTCTGATGGACCAGCTATCGACGGTGAACAACAGGCAGCGAAAACTGTTGCCAGAGTCGCCCGGAAATTGTGGCTTGATCAAGGTACGAGCGCGTGGGGGTGGTGGACCCGCGATTCCGCAAAAACTAAGTTTTTTTGGAGGAATATGTCACGATGTTATGAAAACCAAAAGAATTTCAGTATGCCGAGGGCGTCTTCCAGACGATGTACAATAACGGCGAAGCCGCCAACCAAGCCAATAAACGGTTCCGCAGATTACTTACGAACTACCATATCATTTTCTCAGCGGCCTAAAATCTGCGCACACGTTGAAGGCGGAAGCTGCCCGGTCGATTCGAGTTCACGACGAGGTTATCCCCAAATCGTCAGCGCCTTTTATGATTCACGCAAAGCGAAAAACCTAGGGCTACCCACTCGAATTGCGATACGCCCAATCTCGTCGCCGTCGCCGTCTACCACAAAAAAGTGATGGACATCTGCGGCCAGGGGCAACGCACGAGCCAATGCGCCGGGTAATTCAGCACCATAAAGTGAACATTTAACGACGATTTTCTAGGTGGAAGTATTCTACTACGCGCGCGAATGCTTATTGCGATGCGGTACGCGCCGACAATAGCTCCGAGATAGCCGAGCACATCTACGAGAAGCTACGCATCGAAAGTAGGTCAATGTTTTGCGAAAATAGCTCGTATCAGAATTACATTGGCATTACGGAATCCCCGAAACGATTTTTAGCCGACCTGCTCGAACAGGAAAACCTGGGACGTGCCTTGTTGTGCAGCCCCGATTGGTACTACGTGCAGCTGTATGACCATCTAACGGCCAGCGAATTTTTTTGGCTCTTGATTACAGGGTCCTGGACGCTCTGATCGAGCGTACCGGCCTTGTGCGCCTTCAGTCAATGTATGCGCTCATGTTCACGTTGTCCGAGAACTACCCGCAGCCACATCGCTTGATTGGCTTCCTAGAGAACAACGTCGAACGCATCTACAAACGGTAGAGTTGTCATTTATTGGAGATGCTCACCTTTGTTCCGCTTTCAGGATGCACGATTCGCCGGCCGAGATGAAGAAGATGTTCGCTGGCCTGATGCGCGGTGTGCGGACCAAAGAAGATGTTGAAGTGGTGGGGCAACGGGCTGGTTTTGCTTCAATTTCGCGCGCTCTAGGTGAAGAAAGTCCGCAAGATGGTGCCTGAGCACATCGGGGAGCTCCCGCTCTGGGATCAGGCCCTCGAGCGCTTTCACCGCGAGCAGGAGTGGATCAACAAGTCGGCGGTAGGGCAAATAACGCGGCTTCACCGGTACGTTTTTAGCCCCGCATCATGGCCTACTACGACGACCTTGAAGCCAACAAAACCAACTAGCCACCCCAAACTCGACCGCCCTGAAGCCTTGCCACTCACCTTTTGCCTCTGCTCGGTGATGACTTGCCCCGCCGGGTGCGACTGGCCAAGCACTCCACGTGCTTGTGGCAGTCTCTCACGGTCGAGGCGTCATGCTCATTTGTTGTATATGTGAGCGAATAAAGGCTGTATCTGAGCGTCCACCGCGTTTGCCTACAAACGACACCCACAAGGTTAAGATTACACACGAATTTATTGTGCAGAATTGGCTACAATGCAATGACAGTGTCTAATTATGCGGGGTGAATTTTTGGAGTGAAGTGAATAGGGTACGCGTAGAGCCCGAGAGAAGCCAGGCAGGCATTCCGGGGGGTAGCAATCACAGGTGAGACGATAACCCATATCGGCCATACGCCGAAATGCGCACGACCCCTAACCGGTAGGAGGATTTAAAAGCAATGGGGGAAAGAAATCACAGTAAGATACATCGTACAGATACAAACACACAAAATACAAAATTAAAGTGGTGGGACTCAAACACCGATCGGTCGTTGTTCGGCGGCCGCCTCCTTGACGGTGTCGAAGCGTCTTCGGCGGTAGCTAAAGTCTATTGGGTTGCAATGTCTAGCCGAAAAACTCACCGGCAAATCAAAGCATCCAGGCTGTACTTCTTCTCGAAAGAAATCGGATAGCGGCGACTCGGAGATGGCCGAAGCGAGCACTTGTTCCAATGTCACGCGCCATTCACCGTCAGAGACACTGAAATGAAAACTAGATGTAGGCGAAACAGAACTAACGCTTGCGAATGCGCGCCAGCCCGGCGCCGCGTAGCCTCGGTGATGGGTTCTCGGGCTTTACGCATCTCCTCCTCGTCCTCGTCGACCAATTCCTCCGCATCGGACCCATCGCCGCGCTTCGCTTCTTCCCCATCTTCCAGCACTGCATTCGCAATATCCGCTTCCAGCTTCGCCTGCAGCTCCTTGTAGGTTTCGCCGATTTGCAGGAGCAGGGTACCTAAAAGCGAAATTGGGACGGCCGCTGAAACTCACCAACAACAGCCAGCGAATGGAAGATTTTCTGATCGACATTATCCGATGAGACGAGCTCGTAGAACGTTTTCCACATTTGGATAAATTGCGTCTAAAGACCGGTCAGACTCCGAAGAAATTCCGCGCACCTGGTTCATCGGTGGAAGGGCCCGAATCTCGGCTCGTGTCGTCTCGTGCCCCTCGTGGCACATCTTGGCACGCAGCACCTTCAACTTCTCCACCGACTCGGCAACAAGGGAGAAATTATCTGAAAAAGGCTAAAACACAAGAAGCAACATCCTTACCGCTTCCGTTATCATTTGATGCCTCTTTGGCCGATTCTGGCTCGTCGTCCGAGCATTGCGATCTGAAAACAATTACTGTAAAATTGACAAAAATTTGGCAACCTCGAAGCGATGAGTTCAATGAGCGACGCCGATGAGCTCGGTGCCTCAAGCATGGTGATGGAAGTGGCCTAAAAGTGAAAATCATACATAGGAGGGCTATTAACGTACCGTACTACTTCTGCTTCGCATATCGCGGAGCCCATCATCAGTGCGACCGCTGGTGCTGCCGCGATGTCGCGGCGACCCCAAAAGCACATGAGCTTCACATGCCATTTCCGGCTTGTCCTCATCTGCAAAAATTAGCACCGAAATCCAAACCCTACCGTCCTCGTGCTCCTCCCCAAACACCCGGTCCTCCTCGTCCAAGTCGGACTCGTTGAAAGCGGGCGGCAAATGGCACTTGTAGAATAGCGCCAATTTCTCGGTAGCGTCGCCCTAAGCCTGAATTGAGCCTAATCAAGCACAGTTACCAATAGCAAGATAGAAAGCGTCACGGCCACGTCGCGGAATGTGAGAAGCCCGGATTCGGTGATGTCGAGTAGCTATAAAACCAAGCTCCGAAGAATTGTAATGATGACATACCCTGAATAGGCGAACGATCAAGATGTGGTGCACGGTCCAGGGGAGCATGCGAGGGATGATCTGCTCGAACAGCTCAAAGTCAACACGATATTGCGAGGAGGAAGAGCCGCGGGAGCTCCTGAACCCATTTATTTCTTAGAATTAATATTTACTTTTCCAACATTGATTCCTCCTTGCCGCGCGCTGACATGGCCAGTCTTGTTCTCCATGAGAGTAGGTGTTCTTCCTAAAAAGGCTTATTTAAAAAACGATGTATCCGCACCTTGACGAGGTTGTACAGCTTCTCCAGCTCCTCTTGACCAAACTTGCACTCCTGGCCGACGCTTCGGATGATGCTCTTCATCTGCGAGTCCTCCAGCCCCTGCACCACCTTCAGTCGATGTTTTAGCCGCAGCTTTTCAATGTGGGCGTTCGTGAAGGCGCACCCGAAATCGCGATACGAGTTGGAGAGCAGGTTACCGATGCAGATCTAAAAAAATGGACTGGGATAGTAGAATCGTGTGGGATTGGCACCTTTCCCTCCTGATGTTCATCCGTCTCGACAATTTTGGCGGTGTACGCGCTGAGGGCGACCATCGTGTCGCCGTCGTCGCGAGAGCTCGCGAGCAGTTCCTCGTTGTCTTTCAGGATCTCGAGGGCCACTTGGAACATTAACTAAAACTGGATATCTTATGGGTACGTATGTGAAAGCGGGCGCTTATTATAACTGTTTTTAAACCTTTTAAGAAGGTAATTCGATAATTTCTAAAAAACCACCTTTGCTCCTTCGAAGAAAAACAGATCCAAAATCCGCACAGCAGCTTCAAACTTGATATCGGACAGGAAGACGGTCAAGAACCAGGACAGCGCTATCTGAAAAAAGCCACATTTCGAAACTTCTGTACAAAATTACCATCTGATCGAGCCCGATACGCGAAAGCTGTTGGTGAATGGACGGCTGGAAAGATTGGACGAGCTCGCTGAAGACGCCCTGATCCACCAGCGCTCCGACGACCTTCGTATTGTAGTAATCGGGGAGCAGCCGCTCACAGACTGCCACCAACAGCCAAAACGCCTGCTCCTCGGGCACAAACAGCAGCAGCACCGAGCCGACAATGTTCATCGCCTGGCAGTAGCCAATGTTCGGGTTGCGGAAGGAGTAGGCGGTCAGGATTCGGCGGAGTGCATCGATTCCGGGACCCTTTTGGAATGCTGGGTGTTCGGGAAGGCTTCTAAATTGGTGTGATAAATTTTTTGGAAATAACGTTTTTTAACACTATTGTTTCGAAAAGTAAATTTTGGAAAATGTCGTAGAGCCGTTTTCGAACTACAGAATGCTTCAAATTGCAGTTGCGATACGAGCGCGAATTTTCCAAAGTGATCTAAAAAATTATTTTTCAGATCATGAATTTTCAAAAGGTCATTTTCCAAACTGCGATTTTCCAAAATGGAAATCTTATAATCTTCCGTTAAAAGGGGAACTGAATGGCAGCAGCACAAACCTATGCAAATCTCGCTCAATCTCTTCCACCGCCACGGTGAATTGGCCAAAATGGCGGGCCAGTAGACTAGCGTAATACCCGGGGTGTAGACCCATTTCGGCACCGGCCCCCGAGCAAAGCATCCACATCTACAAAAAATAATTAAATTTTAGCCAGGGAAAATACCTCTCCCCGTTTATTCGTGGGAATTCCGTCGAGCAGCAGCCGATGCATATCCACCGTCCGGTACATGCCGACGCCCCAACCGTACTCATCGGAGAGCTTTTCCCATTTCTTCTCCAGCGCCGGCCCGACGTCGTTGCCGAACGGGTAGATGGCAATCAGCGGCTTTTCCAACAGGCTTAACTCAGAAGTCTAAAATGATGGTGTCCGGGTTAAAACATCAACGGACCGTTTTTCTCGGCGCGTTTCGTCTTGTCAAAGGAGTGTTGGATTTTAGCCTGTTCGCGGAAGGCCACCAATTTCGCGAGCACTCGATCCCGATCTGGCACCTCGGTGAACATGATGGCCGTCTGGAAGGGGGGATATTGTTTCGGTCTTTTTAGCAAACCGCAGATCGATTAAAAAGAGCCCTTTTGTAGAAGCGTTGCTACCAAAATTTCGAAATTCAAGATAACCAAATTGCATAATGGCGAATTTTCAATAGGTCGAAGTTAAGCGTGTCAACCGATTCCTTGAAAAAAACCCCCAAAACTAGGCCAAAACCAATTATGAAATTTTCACATTGTCAAATTTTAAAATCATGAATTTGGCATTCTGAATGTCGACATTTTCAAAATAAGGCCTTTATGGCGCCCTCCATTTCACCAAAAAACCGACCCCATTATGCAGGCAGACCAATATGCCGCAGTTCTTCTGTGCAGCCTCAGTGCCACCGGAGCATTCTTCGACGGAGGACACCTCGAGCAGCGGGATGACGACGCTCACCAGGTTCTCCACCTAAAAACTTGATCAACACGCACAAGCTCATCTACCTTGCTCTCAAAGCACGCAAAATGGGCGGACAGGTAGAGGGTGCCACGGGTGTGCCGACGGTCGTACGGGGTGAACAGGCGGCACTCACAGTCGCCATCGATACGTTCGGAGACGGGGAGGCAGAAGCGTGACCTGAAAGACGAGGCGTTAATAGCATATCGTGACCAAATTAAATAGGCTCAAAAAGTTTGTTTGAACAATATGAGGATCTTTTACATTATCGGGGGTCCTTAGGCCATAAGGATTGTTCCAATACAAATAGCGCAAGGGCTTTTGCACTGTACAAGTGCCATAAAAGTCAAAACTTTACCCTTTTTTCTTGAAAACACAAAAATATAAGTTTTCGTTCTCGCACATTCTCGCTCGAAAAGTTAAATTCTAGATTTTGTAATTTAAATTTTTACATAGTGTTCCACTTGAAGTAGAGTTACATTTTATTAAAAAAAAACCATGGGCATTGAATTTCTAGACAATTTTTCTCATTTTCCACATTTTCCAACGGCCACCCCAACGTTGATACATTGTGAAAAGCTAGAAAAAATGTCGCGAAATGAATCAACCTGCCGGGGCCACCGACTAACAGGACTCAACATCACCACCCAGCCGAGACACACCAACCACCGGAGGGCCGTGAATCAGGGCCCGTGTCACAGTGCCCCTTACAAGATACCAACACCGACTGGATGTTTTCACAGAACGAGACCGCCATGTACCGTAACATGTTCAGCGTCATACGCATCGCTCGCATACTCATTCTGCTTTTTCGGCCGTTAAACTACCGTAACCTATTTTTTTCTATGAACTCATGAGGGCCTAAAAATAAAATACAGTGTTTTTAGAGAATGGCACTCCATTTTTTAGCATAGTTTAGCTATTAAAAAAAGTTAAATATTTTTGCTCAGGACTCGAAAATGTACGAAAAATGACCTGGCTTTTCAAAAACTACGTTTCTAAATTTTTTTAAAAACGAAATGCTATTAAAACACTATATTTTATCACTAGGCAGCTAGCTGTAGGCTAAATAAAAAGAGGCTGACCATTTCATAAAGGAAATCGTGTGTTTTCATCCAGGATACCAATTTGAGCGCGATATTATTATCGGAGTGCCGCCAAGCGCCAGACGGGGTTTTTGGATTCAGGCTCATTATAGCCGAAGGGGGTGTCCGCGCGTCCTTTGGAGGGCAATTGTCGGCGGGCGGAGGCTATCAGCAAGGTCGATCGGCGTTTGAGGCCATGATAGCCTCTTCACCCAATCCACTACAAGCAGGATTAGCGGACCCTATTGTCGGGGAGCCGGAGCCGATACGTATTCCTGAACGCGTAACTACTATATTACAAACCTATCAAATTACATTTTTTTCAATCGTCTAAAAAAATAAAAAACCTTAACAGAATCACTCTCAATGCCTCGATCGCTTCGCCTAAATGCTTGTACGTTTGTGTAAATATAGCCCAAAATGTTTTGTCTAGCGCAGCGAAACGTTTCTGGCCGTTCAAGAAAGTTTTTTTAAGCGTTTAAACCAGGCTACTCTTGAAACTCTCGATAAGCTTCCTAAAAATCGCGTCCCAATACCGCCCGCGCGCTCTTGCCGTCTTTCTTTATGCCATGCGCTCAATCCGATCATCTACTGACAGGTTGACCCCACCGTTGCGCAAACATTCCCCCGAACTCACGGCGCATTGCCGAAAAGAGTCCTCCCAGTTGAATCAGCCTTCCCTTTTTCTTTGAACCCCGCCAAGACGTGGAAAAACACGCCCTTGCCGCCACCCTTTGAAAATCAGCATTGTTGGTACTGCGCGCTTGCTGTTACCGCGTTCATGCACTTGGTCACGGCGCTCGCGATCGTAAAATGCTAGCCCCCAAAAAGAGGCCGACGATGCGGAAAAGGGGGAGAACGCGCGTGCCGAGATCCGGCAAAGTCCTCGGAATTGATCGCAAACGGTCGGTTGAGATTGACGGGCACTTTTCGCGGGCCTTGGTCGCAATTTTCCCCTCGTTTCGTGAACACCTAAGCTCTAATTTTAGTTTATTATAACTTTTTGAAATTTAGAGATTCTGACGTTCAGAGGTTCTGATTTTTAGAGCTTCTTGAAGTTAAGGGTGCCCTGTTTTTCAAACAGCATTTTAGCCGCACTTCTATGATACTGGCCTAAACTGTCGGGATGAGCGACGAGCCAGAATACCGGGGCCAAGTGATCATCTACACGATCGTGGGATGCGGGCAATGCATGCGTGCCAAGCGGATCTTGAGGTAAGCGTTATGATTATAGGGCCATTCGGCTGGAAAGGTCCTAAATAGCAAATAATAAACCCTATCCTGGGCATTTAGCCAAAACAAAAATTATCTATTTTAGCCAACGCCGAGTCCCATACACTGATATTTCGTTGGACAGTTTTCCCCAGGTAAAATTTACAAAAGCTACGAAACGCGCTAATCAGTGCCACACCGAAATGACGGAGCGCGCTGGTGGCGATCCGACGGTTCCCCAGATCTTTTTCAATGGCATCCATATCGGTGGGGCGGAAGAGCTGGAGGAACTGGTGAGTCAAAATAACATGATAAAATCGCATGAATTAAAACCATAATTTGGCTCTCTCTGGGTGTGTGTCCGGCGCGCGGAGGCCTACTTAATTCAAAAAAACAAATTCTCCCTTTGTGCGCGGGGGGGGTGGTGGGGGGGGGGGGGGGAGGAGTTTCGCCCGCGTGGGGTTACTTGATAAAATCGGAAAACTTGAAAAAAGAGGCAAAACAGTGAAAATTTTATGAACGATAGGTGCACGACCAGCGGAACTGGGAATCGCTGCTCGAGATTGTGCGGACCGAGGAGAGCTCGAACGGCCCGGCGTTGCCATCGCCCGACCAGGCCGTCGACATTTTGGATGAGAACGCAAATGGAAGCCCGAGTAAGTGAACGCCGGAAAGAGAGAGAGAGAGAGATGAGAGAGAGAATTCTCAAAAAAAAACTTCAATTTGTCAAGCTAAAAAATCCTACACGAATTTTCAAAGCCAGAAAGAACCGGCTGGCCCGTTTGGAACCCCCCATAGACTCCCCCGAATGCTCTGCCGGTGCTTATCGGGCCGCCTAATTTGGAAGCGGATTATCATGGAAAACCGCGACTCATCGCGCGTTGCTCGTCATTCACACCTTTCCATTTCAAGTTGAACCTTTCAACTCTTTTTCGCCGTTCTATTCTATTCCGTTTTCTTGGTACAAATAATTCTCCCGTAAACCAGGGAGATCTAATATTATTAAGCGATGAAAGCAGTTGTTCTAAAACATTTTTTTTTCTCCGAAAAAACACGTAAACTAAAAATTGGGCCAATTCGGCATCTTATTTCCGATTTGGTACCCCAGCTGCTGATACCCCCGTTCGATTGCCATAGGTTTCATTTAAGATGCCTAAAATTGACATAGAGCCAAACTTTGCGAGACCCTAACGAGCCCAAAGAGAAAAAATGGCCGGAAACACGAATTAGCGAAACAAAATATATTGAAACCCAATAACTAATATTAATAAATGAAGTCAGCCCGGTCACCCCGCTCAAAATTGCTGCCACCCCCCGGCCGGGCGCAGAAATTTGTTGATGTTTTGGCAAAATTCGTGGGCCGCTTGTCGCTGTGCTTCGCTTGCCCCCTGCCCCCGCCGCCCGCTTCATGCACATTTTTTTTTGATAATCGTCACCGTCGTCTCCCCGTCGAGAGCACCCGCCCTAACCGGCCATGCTAAACGATCCGGGTTTTTGGGGTGTTGGAATTGTTGGGCTATTCGTGGTGCACTGTCAACAGTTTTTTTACCGCTCGCAGAATGGCGGCGTCGTTTGGAGGAAAATTGCCTCAATTTTTCGTGGCCGGATGTATTGATCTTTATAGCTTGTTAGAATTTGATAAAATTAATATCTAGAGTTGAATAAAAAACCCTGAAATCAATTCAGAATTAAAAATCGCAATCTTTTTCACCTCCTACTTATTTTTTCATTGTGGAGATCACCAAAAATCGCCCCTTAATCGATTTCAGGAAGCTATAATTTCGAATGACTTAAATTAAAAATCGCTTCAAATCACTAAAATATAAACAAGAAGAAATCTATTTTCGAGTTTCATTTCCTCACCCCACACCCTCACATCACCAAAAATAAATCATCAAGATACACAAAAAATTTAATTGACTAAAACTGATACCCAGACTCCAATTAAAATTTTCTCCAAATAAATCTAGAGTTAAAAAATAGCAAATCTACTTTCGTGTTTCGCTTCTTACCCATTTTCTTACCTATGCTACCACGAAACGGCTAATTAAGAGGAGAACCCAGGAATCTGGGCAATTCCAAAATGGACGAACATTACGCGGACCATCCAATTGATGACCGGCTAGCGCCGGTTTTACCGCCAATCAAACTGTACCCATTGCAAAGGCCCCGGCAGCTCGTCTGTTCCATTATGCATCCAGGTTACTAACTAAATCTAGCGAAAAGAAAAAAAAAAGACCTCAATAATTTTCTAGCGACCAAAAAGTAGTCCCTTACAGATGATGTGTTCCTCTGGATACCCGATGAATATACAAAAATTGTGGCCGACATGAAGAAAGCCAATATTATCAAGGTGAGGAGTGATAGATTCGTAGCATTTTCTGGTCGTTTAGTATGGGAAATTAGTAAATTGAGTTAGTATAAAAATGTCTTGTAGAAAATTTAGATAAATTGCAAGTGAAAAAATCCTTAGGAAATTTAGTAAAATGTCAAAAAATTTGAGATTTAATCGAAAAAACGGTATTTATTGTTTTCAATAAAATTTAGAGGTAGTGAAAAAAGAGATACTCCCCTATCAACCTTAGAAAAGCCGGACCATAAGAAAAAAGCCCCCCCCGATAATGCGCAAGATCCACTTGCAAAAACCCCCAATTTTTAGGATAATCGCGTCGGCATCATCAAGCAGTACAAGAATTCCTTCAAAGGCCAGGACTTTATCGATTGGATTATGAGGGAGCGATCGATCAGTAAGTGGCTAGTTACAATAAGCCAGCCAACAGAAACGGATAAGCCCGAAGAGCTCCAAAACCGAAAATTCAGAAAAATCGGAAGCGCTTGAAATCGGGCAAGAGCTGATCGATCGTCATTTTGGGCAGCAAACGAGCAAGGAAAGAGGAGAGACGTTTAGCCCGGATAGGTATGACTTTCTAGAGAGAGCGTGCTCACACGCGCTTTCTAGGTACTACCAACTTGTTGAGGACGACGAGAACAAGCCCCTAAATGCCGGCTACATTGGGGTTGATGCTCACACCGATGCGGCCATTGGGTAAGTGCTATCCAAAAACCCCTTGAATACGGTATTTAGCGTCGAAGACTATAACAACAATTTGGCGTCTATTATCCAAGCGATTTATGACGATATTTTGAGCGAAGATAAATCGGTGGGTAGAGCAGGAAAGGGATTGCTACCAGGATCAAATAATTTTGTCGAAATCTCATATTATCGCAATTTGTCGACATTTCATGCGCTGAAAATACAACTTGCAAAATGTTTGAGATGAATAATCGAGGCGAAAAAGGCTTTGAAATTTCGACAAAATGATATATCGAAAAAATGAGGTTTGGACGGAATGAAAAAATCCGTTATCCGATTCATTATAAAATTTATGCATTCTGAACTGAAAATCCAAAATTGAAAAAAGAAAAGTAGATAAACCATTTTCAGACAGTCTACTATCATAAGCTCGTCGACAACGAACACTTTAACAAATTCCTTTCCTACATCCGGGACCTCAGCCGCGTCGATCTGACGACGTCCACGCCAGACCAGAGGTAACGCCCACCTTTCAAAATTTACATTCTCTAAGATTGGCCCTACTCATAAATGTCTACAATATGATGACTATTCATATTACCCAGCGCTTCGGGCCCCCGGTCGGCGTTTGGCAGCGCAGAAAAGTTAGTCGAAAGCAAAATTTGGAAGTCACGACATGTCCCAGATGTTCAACAGCACCTACTACATAATTGGTGGCCACAATTATTCGTTGAACTCAATTTTGAACGGGGTACTGCGAGGCAATAGGAAAGGCGCCAGCTATCTGTGGAAGCCGTTTGGGAAGCAGGACCAGAGACTGCCGGTGGGTATCAAAATTCTCAAATTTTGTTTGGGGGGACCAAATTTTTTTCCTGGAGGCCCCGGTTGGCCTAGTAATTCAATATAAAGTGTTCTTACAACGTTTTTAGTACGCTTTAACTATATTTAATGAAGCAAAACTTTCGAAAAAAGTTAGAAAAGTTTTTGAAGTTGTAAATTTGGCCATTTTGGCTAAAAAAATTGTTTTCGACCTAAAATTAAATGTTAATTAAAATTTGTAAAATTTTCATGCCGGCCAACTCCGAGATTTCAGTTAATAATCGAAGGCGGTGAGCCGCTATCCTTTTTCGGGCTGAATAACGGGAGCCGACACTCTCCACCCCTCAGAGCCTATTCCACAGCTGTAAGCCTTTTTTCGTCGCCGAAAAATCGACTAATTCAGAATATTCGCGAAGAGTTGCTCGTGCAGGCCCGTCTTTGCTTGGAAAGCGATGACTATTTACGGCTGGAGGGGAAGAAAAATGTCATCTACCTCAGCAAAATATTCAAATGGAATGCAGAGGATTTTGGCAATACCCCGGAAAAAGTACGAAGGGTTAAAATGACGAATTTTGTCCCAATTTTCGATTTTCGAAAGCTTCCTATTGAAAATATCATCAAATTCGCAAACAAAAACAATTTCATTGGTAGGCAAAACTAAGTCGGCCGAAAAAATAGTTCCTACCCGCTAATCTTCAAACCGAGCTAAATATACTAAATGGATGATAGATCATGGAATGGATTGCGGAGGCGCTGCAGGGCTGTGAATCTGAGAAGGCCAAGACCGTCATAAAAAGATTTTACACTGGCGAATATACGGTGAGTAACCATAACGAAGAATTCAGCATCGGATTCAGGTGGATTATATTCACTATGACTGGACGTTTAATGGAACTGAACGGAACAATAATAGCCGGCCGAAACCGAGGATCGAACGGCCCGAATTGCTAGTAGGTCCTAAGCTAATTGCCTAAGATCAACCCTTCCTATTACAGAAAGGCCTCGAAGCCTCCGCTCAAAATAGCCCTACGACGACCGGGATCCTAGACCCGATGAGTCCGCAATACGATTTCGAATGCTCATACAAAATGTGATGCTTTTTGTAAATTATACTGACCTGTAACTCTCTGATCTTTGCCGCGCGTCCAAATCACGCTTCAGAAATGACCCCGAATTCTTCTTCTTCCTTGCCATGGTTTCGCCCAGTACCTATTAATACGGACCGCTCCAACGCCTCACGACTTAATCACCTTCTTACGTAGATGCGCATCTTCGCAAAAGCCCTCTTCTTCGATTAGCCTAAAAGCCGTCCTTGCCAAAAAAATGCGCCACAAACTGCTTCATTGCGATGTTCGCCAATTGAGACGCCAGCTTGTACGTCTCATCAAAGTTGAGGAACATTGAGAAATCGTAGCGAGTGTCGCGAGTCGTCACTAAAACCAAAAATCCATCCACCAAAGCGCCTTTTTTACCGGATAGCCCTTGTGGCAAGATCAGTGTGGAGACTCGTTCCAATTTCTAAACACGTACACTTCGTAAAGAAAGCAATACTACCGTAATATCCGTCCACTTAAGCTTGATCTTTGTCTTCTTGCCCATAATAAACGAATAGAAACATAGAAAGTTGACGGACAGGTAAAGATGACCCTGCATCGGGACCTTACCGGCAAAGAGACAACATGTGTAATCTAAAAAGACCTTATATGAAACTTTAAGGGGGCCTACAGTTCACCAATCGTTCTTCACCGGGCAGTTGAAATTGTCGTTGGAATTTCGTGTGTACAGAGCGGTTAGACAACGAGTCCAAGTCTTCTAAAACTAAACTAATTCCATTTTTTTGCAGCTTTTTACCAGCGTTCGGCTGATCGACAGCTACATTCACCAGACTTTCGATCTTGCACATCACAAAGCGACGAACATCCCGCTCATGGTCAAATGAAGCTGAAAAACGTGTTTATCCTAGATGAGTGACTACCTAGCGTCGCCATTAGGTTCTTTTCAAGCCATTCCCAATGTTCGAGGATTTCCTTGCGGTGCACAGCGACGGCAACAACTGACAACGAGATAGAGATCATCAACGGAAAGCCACTAACCGAAAGCAACGTATTCGGCGTCATTGTCACTTTCATAAATGATTCGATAAGGCGCCGGGCGCGTGTCGAAGACCTAAAGCGCTTCATTCGAAAAATGAAACAATCTTGAAAAGTATGAATGCAAGAAGCAGACCGAGTCAATTGTGGCCACGAGGATAGAACTGAGCCCCTTCGTTCCGTGGCCCTTCCTACGCTGGACAACGAAGTAGGGGTTGCGCAGTTCGACTACCCTAAACCGGGAATTGTGTTCGATTCCATAAACTGTAGCCCCAAACCCTGTGTATTTTCAAAACACTAACCATAACGGCTGTGCTAGGGCGAGGTGGTCCGGCGTCACCCACACCATCCACTCTTATCTGAAAGTTTATTCAGTTTATAACGTATTTCGTTTAGCCAAGAAGAAGAAAATAAATCACATATCTAAGACAACGGTATTCCAGCAATGAACAAATCGAGCGATAATTCAACTAGTACAAACAGACTATATGGACAGAACGCTGGGTAAGACTACTGATACTAAAATCGCAATATAGCTTCAATAGGGGTGTTGGCAGTAGTTGTTGTTGTTGTAGTTCTACAGGCGCCACCACCACATTCGCTGGCGAACAAAGTCGTATTCGGGGAAGGCCTCGGTGCGGCCAACACCAGCAGTAGCGACATCGCGATCGTAGACGTGGCGGTTCAGGGCCTAGAAATGAAAGATTAAAAATCGAGCCGGATCGCAAAATTAACCTGGGAAATCGAGCCGGACGAAACATTCGAGAGCTGCTCCTCGACATCTCCGAGGCTGCGCAGATGACCAGTGTAAAGAAGCTCACGGGCATTGAAGCCAGCCTTGCCGGCGTTCGATTCAACGGACTCGAAGAAGTTGGTGCGGTACTGGTTGACAAGACCGTCGACTTCGGCCGATTCCAGGGCACAGGCCATATGTTTCCATTCCTTTTGGATGGTACCGTGGATCGACGTCACCTCCTCCAAGTCTTTGCCTTGAGCGACGAAGTACACGCCCCAGAGGCCGGTGTTCTTGTAGTTGATGCTGAATTGCTTGAAGCCATGGAGACCATATCCCTCCACGAGACGCTGTACGTGGCGCTTAGGGGCATTGTGCGAAGAGCCATGCGTCACGTCCCATTGGCCAATCCCGTTGGCAGCAATTGCAAGAGGGAGCGCATCAACGTGCCCGTAGCCGACGCCCTCGACGGCGATCGCTGCATACATGGCCGGGATAAGGTCGTTGCGGAACCGGAACTCGGATCCCGTGAATCGGATTCCCTCGTCGGAGGGTACCTTGCCGGGATATTCGTTCGAGAGGTCGCCGAAATACTTCTCCGCGAGGCCAACAAGCTTCTGGTGATCGGCACCGCCGCCGACAGCAGAAATCACAGTCCTGACGGGCCGGTAGTTATCGGCGAGCCACTGGCGGACTTGGTCAGCGGTCAGGTTCTTCAAAGTCTCGCTGGTCCCGTGAGGGTAGTTGGCGAGCCCGGTGCCTTGGAAAGCGGTGGCATGGAGCATATCGAAGGTGAGATTCTCGTGGTTGGCCTCCAGCTCGTCGAGCTTCTTCAGAAGCACCTGCTTCTCGGCTTCGACTGCGGCAGCGTCGAGTTTAGGGTTGCGGACGACATCGGCGATAATATCAACGACTTTCTCCACATCTTTTGACGCGGCCTGAACCACATATGCGGTGTGATCGCGGTGAGTGGTAGAATGAAGCGAAGCTCCGAGGCGCGCCAGCTCGGACTCCAATTGCTGTTGCGAGCGCTTGGCGGTGCCCTTGTAAACGAGATGTTCGGCGAGCGCGGACACACCGCTATTTGACTTGTCCTCGAAACGGCTGCCGTTCTCGATGAAGATGCCGACGGCGACCGTTGGCTTGCCGTTGTCCTCCGAAACGACGCGCAACCCATTCTTCAACGCCGAAACGTGGGCGGCCGGTGCCGAATCGAGGATTTGCTTCGTGGCCAGGGCGGCGGCACCCCGAGCCTGCGCAGAACGCAGTGGCACCACCAGGTTCCGCAGCGACATTACCTGAAAATAAAAAACATCATGGCAATATTGAAATCATAGAAAACAAGTAGAGAACGTAAAAAAGCCTTGAGACGACCCCTTGATTTGCCCCAGTCTGAATCCTATGGAGCAAAGACAAGGCCTCCGAAGATATTGTATGGTTGCTTTTTCTTTCTCATCAAAGGTTAGTTGCGCGCCGAATACAATGCCAAAAACACGATAAGTTCCAATAAGGTCCCTGAAGTATGAAAATAAGAAGATGTGCGCCTGTTGAGCATATAACCCCTGCCGATCGGTTTGGGCGGGAACGGGGGGCTTCCAAACTTGCTTAGGCTGCCAATAAAGAACTAGCGCAAGAATAGGCCAAAATTACAAGCATGAAGCACGACACTGACGCTGGCAGTGCCTCTTTATACTATGCAAGCGGTCACCACAAGAATTTCAGGTGTCTCGAATCTGCCGTCAAAATCGTAAAACCACTTTCGCGCTCGTCAGAAAGTTCTAATTCGATTTTTTGGAGAAATTCGACTAAAAAAAGGGGGGGGGGGGGGGGGAGGGGGGGGGGGGGGGGGGGCAAGGAGGGGGGGGGGGGGGGGGGGGGGGGGGGGAAAGAGATGAGGACGGCATATGACGAGTTTAGAAATTAAACTTTGGGAAGCTACAAACTTCAACGTTCGCGGCGCACTCTGGAATTCTCGCAACGAAGCCCTGTGGGCAACAACCGTATGTAACGTCAACTGGAGCCTCGCGAAACTTTTTTGGATGTCGGATTTTCTCCTTTTGTCCGCCTGCTTTTCAGCTTGAGGCGTCGGTTCCGTTGGTTTTCTCCTTTTCCTGGCCCGAGCTTTTAGGTGCAGTTACGCCCTTAGCTAAAAGCTACGTCAAAAGATCTAGCGGTTTTCTCGGATATATACAGCTACTGATTTCCGCCTGCTTTCGGGCTTGTGTCGTCGCTCGGTCCTGTATTCGAAGAACTTTTCCTTCAGTTTTTTCCAACCCCGTTTTTGTGCTGCACTAATCATTATCTTATAGGATGAACCATCGCGAGCTCAAACCGCTACTCACCGATCTATGGCGCTCCAGCCTGCAGCGAGATGAGGATGCTGAAGCGCTGCTGGACTATGCGCTATCGTGAGTTGCACCGTCGCTCTGTGTGACCGACAATTTAGTGTGGTTCGCGCCGCTTTGTTGTCGCGCAACCCGGACTACGAGAAGACTACTGCGATCGTCGTCGCCCGCACCATTACCAGTGACCTGAAGCTGACGCCGGTCTTCAATGATGATCGCCTTTACAGCATCTACAAAATTGTGGTACTTACCTGTATTTGACAGCTACATTAATTTTAGTTCGAACGAGCCAATACTCCATCACTGCAGCTGTATGACCGAGCGTTCAAAGAGGGCTTCTTCCATAAGAACACAAACTTCTACATAGGATGGTTGAAAGAGTGCGCAGTCGTTGAGGACTACGAGACTCGCGACAAGGTCGTGCGGCTGGCCATCGCAAACGTTCCTCAAATCATCGACAATGAGGAATTTGAGTACGTGGTGATATTATTTCCAAGAAATTCTTTAGATCGTACAAACAATGCGACAAGCCGGACCTCAACCAGACCGAGGCCATTTTCCGAAACCGTCGGCGTTCGAGCATTAGCCAGCTTACGGCGCGAACAGCCCCGGAAGCTCCGTCGGCGGTCCCTTGCGGGCCAAAGCAACGCATTCGCGTTCCTCCGGCGGTTCTCAACGGCAACTCGCAAGAGGAATTTCGAATTGCTTAGTAAGATACCTATCTTCGCGCAATCATTTGTTTTAGTTTGGCCGACTACTTTGAAGACGACGATATGGACATCAGCATCAATGGGGAGTCTGTTGCTGCCCCATCTGGGAGTGCTCGTCGTCAGTCAATGCTGAAGGAACCCGAGCTCTTCCCCATCATCGAAGATGCCGAGCGTTCAAACAATAGCCAAGAAGGAAACGTCTCGGGCCCTTCCGGGAAGCGGGCTTTCCCGAACAGTGCCGACATGGTAGAGCTTCATTACCGCGTTATGAAAATTTTCTAAGGTCCCCTCGCCGGCCCGTGCTCCAGTGGGCCCGAAGACAACTCGCCTCGAGTCGCCAAAAGTGCCGACCACGTTCTCTCAATCACCGGGCGCCTCCTTCACTACGCGCATCATCCAGGCCGCGACAAACGTTTTCTCGGAGACTGTCAACTTCGAATCGATGAAACCGAAAGGCAGAGACTTTTATCTATCAATCAACGAATTTGTTTAGCACTAGATTTCGAAGAGTCGCAGCTTGTTGTGGCGAAGCCAACCGAAGCCTTCGAGGTCGCCTGGTTTCCCCTAACCCGGAACTTTTTTTAGATCTTCTGCGATCAAGAGAGCTCGCTTGCGAACGATGAGAAGCCCGTCCAGAATTTGGATGAAAACGAGGGTAGCCGTATCCGCACACGCGCCACATCAGACGAATTTCGCCAACCTTTTGCCGCGATCCGAGTACAGGAAGAGCTGGCAAAGACTCCTAGCAAGACCGCCGCCAAGATATCGCCATTGGAAAAGCGCCGGATTGAAGAAGACTTCAGCATGGCCGCCCCGACTCGCCAGTCGCTACTCCCTGGTGATTTGACAATGGGATTCGGTAAACTGCCCCGCTTAATTCAAGTATATTTTTTACAGACGTCAACGAGCCGACGATGGCCGCTCCCTGGCGCCAAAACACCGGACAGCGTTTTGTGACGACTTCATCCCCGCTGCAATCCGAAAAGAACCAACTGTCGGAGTCTCTCTTCATTCGGAGGCTTGAGAAGGAAGTCGCGGGCATCGTTGAGGAGGAATTCAATACTGACCCTGCGCTGCTGATGGAGGCCCCATCTTCTGAAGATGACGACGACATCCTAGGGATTGGGACCACTCGAAAAGCACCTTACGTAACGTCTTATCTACTTTCTAAAATGATCTTTTTTAGAGGCGCCGCTCGATCTTTGCTGGTCGCACCTCTATGGTCGGTAAGGGCTCCTCTTCGAGCAGTTTTTCGCAAAAATCCGCGCAACCCTCATCGCCAAAAATGGATGCCTTGACACAGGTCTGCTTATAAACTGGGTATTTATGGGCCCGCTTCTAGGACGTGAAGAAGATCCAGATCGTCAATACCGACGAAGTCGTTCAAGCACCAGATGCCGACATGACTGGCGTCGGATTGCCGTGAGTTAAGAGCCGCGTTGTTTTACGGTCTTGCTTAGAACCACGGTCACTTCGAGGATCAATCCATGGTGCGCAGAAGTCCGCCGCTCGGTGATGGCTCAGTTTCAAGCGGTCAACGTCCATGAGATTGAGGTAATTTTTTTACAATCTGATCAGGCTAGGTTTAGGAAGCCTGCGTACAGCTACGCGTTGGAAGCACGATGAAGGTGGGAGGCGAAGAGTTTGCCGTGGAGGGGCTTCTCGGGCAAGGCGGCTTTGCCAAGGTTTATCGCGCCCGAAATCTGGAGGATAACGCCACTTGGGCTCTCAAGGTATACAATTTTTTCGACTATTGTGATCGCTGTCTTAGTACGAAGTTCCTTCGTGTGCTTGGGAAGCTTACATACTGGAAGCAATTCATTGTCGGGCCCCGTCCACGATTCACCCGGCGTTGATGCAGGTATTTTCCTTTTGATTTACTCCAAAACGCTTCCTAGATCGAAGAAATGTACATCTTCCGCAACGCCTCGCTGCTGGTCAACGAGTACCTGCCATACGGGAACCTCCTGCAGTGCATCAATCGCGTCTCTGGCGACCTGTCCTACCCGTTGACGTCGTTCTTGTTCCTGCAGCTGGCGAAGGTTGTGAAGGAAATCCATGCGGCCGGGATCATCCATGGTGACTTGAAGCCCGACAACTTCATGTTCATCGCCAAGTAGGACATTCTTTTCTGATGTGTTAATATATCCTCTAGGATTCCTGATTCCTTGAGCACGAGGGTGGACGATTTGCTCGAAGTTTCGAACATTTTGCGCGTGATCGACTGGGGCCGCGCCATCGATTATGCCTCCCTTCCCGAAGGAACTACTTTCCACGGCCGTGCCGGGACAAAGTGCTTCGACTGCCCAGAAATGATGGTATGTTTATGCTCGATTGTCTGACATGCCATTTAGGACGGTCGCCCTTGGACTTATCAAACGGACTTCTTTGCGTTCGCCGCTTCCTTCTACGTAGCATCTACTCGCACCTATGGCAACGCAACGAACGCATCCAATATCTACCGCTTCGAGAAGGCCATTCCACGGTAAATTTTTGGTTAAATTCATCAATTTTTTGTTTTTATCAGGCGTCGTCCCGAGTTTGCCCCATTGACGGAAATGTTCACAATGCTTCTCAACATCCCTTCCTGCGCCGAGATGCCTGCATGGGACAAAATCATCGAACTCCTCACAGCCGCGCTTAGGTTGGGATATTTTCACCAAGTTTATGTAGTTTGATTCCAGGGCCGGCTTCAATGGAACGCAATGGGTTGAGGCAGCGAAGCGGTACAACGCATCTATCGAAGCTCACGAAAAGTCGAATGCATGAATGGCTGCATAAATTTAAAAACTTTTTGCTTTTAAAGGATTGATTGACTCGTTGTCTGAGCACTTGTGTGATTACGTGTGTCCATTTGGAATAAGTTTTTGTGAATAAATTTTCATTATTTTACAATGGTGGAACAGTTGGGGAATACCAAAGAGGGAACCCGTACAGGAAAAGCTCATGGGGTGCACGATGCGGTGTGTGGATGGTGAAAGGGGTTGGATAAGGCCACGCGAACGGAGATCCGGGAATATGTCATCATGATACGCGAGGAAAGATGGAGCGGGGTGAGATCGGGAAGGAAAGACTTCTTGAATAGACTAATTCTGAGGTAATGGGATTTATGTTTAGGGGCAGGGTGAGAGTATACCCTCATCTTATAGCAGATCACACGTAGTGGGTTCGGGCCGGGGCCACAGGCGGCGGTGGCAGACTGCCCTCACTCCAAGAGCTTTTTCGCGGGCCGTTCCCTGCTGTCTGCGCCGCGTCGTAGTCTGCCTCACTTCCCTCGACCTAAGCATTTTACAGTGTTAATTCGGAACGTTTGTTAAAACCTTTTCCTCAAGGACAGGCTTGCCGGATCGCTTCAGAAATATCTGCCATAGCGCCTGCGTCACCTTCGAGCAGAATAGGTTTCCTGCATGGTTGGCGATCATGTGCAGCAGAAAGACGCCGTCCGGGCGAAGGAAGCGGTCTAGAGAAATGCCAGGTTTCACGTCATTTTATCGCATTTGTTTTCAGAGTTTTGATTTGCTTAGGCAAATCAAATCACCTGTGAATCTGGCGAGCTGCTCGCTTTCCATGTCGAGATGCTTGGAGACGAACGATTGGCGGAGGCTAAATCCGTAGGGGCGTTCGTTTATTTTATTCTCAAATAGACCGTACCTCGACGTCGACAGGGCGCATAGCCAGAAAAAGAGGTTGATTGCCGTGAGGAAGGCGAGCGCCGACAGCCAAACCCACAGGAACACGAAAATCTTCTCGGTGAACATGTTGATGACCTAGTAACGGGGGGTTGTTCTTTGATGTAATCATTCAATTTAGGAATTGAACGGGCTTACCAGCACGCACTGTACAGTGTGCCGATGCACATTGCCGAGCACGCGGATCTCAAAGTCGCAGAGGGTCACTCGTGGAAATTTGCCTGAATCGCGCCACTCGCGGCCCTGAAAGGTTAGCAGTACATTTAGATACTTTCGCATTATCGGGGCCAATTTTTGCCTAGACGTCGAGAAATGCTTTATAACTTGATAGGAAGAATTTTATTAGCGTTTTTAGTGAAATATATCTAATTTCAACTAGAACGTTTAATAATAAAGAAAAAAATAACACAAAATAGTTTTTTGGGAAAATTTATGATGATATAAGTGGAAAAGTATGTTTCCAAACTCGAATCGAAGGGAAAGTCGGCGATTTTTGGGTCGGAAAATCGATCTTTTTGTATTTTCAGAAAAATTAGTAACGTTTTTACGCTTAGGAGTAGTAAAAACAGTAAAATTAGAGACATGGAAAAAGCGGGTACCCCGCCCCCCCATAATGCGAAAGCACTCAAATTTAACCTGGGCCCTCACCATGAACAGATCGTAAAGCACGTGCGCGCCGAAAAGCGGATAGTCGGCGGTGCCGAGGAACGAGTTGAGCAGCACAAACTGGATGCCCACGTTGATGAGATGCAAACTCTGAAGGGGATCATCAGCGCCGGAATGGCGGTGCTGCTGACCTTGATGAAGATGTAGCACGAGGACACGTAGGCCCCGTAGAACTTTCCCACGCGCACCACGGCAAATATGTAGATGTTCTTGCGACGACTGCCTGAAGATGAGCCGGGGTTTTATGCATAGCAGCTTGTCGTTACCGTGATCACGCTGGTACACGAGCGCATCGTCGATGTGCCGGGCGACGATGCCGACGGCCTGGTCGCGGTGTGTGGGGTCGACATTCTGGTCTTGGCAGGCCAGTTGGAGCACGAGACCCGCGTTTAAACCTACAAAAAATTGGGAGTAAAAGTTCGTTTTGCTCATTTTCGTGAACGAGTTTGCCGAAACAAAACTAGCATTATATAAATAGACAATCGCAACGTGATGTGATCCCTATTTAGATATATTTCAGAGGGCAATTTACCTGACTGAGGCGCCAACAAGCGCCACACTGAAGACGGGATGTGGAACATCAAGGCTGCGAGCGCGAGTACAAACGGTACCCATTGATAGTATCCTAAAGTTTAAAAATTATTAGCAGTTTTTACGTGTGCGGTTGATATCATGAAGAAATGTTTTCGTACGCCTTTTTCGTCCACAACGCATCCCGAAACCCCAGGGTTTTTAGTAAAATTTTACTATATTTGAAATGGAAACAAGATGAAACCTTCGGAAAAATTTTTTAGTAGAATTTTTGGCGAAAAATCCTTTTTGTAGTTTTCAAATAAAATGTAAGTTCTAAATTTCGGGGGCAGTAAAAAAAGCTTGGAAACACTTCCTCCATTTATATTAGAAAAATGGGAAAAAAAAGAAAAAAAAATGGTCGGCCCTGATTTTGTCTTGTACCGACCTTTCCGTCCCTTTCATGTGTACATTCCCGGGTTTTCTTTTTGGGTCCAAAGCTTTCTAGTGTTCGTTGTGCGCGAGTTTTGGCGGGGGGTTCTGGGTCCCAGGGGCCATTCCCAGGGTCTCAGTCTTTCGCCCCATGGCCACTACCATTTCTCATCGGCCTCCCATACACCCTGCTGGCTCTCGGCTCCGCGGGCCAACTGGGAAACAACTCATCCCTTTCATTTAATGGGCTGCGAAAAACAGGTTGGGTCCAAAATTTTTTTAGCTATAAAGTTTAAGGGCGCTGGTTCGTTAGCGGGGGGGGGCATCGAAAAATATACTAAGAATTTTAATTCTAGATCAAAACGTTAGGACGAGCAAGATGAAAACGATTTAAGAGAGTTGCAAAAAAAAATGGAAATGGGCTTGGTAAGCTATTTTACGTTACATATAGCCAAATTTTACTAAAACTACTGTTAAAATACAGGCGATTACGTTACAAGGGATTTTTAGACCTTTTAAAAAAGTCGATACCGCCTGATGACCCGGAAAATGCGAAAGCACCGACATGCTTTATATTTTAGAGCAAAGTGCTAGACGTTTCCCACCTATCTGTCGGCGTTCCCGGTCGTCTAGTCGATGTGGGATGAGGTCCTGAAAATTCTGCGAATAATTTTGCGGTGGTTTTATTTTTTTAAAACTGTCTTTGGCTCTTGATTGTTTTTTTATACTTTTAATTAATGTTGTAGGTTTATTTTTTTAAAAATGTCGAAAATGGTCGCACAGGTCGCCCCGAAATGCCTTCAGGTCGCCAGCAAGCAAGGCTTTGGCTTAGGCTTAGTCTCAGGTTTAAACTTAGACTTAGACTTAGGCTTATATCCAAATCCATACATTTTACTTTAAATAAAGATTCTTAAATTCAATTTTTTTGGGCCCAAATTAAATTGGTAGATTTTGCGCCGCTCTATGATATTGCTTTTCAAAATATCCAAGAAAAACCGGAAAAGTTTGTTCCCCGTGCCCCCTGTGTACCCGAATTTCAATAATTGGCGTCTGCCCGTCCCGGGTTTGGTCAACTCTCCGGGTGGCCATTCCGGAACGGGCGTCCGTTTTTGTGCCCGTCCCGTCCCCCGCGATGTCTCGAACATCCCGACGCCGACTTGGTCGAGGTGCAAGAAAGAAGCTGCTGCTCCCTTTTCCTCTCCCATAAACTTTGATGGGCCCCGGCGAAGCCCGAGAGCTCGGCCCCGGGGATCCACGCGGCGCGATTGGGCCGAATTAGTGGGGGTTGTGTCTACTACGCGAGTATGAGTTAGAAATGCCGCAAAAATACCGGTGAACAGCGAAGGCGCCTATCGACGCAAAAAGGAGGGAGGGGCTAGCATCTCTCTCTCTCTCTCTCTCTCTCTCTCTCGTTTTCCCTAGCTACGCTTCTATGTCTTTAACAAGCTTTCGCCCATTGTTAACATACTGGCTTCAAGGAGCCGACAGGTAAAAAAGGCCTACTTGCTCTCTTTCTCTCTCTCTCTCTCTCTCTCTCTCTCTCTCTCGCTGTCTCTCTCGCTCTTCCTCATCTCTTTCTAGATCTCTATCAGGATATCCTTATCCTTTTGCCTGGCGCTACACTGCGTTCCTATGGACACGCCTTCTAGCTAAAATATCGTTTTTGGCTATAACCAGGATCCGGTGACCCTTATTACATGGCGTAACCGGTTGAGCCTCGTTTTAAAATGCGACCCACATTTTCAGGCTTTCAAAATGTGTGTAAGATGCCTGCCGACGCCAGCCGAAGCCCATTTTTCTTGATCCCCGCCCAATTTCGAGCGGGTGTCTTGGTGGTGAGATGACCCAATTAGGGCCCACGACCACCTTTCTCGCCCCGGTGTATACTATCCCAGGAACAAGGAGTAGGATGAGGAGCAGGAGGAGCAGGAGGAGGAGGAGGAGGGGAGAAGGAGGATTATCGCGGGGGTCGCCCTCTTTTTTTATTGGGTGTGTACCGGCTGAGAAATGAGGCAATGGAATGCCGAATTTTTGAAAAATATAGTTTCATTTTTGATTACTGTAAATCTTCTGATCTAAAGTAATTAAAAGTCTGTGCTTACTTTAGGCTTAGGCGTAGGCGTAGACTTGGGTTAGGCTTGGCTTAAGCCTGGCTTAGGTTTAGGCTTTGGCTTGGGCTTATGCTTACTAATCTTTTTCTCCCACCTCTCTCGCTAGTTAGGTGATTTTCCTCCACCGGTATTTTGGCATTATCAGGGGGGGGCGTAACTAGCAACGTAGTAGTATGTATTTTGATATTGTTTATTAGTAGAATTTAACTATTTTTCAGATGGAAAACTATCTAAAAATTTTGTTATTTAATTTTTAGATTTAATATAATTCATTTCTACAATTAAAGTTTATATATTCTTATTCTATTTTTATAGTATCCTTTTAGGCCAGTTACCCCCCTAAAAAAAGCGGGCTATCACGCTAGGCCCAGGGAATTTGATGCGCCGACGCGCGCTGTACTCTTCTCATTCCATAAGCATGGGCCCGGGCCCTATGATTGGGCTTCTTATGGGGGCCATAGCCACAGAAAAACGGCCCTGTGGGGATGGCTCCAAGAAGAAAGCGGAAGCGCGCATCTGACCGGCTTCCGGTTGTTGCGGATCAGTCATACTCTGATAATTACTTATTTATCGCATCAGTTTAGCTATGTAACTTTTTATGTATTAAATATGCTATGTTATTTACAGCGTTATTAACGTTAATTTGATTTTTTTTTTGAGATTTCTTTTCTCTTTGGTCGATTCTTAGTCATAAACCGCGAAACGGCTCCAAGTTGACGCCGAGCTAGTAGAAAATCACGCAAAGATTTATCTTAGTCTAACAGGGAAAAAGGATAATTTTGTCGCTGTTTTTGTCACTAAAATTTTTTGGTAAAATGCTACCATTAACCGGCGAACGGCTTCAACTTGGCGCCAAGCCAGTAGAAAATTACTCAATGATTTATGGTGTTCAACAAAAAAAAACGATAATCTTTCCGTTGTCCCGATTTTAATTTTTGTTCCATACAATTAGCCATCCACCGCCGAACGGCTCCAACTTGATGCCGCCCAGCATCGAAAACAAAATCCTGCTAGGGCCAAGGCTTCACTAGCCAGATGTTAATTGGGTAATATGGTCCCCCCTTACTGCTCGATGCCGTCGCCAAAGAAGAAGAAGCCAGTTTATGCGGCCGGGCCCTAACTTGGCGACGCCGCCTCGATGTCTTCCTCCCCCGGGGCGCGCGTGTAAACAAAGTGGCATTGAGGAGCACGGGGGGGAAAGAGGAGCAGCACCCGATTTTTGCCCGGACTCAGCTGGCCCATCTTGTAGTTATTGGCCTAGTTGGGCCCCCGGGTAGCGAAGCAAACCTATAATAATCGGGCCAATCACGGGCTGATAGCGCCGAGCCCAATTTTTAAAGGGACTAGGAAGTGAAAATGCGCATGCCCAGATGTCGAAAAAATATCGGGGCTCTGCCTAAAAGGATTTGCTAGCATAATGCCGAGATTTGGTAAGGTCGAAATTCTATAATTCACAGTGTCGAGATTTCAAAATGTCTAAATTCATAATGTCGAAATATCGATATTCGAAATGTCAAGCCTTCGACAGCTTTTCCTTAGTATTTCTGAGATTTTTCGGAAGCATTTTTCATTTTGATAATATTCTGAAATTTCAACATTTTGTGGAAATCTGTCTAAACGTCCAAAAAAATTCGTTGCTACATGAAATGCCAAAATTCAAGAAAGATTTTTGACAAAAAATATACTGACGCCTACTAATTGCGCGTCGCGTGTCCTGGAAATCCATAGCCGTGCCTTGCGGACCCCTTTAACGAGCTTTCTAACCCCCGTTCAGCTGACACCCCGGGGCGTAAAAACTACGCAATGTACATGGTTGTTGGGCGTAGTCTTTTCCGGGGCTGGGCACTTGTCAGCAGGGGCCCATTGGCCGGCCATGAGCCCCTGGGTGTGTTACACACCACCTGGACACCTGGGGAGGCAAGGAGCACGAGCTGCTGGCCGGCCACCGGGAGATGGAGTGCCGAAAAATGGTTGTAGTCGGTTTTGATCGCCATCGCAAAGGGCCCTCCCCCTCTCTCTCTCTCTCTCTCTCTCTCTCGCTTTCTCTCCCCTATCTCTTGCTCGGCCGGGGTCCAAAAACGTGTATGTGCATTCCGGGGCTTAACGGACAGACAGACAGACCGCGGGGGATGACAGACAGACAAACAACCCATCAAAATACGAGATCCACCCCTTCCTGGACGACACGAGGTTCTCGCCTCTCCGCCGGGGCCCAATTACGATCTTGGAATTAGCGGGAAAAATGGGTACCCCCGATGGCAGCCGTTGTATGTCACACTCCTGGTGTAAATGAATGTCGAGAAATTACCCAAAATGCCGACATCAAAATGCCGACAGCCGAGATCCCGACATTCAAAATTTTGCTAGGCCAAAATACCGACATTTAAAAATCCTTTCTACGAAACTATCGACAATCAAAATACCGACCGTCACATTGACTGGCGCCAAAATGCCGAAACTCGGAAACCTAACAGGCCAAAATACCAACAATCAGAATCCGGAACTTCAAAGTATTGATAGTTCAAAATCCCGACAGCCAAACTTCCGATACCCCAAGATAGCGGGATTAAAACACCAGATAGGGCAAAACCCCGCCATATTAAACCCCGAAATTCGAAACCTGATACACAACAATACCGAAATCCCGAATCCCGACAATCGAAATCCCCCTATGCGAAAATGGGCAAGCCAAAACTCGACACCCCGATCGTTTTCAACAATTCTGCGCAAACCTGATTTTTAAATCGATATTTACGGCCAAAAAATACCGAAAAACCGACCTGAAACGGGACCCAGTATGTGTTCTGCACCCAGCAATAATTCTCCGTGTACTGCTCCATGGCGCGCGTAAACTGCGCCGGCACGAAACATTCGATCGGGTGGCCCACTGAAAAAATTGTGTTTTGCTACGCAATCCAGCTGAAAAACCCGGCTTAAGTTTTTCTCCAAAAAACCCGACAGAACAAATTCCGACAGGCAAAATCCGGACTGCCAAACTGTCGACTTCCAGTACAGTCATTTTCATCACTTTTTTTGCCGGTTTTCTGGCGCACTGGGCTTTTGGAATGTCGGTATTTCAGCTGTCGGCATTTTGGCATGATGGGAATTTGCCTGCCGGTATTTTGACTCGAAATGTGAGTTGGTCTTTCGGGGTTTTGCGTGGTAGGGGTTGTGGTTGGAAATCGTAACTTGTTCGGCCCTGATCTGGTATGTCGGCATTTTGGATGTCTATATTTCAATCACCCGATTTCTGGTACATTGATATTTTGGAATGTCGGCATTTCCGTTGTCGGTATTTGAGCTGCCGGTATTCTGGGATTTTTCCGGCGCAACCGGAGCGTCCGGATTCCCCAGCAATTCGTCTCCACGAGCCGAAGTGCTTGTTTTTTTGGCTTCTTCTTCTTCTTTCCTACACCCCGGAGACTTTTTGCTCCCCCTCCGCCTCTGGAGCAGCAGCATACGCCAAAAGGCAAGGCGCGGAACTCCAAACCCATAAATTCCCGGGGTCCGGACTGATGGGGCAGAGACCGCCGGGGGTCGGTTCATGCTCACACCCACACGCACAAATCGAATTTTGGTGTGGCGCGTAGCGTGGAAAGTGGACAGAAAGACACCCAGACCCACAGACAATCCGAACACAAATGAAGTGTGCCGCTGCGGGGAGCTTATGATTTTTTCGGGGTGGAGTTGTAGAGGCCGAACTCCCTGGGGACGCGCCCCGGGGCTATTAGCCAGCCGCATGTCGTGAAAAAGAGCAAAAATCTTTTTTTTTAGTTTAAAAACTACCCTAAAATTGAAAATTGAAATAGAAACGTTCCTAATAGTTTATTTAGCCAATCCTTTTTGAAAAAATGTAAAAACCCAGATTGGTAGTTGTTTTTCAAAAATTAACATTCTTAGAAATGTTAATTTAAAAGACGTTTTTTAGCTACCACAACGTAAAACAAGGTAAATAGCCAAATTAGCAGGTTTTTTACAAATAAAAATACAAACACTCACCCAAAAACTTGAAATACTTAAGAAATCCTTAAAAGCAAAAAGCAAAGCAAAAATTAGCTTTTAGAAACCCTAATTTGTCTCTGCAACCTTAATTGCACTTTAAATACCATTAAAAGGTAAAAATTTTGTTATAAGATTCGAGCTAAATGCAAAAATAAACCTTACAAACCACGAACTCTTCCGCTTTAAAAACGCTGAAGTTGAAAAAGCTCAAAACGGCTCAAAACCCCTAAAAAGCGCTTAGACTTACCGTATTGCTTTGCGGAGACGAGGAGTGCAAACATGAGAACAATGGTTGACGTATAGAGGTAATGCAATCGGTCGACAAAGTCATCGTCGACGCGCGGTTCAAGGAATCTGAAGTTTGTCGTCAATTCATGTCTATTTTGCTGGCTTTTAGCGCTTGGTTGGGCGGAAGAATTTCTTAGCGTTTGTAAATCTGTGGAAGTTAAAATACAATACGCTGACGATTCTGAAAAACATAGACTTTATTAGCTTAAATTAGTCTGAAGTGAGGCACGGACCACGTGGACCCTCATTACGGCAAGAGATAGTGCGAAGAGAGAGAGAGAGAGAAAGAGAGAGAAAGCGAGATAGAGAGAGTGTGTTAGAAAGAGAGGGAGAGCGAGAGCGAAAGAGAGCAAGGGAGAATTAGAGAAATGAGAGAGAGAGAGAGAGAGAGAGAGAGAGAAGAGGAGGGGGGGAAGAGGAGGGGGGGGAGGGAGAAGGAGTGAGAGGGATCGAGAGTAAGCTCGAGAGCTATATTCAAACGTAAGTAGATGCCCAAGTAGTCCTACCTGAACCGGTACCTTAGTGCTTTAAACCCCAATCCATTACTTCATAATCGAAAGCGACATCTCGCGCGCAATATCGCAGCCCGCCTACCGTAGTGCCGTCGCGAGGAAATGGACCCCTATCCGATAGCCGCCCGGCATGCTGCTGCTGGGCCCTCTTGTAGATGATCGCGGGCAAAGACGGACGGCCAACGATGATCCAAGAGGCTCACCAACCGGCAGAAAAAAGGGGAGCAGCAGGAGTGGCCGGGGGAAAACGAGAGGAGGATGAGCCTTTCTCAGGGAGGGGGAGCCTCAGTGTGGGCCATGGCCGGCTGGGCACCGCCCATCTTGGCCCGCCCGGCTTTTCTGGCCCCCGAAAAACGACACATATAGCAGGCAGCCGAGCACTACCGGGAGGGGGGAACCCGGATCCGATATCCTGACACATGTACACTGTTTTGTCGCGTAGTCGGCTGGCGGTGTTTTAGTAAAGTGGCGTACTCGTTCATGTAGAGCGCCACCAAAATTATGGACTGACCTGTTAGCGGGGGGGGGTTCCAAGGAGAAAACTAATTTTTTTTTCCCAGTAATCCTGCACCGCCCGATAGCAAAACATAAACCATTTTTATAGCATTTTATTCACGTTTTAGATATGAACAGCTTATAAATATTTAAAAAATTTCTGACGTTTTAGCGAAAAATGTATGAAAAATGACCAAAAATGTGAAAATTTTCCAATTTTTAAATTGTTAACTTTTTTTGTAACCTAGCAATCAAAAAGTAGTCAAAACGCATAAAATACATTTTAGTTTTTTTTTATAGGTGGGCATAGGCAAAAAGTAGTTTGTCGGCACAAGAACCTTTCCCCCGCTAACAGTTCAGTACCAAGCTGCGTACTCGTTCAGCTCGATCGCCACCAAAATGTTGAGCTTATCAGCCGAATTTCAGACAAATTTGCAGTAAAATAGTTTTATTCAACAAGCGAGGAAAACACAGAAGAGCACACTTGTCGTGTGTACGAGGCTAAAATCGGGAACAGGGTAGATAGGAGTTGAGCGGAGCGCAGGAGATCCTCAGCAATCCGTCTCGGCCGGCACGTTCGGCTTGCGGTGCCGCATGGAGGTGGACGGCTGGAAAATAGGATAACAAAATAATAGCGTTTCGAAAACCCGTGTAATTGTTGAGGGAAAATGGAAGATATGACCAAAATAGACGGGAGAATAAAACTTACGCCCCCCCGCTAAGAGCCCAGTACCAAACAAAATTTCCATGCCGCTGTTTTTCGACGAAAAGAAAATAAGTTGGGATATGAGAATGAAGACAAAAATCCTTGGTATGAAATACCTTGTCCTCGTTATCGCTATAATCATGCTCGTGCTCGTTTTCGTGCTCGTGCTCGGGGTCGTCATCTTCTTCCTCGTCGTCATCGCTGTCAAGCAACGGGTCGAACTCGCCGCTGTCGGACACCTGAAACGTTGTTGTTTAGTTTTCTGATACATAATTGCTTCAACTTTTCCAACCAATATATGAGAGAGAAAGTGAGAGAGACACAGCAAAAGCGAGAGAGAAACAGAGAGAGAGAGCTTGCCAAAAGCCTCAAAACCGACTCCATGATTGAGCACATCCCTCTCGCGGCATCCCTCGTGGTTGCACGGACCGTGGACCACTTCAAAAATTGAATTTTGAGGCCAAAACTCTGCACTCACGATCCGGCACGAAAAGGTTGATGAGCGTCATGGGGATGAGGAGCAGGATGATGATGTGGATGGCCAGACCGATGCCGACAGCCAACTGCTCGGCCGGTTCCGAATCATACTCGAGGCCCGAATAACTATAAAAATCGTAACACTATAATAATCATCGTGCAATTTCTTCTAAATTTCTTCTTTAGGCGTAAGTGCAGTTTGCCCCCAGTCGGCCCCCACGTAGCATATCTCGGCTCCCTGTTCATCTACAGGCGTGTAAAGTATACCAAAATACTCGCGAGAGCAAGACAAACATTTTGGTATACTTTAGACACATGTAGATGAACAGGGAGCCGAGATACAAAAGTTCGCGCCGGCTGGGGGGTAAACTGCACTCTAACCCGGTTCTCCGATTCGAAAGCCCTCGATTAATCTTCGCGGCACGCTATCTTTCTCTCTGGAGCGATATAAAATTCACTTTTTGTACAGGGCGGCGACGTTGCCCGAGATGAAGCGGAGCAACGGCTGGTCAGCCAGGTAGCGGAAGTACGAGCCGAGGAACGTCTCGGCTGTCTGTCAAATGGATTCGATATGCTTCGACGCGCCAAACTCACCAAGTCAAAAAGCCGCGCGGCGACCATGGTTTTTGTTGTAAAGAGAAAGATGATTTCTTTCTGGGTGGAAATCGTGGCTCTTGCGTCATTCTAATTTTGGATGGATTCATCGCTTGGTTACTTCAAGAGTTTTTGGCTTTGCTGTTCGTCGAAAACACGGCTTATCTCTAGAAAAATACAGGTCGAAGACCGCTAATTATGGCATCGCTTGAAAGCCCAAAAAACCAGATACCGCTACGAAATGAAATTGATTTTTTCAGACATTCTAGCCGAGAACGCCAACTTCCGGTTCGTTTCGATGAAAAAACAAGCAAAACTTGCAGCAAACCCCCAGGGTGCAACAGCAGAAATTGATAAGGAAAAACCAGAATTCGATTTTTCTAAAATTCAGGTCTGAGGCAAAAAACATCAATATTGATATTCTTGCTCGTTTCGGGAAGATTTCGCTATTCTTCAAGGCCGAGACCGACGTTTCTTATTTTCGAGATACCCCTAATTTACAACTTGTTTCGCGTCCCGTTAAATTGTCAAATTAGATTGCCTATCTTCTCTACACAAACTTTAAACTTTATGTTGTATCTTCTGTAACTTGTAATTTTATTGTATGCAATTTTTCCATGTATATTCTTCGTATTTTTAGCTGTGCGAATTTAGATCGGATGCCATTTATAGATGAAAATGTCATATCATAGAAATGATCTAGCGTCGCGGGGAGAGATCTGGAAGACGGGGTGTCCCTGATGGTGGGCGAGGCCCTGATGCCAGTCTATTTCTGGGGAGAGGTGGCGTAACCTCCGGCGGCGGCAGGGGCAGCCGGGGCGGCGTACGACTGAAATCATGTATTTTTTTTAGCTAGAAAAAGCTGTTAGATTTAAGTTGGTAAATAATATTCATTCGGGTTTGGTGCAGCTAACATCCGGCTTATAACTTTCTAACTCGGCGCCTGATTGTCCTACAGGGGTGTAAAGTATACTAAAATGCTCGCCAGACCACGACGAACATTTTGGTATACTTTACACACCTGTAGGACAATCTGGAGTCGAGATTTGAAAGTTAGGGCAGGCTGGTGGCTAACTAGAGTTTGCGTAACTTTCTAAATAAGGCCCCCTCTACCGTACCTGGGCAACGGGGGCCGGGGGAGGTGGGGGCGGGGCGGCCGGGGCGGCGTAGGTGTGCTGCACCGGCGGGTTGTAGGCGGGCTGGGCGTAGCTCGACTGCACGGGGGCGTGGTAGACGGGCTGGGGAGCCTGGTACATCGGGGCTGAAAAATTGATGATATTTTAGCGGTTTAAGCCTAGTTGGAAGTTGAATTGGTACATAAAACTCTCACTTACCGGCGGGCCTAGCGTATCCCTGTCCACCGTAGCTGACCTGCTGCTGCGGGTACGACTGGAACGACTGCTGGGGGTACGACTGCTGGAACGACTGCTGGGGGTACGAGGGCTGGTACGACTGCTGGAAGGACTGCTGGGGGTATCCCTGTCCACCTAAAAAGCAAAATTACTACCGTAGGTTTCTACATACCTCCGCATCCGCATCCGCCGTTTCCACCGCCCAGGCCGGGGAAGAGGCCGCCGAGGAAGAAGGCGCTCGATTGGCCGAGGAAGAGAGCCACCAACACCACGGAGATCATCTAAAGAAAGGCGTACGGTAAGCTGTGGAATGTTCACGGTATCGTACTGTACTAACAGAGAGATAAACGAACGATAGGCTAGCGGGGAGGCAGCAAGTGCTAGCCCGGGCGTGGCCCACCCGGTCCTTTATACCTGGATCCGGCTATCCATCTCCGGCATTGACCTTCAGCTTTCAGCAGCTACCGGAAGGCCGGGCGGTGGCTACTTGAGGGGGGACACCCCCGTTTGGCAAAGGATGACCTTCGACTCTGTGTGCAGCCTGCTTCTTCTCCGTTAGGTTGAACCCGGCAGCAGCTATCCTGCATTTTATCACCGCGGCCCCCGCTCTGAGATCCCCGGCAAGACAGGGATAGAGCCGTCCGTCCTGACAACGAAACCAATACCCCCCGCAAACAACACCCGACCACATTTTTTTGAGCGCGCGCATCACAAACAAGTGTCTAGACCGGGCAGCAATCCTTTATTTGCAAACCGAGCTCTTATAATTGACACGCGAATTGGGTGCGATGTAAAACACAAAACGGGGGGCGAATCGGGGCCAGGGTACCGAAAGGGCATAACTAACACAATCAGGGGACGGTCGAGCGGCCCGGAGATGATAAAATGCTCGATGCGGAATAAATTAATTGGGTGGCGGAGAGAGGAGGAGAGGCACGTCGAGAGTAAACTGTATGACCAAGCGCGAGGATCACAATAGTCACGGGAGTTGCAGGGGGTGGGAGGGGGAAATGGTGGGGTAGTGTAACCCGAGATTTGCACAAGTACCAAGAAAACGATAGAACGATCAGGACACGTTAAAGGATGGTGGGCAGGATTCGTTGATCACTTCTTCGTGGTCGCCACATGTTGACTAGCATCGTATTCCGGGTTCTTCTTCAAGATCACCAGACCCTCGAGGTGCGGGGTGAGGGCGATCCCTGAAATTTGGGTTTGGTTCAGAGAGAAACTCCTTACATTCTTCATTGGCAAGCTCCGCACGTTCTCCGAATGAGAGCAGCACCGGGGTCGTGTGGGTCTGGAAGCCAGTGATTGTCTTCGGCTTTCCAGCCTGGGCAACGACATCGACCGCCTGGCCGACGCTAAAGGAAAGGGTTTTGTATAGGCTAGGAATCTTACCGAACGGTGACGGGGATCTGCTTCAGCTGGCCCGGTTTCTTGTCATCCTCGACGAGCGTGACCAGCATACGCGGTTGCATGGCCGAAACGAGGGTGTAGAGTAGGTACGGCTGTCGGCTGGACAGAACCTGAATAGACGGATTAGCACTGGTAAATAGCTGCTATCAGGCTGTCGTAAATTTCACGAAAATCCACCAAATCTTATTCGAAAAACTTCGACTATTGAATTACGGGATAAATTTTCAAACTACGAATTCCAGAAATTCCAAATACCGTGTTGTTGGCATCGAGGAAGAAGAAGCAAGTGGCGAACAGCGAAGCGACCGAAGCCGGGCACAGCAGTTGCCGATCCGAGTGCCACGGGTTCAGGGTCAGCGTACCCTTGCCGAGATGGGTCAAGCCCTGGGAGATGCGCACCAGCTCGAGAGAAATCTACAAAACTCAGTTGTGGGATCCAAGACAGTCGACACACCTGGTCCTTGTTGTGGTAGCTGGCCAATTGGCGGAGCATAGCGACCAGGCGAGCATTGTTCGTGCCGGCGCCCACGAGTCCCATGGCGAAGATAGCGTTGTGTGCCGTGTCCGAGTCCGAATCGTGGCTAAACATAAAAGGATGTAGTGCAAACGTTGCAGTACCTGAATTTTCCGAGCGTCTCCAGGATGTTGAGTTGCGGGTTCGAGACCGAGAGCAGGCCCAGGGCCAGTGGGACGGCACGACGGATGACTGGCTCACCGTACCTAAAATACACGTAAATAGGCAAAAGAAATCAGCGCACCTGATGAGATGCGAAAACATGCGCAGGGCCATTTGGCTGCCGACGTCTTCGCCCATGGCAATGATGGCCACACCGAGGACGGCGACGGCCTGCTGTGACGAAAGATCCAAGCGACCATCGGTGGTCGTCTGCTTCTTCTCCTCCTTCTAAAAACATTTTATTAATGGGTAAAGAACATAAAAACCAAATGTACAAATATTTTTCTAGGTTTTAGTATCTACTACCACCCGAAGAACTAGTACGAAGTTATTTCAGGACCAAACATCAAAAGCAACAACCAAAAACCACGGCAAACAAGGACAGGACAGGACCTTAGGAGCAGCATGCGGCTCGGCAGAAGGCTCCCTGGCAGGCGACGAAGTCCTCAAGGGCGGAAGCGTCTGGTTGGGCGGCATGATGCGCTAAAAAAACGGGACAGTGGTTAGCAATGGACCGGGACAGGGACAGTGGTGGCAGTGGCAAGCTATGGTGAAAGACGAAACAAAGCGGGACACCACTCCAGTGAAACACACCACAGTCGAGCTCGAGGTAGTAGTTCCGGCCGGTGCTGATGAAGAGGCGGCAGCACGGTCAACCCGCGACTGCCCGGTGCCCTTCTGTAACAACCGTTGAGATTAATGACACACAGAACGAAACCGGTCGATCCTCCACGTTTCGATGCCAAGTCACTACCTTCTTGGCCTTGGTTTCGACCGGGGTCTCGTAGTGCTCGGAGCAGATGTGGAGCAGTTGTTGGATCTTCAAAACGTTGCCGCTGCCCGCGTAGGCGCAAACATCGACGAGGGTCGAGAACATGGAACCGAATGGGTCCGGGAGGGTGCGGACACTCTCCACGAAAACCTCGCTCTTCTCTTGGGTACCTAATGACAGAGTAATGGAAAAAGAAGAAAGATTTACCCAGGAAGATCAGGGCCACGCCAAGAGCCAGCAAACGCATGTTCGGGTCGGTGAGCTCCTGCTCAGTCTTCTCCATAAGCACCTGCAGCATCTCGAAGGCGATCGTGTGGTCTCCCGTGCCAACCTAAATAAAGTTTTCAAAAAGAAGTCATATTTCTAACCATGATCAGGCCGAGCGAAAGACCAGTGAGTCCTTTCACTTCTGGAGTGGCAGCCGGCGACGTCTCATTGAAAACCTTCTTCAGCTCGAAGATGATGCCGCCGTCCTCTTGCTTGACGACAGTGTCACGCTTCGAGTTGGCATAGGCGAGCCCGAGGCCGAGGATAGCTCCCACGCGCATCGTCGTTCGCTCGGATTTCAGGTGGTCAAGTAGAAGGGCAGAGGCCGGATCGCACGAGTCTTGGATGCCCGAGGAGATGATGCCGACAGCCAATAAGGTTCCGGCCTAAAAATAGGTAAGGAGCAACCTCGGGAATGAGATACCTTGACATAGTCATCATTGGAGTAGAGAAAGCGATCACATTGGGCCAGCCCGGTGTCCACATCCCAGCGGTAGACGAGACCCTGCGAAGCGGCAGCCGCAAGGATACCTAATCAAAAGATCTAAGCGATCCATTAAACCACAAACCATGTTCCTTGTTTTTGAAGAACCACTTGTTGCCCTCTTCCGCCTCGGCCATCATCTTGTCCTGCCCAAAGCCGCAGTTGACAAATCCGTTGACGAAGGCGCCGGCCAAGTTCATGCGAGCTGTGTCCGGATTGCTCGAACCGCCGAATGGACCTAAATACAATAAAAAAATCAAAACCAAAGTCCCTACGCGTGTGCTCGAGGTGGCTCTTATAGATTTGGTCAGGAGTCTTTGGCTCCATGATATCCAGTTCACGGGCCAGCGAGTGGAAGTATTCGAAAAGGTGAGCGTTGGAGTTGAGCTCGGACAGCTTTTCGCCATTCTCAAGGCCCTAGAAAGACCGGTTACAAAGATAAACTTTTTCAACCTGGAAGTCCAAGAAGATCTGATGACGTCCCAAGATGATAGCCATCTGACGCTGGAGCAGCCTGAAAGTTGCGTATAAGTCATGGAGATGGCGCTTACGGATCAGTCGTCATCTTGAAAATTCGCTTGATCTCCTCGACTTGGTTAAGCATGACGGCACATCGCATGGCCTCGAGGAACTTCTTGTACTTGAGGTACAGCGCCTTGGCCGTCTCGATTAGCGTGGCGTTTTCCGGATCCGGCGTCAGCGGCGAGCAACTAAATAAGAGATAATGTTTCAGAACGGATGCCAATACCTGACAAGATAATGGCAGACACGCTGGTGCTCGACTTCTTCGACGAAATCAATCAGCATATCGAGGCGTTCGACTTCGATCAGCAAGTCGCATGCCTCAACTTCGGCGTTGTGCTTCATGTGGTGCTGAACGATCTCGCGCGCCATCTTCTCCAAGGGTTGGCGCCTAAAAATAGATTTATGAAAGCTATTCGGATAAAAAAGTTCTACCTGGTCTTTGCGTCCTCTCCATCAGGTGTGACGCCGTTCTTCCACTCATCCACCAGCTCCATAGCCAAGTGGCGCACGTACTCGTGTCCCCAATCTCCAATCGGTGTCTGTGAGCCGATCATCCGATATTTGAGGCAGTCGTTCTTGTCATCAGAAGTCATGCCGAGCACCGAAATCAAATCAGCGCACGCAGCCTGAAAAAATCTTACTTCAAAAAAAATTGTTATATTCTACCTTGCAATCATTTGCAGGCATGGCGGCGTGGATCTGCTTGACTTTCTCGTAGTGAGGGCGCATAAACTTGAGAGGCTTGGGCACGGAAGTCATCGACGTGGTCGAGGCGCGAATCAGGTTGCGCAGTTGGTCAATCGTCGGAAGCCAGAGGCCCGCGTTCGGCTCGCCCAATCGCTCGACAAGCATCGTCAGGTCCTCGTTCAACTTTTTGTCTTCTTCGCTCTAAAAGAACAATCAGTAACCGTTTGAGCGGACCAACCAGCTCATCCTTCTTCTCGTCCTTGAGAGACTTCTTAGCTTTCGGCTCGCCGGGAGCCCCCTCCTCTTTGACCTTCTTTGGTGTATCGACGGTCATTCCTGAAAAAAAGTCGGTATTTAGGTTTTCGGGGGTGATGGAATGGAAAGCACGGAAGAACGAGTGAAACCTGAAATATCTTCTCAGAAAAGGAAAAGTTCGGGGAAGCGCCAATGAGCAACGGATTTTTTTAAAAGTTTAATATTTACAAAAAAAAACGAACTAAAGAGCCAGGCGGGAGCAAGTATGCAAAAAGCCATTATTTATCGAGATGCAACCCAAGGAGTTAATGTAAATGGCTTGGCTGTTGTTTCGAAACGCTTGAGTTTCTAAAGTTGTCATCTTCAGTTTTTGCAAAATGATCCTTGATTAGCCTTGTCCCGCTAATGCCTTCCGGACTTCAGCTATTCATTCGAGCCTATTTTTGTGTGCTGATTTCGAATATGGCTATCCTAGAACGCACAGGAAACCTTTTTCAAGTATAAAAAAAAGCACAATGTTGCGAAGTCAGACCCCCGAATTCCGAAAGTGCAACCCGTGATTGACCCGAAATTCTTGTAAGATTGAAATTCTGGGCAACCCGTATTGCCCGCCCTTCCGCCCCCCCCCCATACCCCCTGTATTTACGCCCCGATTTAACGCCCCCAAATGACCACGAAAGGGCGTTATTTACGGAAAATGCCGTTTTGAGGGTTTATTTACAGGGGCGTTAAATACAGGGGCGTTCAGGAGGGGGAGGGGCGGGTTAAATACGGGTTGCCGAAATTCTGAATACCCGAATCTGCAGAAATAATGAAAAACCTCCAAAAAATGGGGGAGCTCGCGGAGAAAAAGGGAAGTTCTGAGCGACATTCTCATCATTTCAAAGGGGTGGCGTAAAGGGGGAAAGTTGGCAAAGTGCCCTGCTGACAATCCCGGGAAAATGGGTCCCGCCGCGACCACGTTCATAAAAGGCTTTGCCGGGCTCTGTGCCACGTTAGGCATCGTAACGTTGGTATAAGGCTCAAAAATGGTATTTGAAATCTCAAAAATCATCAATAACAACAGCCAACAAATGTCCAACCTCAATTTTTAACCGAAAAGGCCGTATCTGGCCGCCTGTGATTATTAGGGGGCAGAGATTGTCTAAAATCACATTTTATAGATAATGCTGTTAGATTTTTCACTCACATTCTTCCAAAATGCTCTTTTTGACCTTCCCCCAATGACAATAAAACCTATTTTTCAGATGAGGGTAATTTCTCTACTTCTACTGGCCCTCTTCGGGTCCTTGTCGGCGGTGAAGGTCACAAATCTGCAGCGGAATCTCGATCTGACCACTCAGGTTGACTTTGCCAAGAAGTTCTGATGCTAAATGCTCGGTTTAGGTGTTGAAAGGCTCTACCGAAATCACCTACGAGGCCGATGCCGCTACGAAAGATGTCCTATTCACGCTGTCCAGCGCAGAAGCGGAAAAAGTCTCGATCTTGACGGCCGGAGAAGCTGGATCCAAGGAAGAGCCGAAACTGAAGGTGCGTTTGGCGTCTAGACATTTGGAGCTTGATTGGCTCCTGAGCTGGCCTGTTTCCGAAACGGGACCTAATTTTTGCCCATAATGATTTGCTCGAAAGCTACTTTTTTCAGTTCGTCAAAGAGGCCGCTACCACCAAAGGCTTCACGAATTTCAAGATCACTCTACCCAAAACGCTCGAAAAGGGAGGCAGCATCACGTTAAAGGTAACTCCTTTGCGGGAAAACTTTGAAAACGTCGATTTAGATCGACTATCAAGTGACGCAGCACCTCACCCCGCTCCCGGCCAAGATCACTCAATTGGAGAACCAGTAGGTAGAGCGAGGTATTCTTATTACCGATCTTAGGTTCTTCTACTATGACGGAAGCGCCATCAGCCCCAGCGCGTACCCAGTCGTCAAGCAGAAGACCGTTATCAAAATCCCGTCGGGTGGAAAGCTGCAGAGCTATACCAATGTAAGAAATGTTTTTAGTGAGCTCAAATGCTTTAGGTTGCCCCAAGCTCGAAGGAATCCGCCGGTGTTTCGTACGGTCCCTATGAGAACCAGGAGGCCTACACTGAGGTATTATTTAGATTTATTTAGAAAGAACTTCTGAAAATGTATTTGTGAACTTTTCGAGCCAGTGATGATAAAATTATTCCAGGAAGTCGAAACAGGAAGAAGTAAAAAAAAGTTTATTGTAATAACATTTATACTTTTTCTAGAAATTCATCCGCGTCCACTTCGAAAACAACAGTCCCTTCATCGTGGCTACTCGCGTATGTATTACAAATCATTCCCAATTGTTCTCTTTAGGTGGAGCGTCTGATCGAAATTTCGCACTGGGGAAACATTGCCGTTGAAGAGCAGATCGAGATCATCCATCGCGGCGCCGCTCTTGATGTAATTTCCGAGGCTAGGGATTATATCAATTCTTTCTTTAGGGCTCCTTCTCGCGCTTGGACTTCCAAATGGATCGTCGTGGCCCAAAGATGCCGGCGCTTCAGAAATACAGGGTAGGAATTTCCCCGGAGAAACCTGTAACAAAATTTCAGACCATCCTCCCGGCTGCCGCCAAGGACATCTACTACCGCGACGTTATCGGCAACATTTCGACCTCTGATGTGCGTCTGAAGCGCGACAGCGTCGAGGTGGAGATCAAGCCCCGGTTCCCGCTGTTCGGCGGATGGAAGACGACCTACACCCTTGGCTACAACCTCCCCTCCAGCGAGCATCTCTTCAAAAAGGTAGCAGCTTATATTGGTTCGCTCAAATTCTGTCTAGGGATCGAATTTCGCGCTCAAGATGAAGCTGTACGACCATATCATGGACAACCTGGTCGTCGAGAAATTGGCCGTGAAGATCGTGCTCCCCGAAGCCACTTCGTGAGTACTTTTAGAAGTTGCTAGTTTGCCTTCATTTTTAGAAATGCCAAGATTGTCACCCCCTACTCCGTCGAGCGCCGTCCGGACGAGTCGATTGCCACCTATTTGGACACCACCGGACGCACCGTGATCGTCATTCACAAGGAGAATCTCGTCGATAGCCACCTGAAGCCTTTCACGGTATGAAGAATCCCGCTTCCATTATTCGGACATTTAGGTTTACTACGACTTCGAGTACATCAACCTGCTGCGCGAGCCCCTGATGGCCACCGCCTTCTTCTTTGCCCTCTTCTTCGTCATTATCATCTATTCTCACATGGACTTCACTATTGTTCATGTGAGTTTTTTATCAAGCAAAAAAAAAATATTTTTTAGCTCTGGCAATTTCCTTTTTTCAGGATCCATCCCAAGAGGCCAGGGACAAAGCCCAGGGCTCCATTGACGAGATCCAGGATCTGGTCGAGCGTCGCCTGCGCACCTACGATCACGTCTCCGAGGCTGCCCGTCTATTCAAGGTGGATTTTTGTTAATTATTTAGCATTTCTCCTTTTTAAAAAAAAAAATATTAAATTTTTTTTTTTTAAAAAAAATTAAAAAAGAGGGTGTAATTTTTTTTAAAAAAAATTATTTAAAAAAAAAAAAAAAAAAAAAAAAAAAAAAAAAAAAAAAAAAAAAAAAAAAAAAAAAAAAAAAAAAAAAAAAAAAAAAAAAAAAAAAAAAAAAAAAAAAAAAAAAAAAAAAAAAAAAAAAAAAAAAAAAAAATAAAAAAAAAATTAAAATAAATTTTTAATATAATTTTTATAAATTTAAAAAAAAAAAAAAAAAAAAAAAAAAAAAAAAAAAAAAAAAAAAAAAAAAAAAAAAAAAAAAAAAAAAAAAAATTTTTATTATATTTATTTAATTTTTTTTTTTTTTTTTTTTTATTTTAAAAAATTTATATTTTTAAAAAAAAAATAAAAAAAAAAAAAAAATAAGACAAAAAAAAAAAAAATTAAAGATTTAAAAAAAAAACAAAAAGGAGGAAATAAAAAAAATAAGGGAAAAAGGGTAGGCTTCTCGCGACGAAGATGCCCTTGCTGCCGCCAAGGCCAAGGCAGATGCCACTCGTGCTGAAATTGCGGAGAAGCTTGCGAACACCCTGGCCAGCCTCAAGTCTCAGCCATCCCTTTACGAGAAGGTAAATTTTAAATGGATTTGTTTTTTAAATTTGTCAACTAGCAATCATATCAAAATCCTACGTTATTGGCGAATGATCAAAACGTTTGACATTTAATATTTTTTGTGAACTTTCTTTACGGGCGTCGAATGCTATATAAACAATTTTTATTTCATTATGGGAAGCTGGCACGGCTTATCTTTATTTCTTCCAGGCTATTGGCCTCTCGCAGAACGACGGCCATATGAAGGATTCTGAAGCCACCTACTTGGCTGCCGTGAAGAAAAGTCAGACCAAGGATGGCCCCGAGGATAAGGCCCACGCCGCAAAGGTATTCTATTCTTATAATCGGGTTAACTTTCTGAACTTTAGCTTGCTGAGGGACGCGCCCGAGCCGAGAGCATCCTGGCCGCCCTGTAAACGGAAGGGGGGCTAGGCCGCACTCGCCGAGGAACGCACAACCAAATCCACAAGTACCACCCATCTCTGTGATCTTCAGCCAAATCGCTGTCATTGTTTTTTCTATGGGTTGTTCTGTTTTTATCCGCCCCGCATTCCCCTAACTTATCTTTTCTATGGGTAAATTAGTTTTAAAGCGCACACCAAATCACGTGGTTTTCGTCTCAATCTGTTGACAAATTTTCTTGTTCTTGCTTCAGGTAGTGTATCCCTTTTTTGTGGGGTTTGACAAAACAATTGTTATTGGCGCAATAAATTATTATTCATCGGAAGAAGTTGTTGGTCGGAAAACACATTGATCATGGTCACTTGGTACATTTATGGGAATTGGGACAAGCTCGAGAAACGGCTAGTTACAGGGTTTTTGAGTCGGAGCATGCTTCGCGCTTGCTCCAGCCTACGTGCAGTAGCTAGGTTTGCTTCGGAGGACATAAAGAGGTAATAAAGATATGTCTAAAAAAACTTGCTGCCTAGGAAAACGTTTGTGAGCGCTAACGGCCTGGTTGTTGCCTGGCATCCACCGTCGACGTTCCCTTTCGAGCACACGAAGCCCATTGATTTGCAAGCGCTGAATCCTGATAAGGTAAGTGAATGGGTAATTGCAATGGTGATAGCGCAACCGGTGATACTACTTTCTCAGTTTCCACCGAGACGTTCGATAAAATAATAATTTTAGGAGGAAGGCCCACTGAAAGAAGGCTCACTTCAACAACGCCCACGAGCCCCCGTCAACGCCGAGCTCAAGGAGATTTTCTACACCACCAAGCACGAGTGGTACACAAAGTCGGTCGAATTTTCTGTAAATCTAATTCTCTATCTAATTTTCTGTAAATTTCTGTAATTGTATTCTAATTTATTTCAGAACTCGCGAACGACGCCTGCGTAGCGTTGCGGCACAGCCACCCAAGAAGAGATCGGCCTAGTCGCCGTGCAATGCTTCTCACTACACGTCTTTCTTCTATCCAAATAATCCGCCCCGGTCTCGTCTCCTACGCTCAAGGCCTCCTTCTCCAAGAGGATTATATAAAGAAAGTCGCCGAATCAAAGGACAAACCATATTCTAGGTGGGTTTTTATTTTTGTTCTATTTTGGACGCGCTTTCGCGTAAATTTTTCTGATTTATCTCGCCATTTTCAGCAATTATCTTCTCTGCCTCGAACATTCCCCTGTTTATACAGTCGGCATTCGCTCCAAGGTTTATTCCGACGACGAGGAGAAGCATCTCAAAAGTTTGGGCGCAGATTTTCATAGGTATTTATAGACCTTTCGATCGTATTCCATGATTTTTTAGAACTAGTCGCGGCGGTCTAATCACTTTCCACGGTCCGGGCCAGCTGGTGGTATACCCGATCCTAGATTTACGGCGCTTTTCTCCCCGTCGTTTTGGCGTACGGGTAGGGTTTTTGGGATCGAAAGGACGCATGTGAATTTAGGCTTACGTTGATGCCCTGGAACAGGCAGTAATCGACTGTGTCAGCGAGGATTTCAATGTTTCGGGCGTCGGGCGCAGTCGGGACAACACAGGTTATAAGAGTTTTCCTTTCCTTCATCTAGGCTTTAGGCGTCTGGGTGGGCGACAACCGTAAGATATGTGCCATGGGAATTGCCGTGAAAGAGGGGATCACTTCGCACGGGTTGGCCATGAATTGCAACACCGATCTCCGCTGGTTTTCCCATGTTGGTGTTTTTTGGATCGTTAGAAGGCTTTATCGGTTCTTTGGCATTATCGGGGGTCCGAACTTTTTGCATAAGTCTAGAAATCTCTAGTAACTTAACAGAAGTGTTTCAATAGCTTTTTTAGTAAAATCCAACTATATTTCAACTAGAAAAGCTACCTACAAATTTAAAGGCTCAAATAGGCGAAATTTTGGTCGAAAGACGGATATTTTCGATACTATGTAATAATGATTGTAAAGCTTTTACGTTTAGGAATAGTGAAAAACGGTTTAGAAAAGCGTTCACTAGTTATATTTGAAAAATTATCTCCTAAGAAAAAAATTGGTTCCCCGATAAGGCTCCCCAATTATCTTTCCGTTATAACTGCCATTACAGATTGTCGCTTGCGGTATCCACGGCGCTGAGGCCACATCCCTTTCCAGAGAAACGGGGAGTGACGTCAGTACAGATATGGTAAGCCTTTTTTTCCTTTTCCTGAATACCCTTTTTCAGGTCATCCCGCTCTTCGCCGCCCGGCTGTCCCACGTCTTCGACTGCTCTGTAGACGAAGCCTCGCCCGTGTCCCATATTTCCAATAGCTGATCTTAGTTAGTGCCTGTAGGTCGTTTGCTCATTTGTTATCATCTTCCCCGTTGTTTTTTGTGTGGAGTTACCACGTGGCTTTATCAAATAAAAGGTGTACTAAACATACAAGTCAATCGAAATTAGTCTACAAGCGGGCAATGAGCAGAGCCAGCGGGGCGAGCACGGCCGAGATGACGGGGACGGTGGACGAGGCTCTGGTGAGCAGCGGGAGCAGCTTGAGCAGGCCAGAAGTCTGAAATTTCGTCTGACTTTTTGTGGGGGCTTTACTTACATTGAAAACTTTGTCGAGGAGTGTGTTCCAGGCGCTCTTGTTCTGGTTGAAGCGACCCTCGCCCTCACGGCCAACCTAAATAGGATTTAGTTTAATGTAATTCTACGGTGGTTTCTTATGACGGATTTAAGTTAAGTCACTGCTATCCAACCTTATTGCCGAATCCGGCGACATCACGGAGCAGGCCACCGATGCCATTCAGCGTTCCCCTTTGGGCTTCACCCACCAGAGGGCCGAGCATCTGAATTGTTCGTTTGAAATGTTGTGAATGCGCTTACGCCCTTTTGGGAATTGACGGCGGTCAGGAGATCTTTGACACGATTGACGTTGGTGAGCAGATCCTAGATAGGTTTATTTTCTAACTTTCCGCTGGAAAATGCCTTTTTTGCTGGCCTTTAAAAACTTGTTTTGTTTTTGACTGACTTACAGATTGCGAGCCGGGGATCAGATCTTTGATAGAGCTGAAATGGTTCCGGAAGAAATCGGCGTAATCGGTGGTGGTTCCTAAATATTTTTATTTATTTTTACTAACCATGAATAACCTGGAACGGACGCGTCCAGAATTCCGGCACTCGCCAAGCCGACCGTGCACGCAAACGCGATGAGGCCATATGCGCTGATAGCCATGGTTTTTGTTGGGCTATAAGTGTGTATGATTATGTTTTGTAATTGTTTCCAATGAAAAGTAGCCTTTAGAAAGAATTTAAAAAATTTAAAAAGAAGAATTGGGTTCTTTTGGATTCACGGGGGGACAACTTTTTTCTGTGTCTGTCTAGATTTTTTATGAATCGCAGCTAGATGCGTCTGTTTATTGTTTTTTTTCTGAACCGAAAAACTTACAAATGCTAATTAAAAAATTAATTTCAGATAGAAAAATTGATTTTTCGACCCAAAAGACGAAATTTTCGTATTTTTTAAAAGGGTTTCTAACCTTTCTTTGTAAGCTCTCTTAGCTCAAATATAGTGAAAACTTACTAAAAACAATATGAAAGCACTTTATATTCGATTACTAGGCGAACCTGGACCGCTAGAAAAAAAATTTGGTTTACTTCATCATAGAAATTTTGGGTGAATAGACCGCATTGAAAAATGCGGTCCCCTTTTCAATTGTCGGTATTTTATTGCGACGTTTTCAATTTTGCCATCTTGTGGCGCTGATTTTTGTTGTTGACGGGGTAGGGTTGTGAGGGAGGGGTGTACTGTCGCAGTGATGTCCACCCGGGCATACAGTGCATGGAAAAGTGAGAAAAAGTAGCTGCGGAAAATTATAAAAATTGGAAATTATTATCCTGATCACGTTTTTTGGGATCTGAATCACTCTCAAAAAAATTTTGAAATTCGGAGCGTTTTTAATAGTAGAATCGGTATGTTTTGAAGAATTCGCGTCGTGAACTTGACGAAGACGTTCCCCGAAACTTGGGATTTAGGTTTCGATCAAGCGTTTGCTTAAGCTTAGGAGGCTCAGGCTCAGCCCTGGGTTATTAGACTCCCGCCTAGCTTCTAAACATACTCAGACTCATACTCATGCTCAAAGAGCTTAGAGACCCCTTTCCTAGACATTTTTTTTTTGCTGTTTTCTAGGTAAAAAGGAAGCTAACATGAAAATTTTTTTCTTAGATTGGAAAATACTGAGTTTGATTTGTGAATAATAGAAGCTAGTAATTTGAGACCAAAAAGTTATTTTAGGCCGTTAAAAAAAACTTTTTTTTCCGGTTGCTGACTAGCGTCTTCCTAATCAAAACATAATTAAAAAATAGTAAAATCAAAAGCTTGGCATCGAAATGGCGAAATGCGGTCGCCGTTAACCGGGGCGGGGCAGGGCAGTAATGCGCTGTTTGCCGGCCCGGCATCTCGCCCGGGCGAGGGGGAGAGAGGCCGAATAAGATGGGGCTCACTGAAAGGAGCACGAACAGTTGGCCCTTGCTATCGAATAAACAACAGGGCTGACGGGGGAATGGGTCTACTTCTCTTTAGTCTGACTCAGTTGAAAGTATTTTTTGGGGAGCTGGTGGCGAAATGTCGAACGGGGGACCGATCATCGAATGATGAACGGGACGGGAGAATACGTTTTTTAGCCACTTCACTTCAAGGTCGCTTCCTGGGTTCTTTGAAAAAAGCGTTTTCGAACTGTCAACAACTTTTGGTACTGGGCTGTTAGCGGGGGGGTAATTTTTTCCCGTAATACTGTACGGCCGTATCACAAAATATAAACCATTTGTTTTAATAGTTCAAGAATTTTTTAATTAATTTAAATTATCTGGAAAATCATAAATATAGTATACACGTTGGTATCAATAAGCTTTAGGCTTAGCTTGGGCTTGGCTTAGGTTAGACTTAGGCTTAGGCCCAGGATTAGCTTCGGCGTAGGCAAATAGTAAATGTGATTCATAAATTCTCTAAAGGAATAAATTTAAGGCATAAAAACTTAGTGAACCTTGTATATAGGAGCGCGACGTTGTAAAAATCCTGGACTACGCCCTACTCCTAGAGTCGCTCCGATACTGTGGGATGAATGCATCTTTTGTAAACATTAAAACAAAACCTTTATCATCGGCGGGCTGTACACGAAATTTCGAAAGTCATTCGGGTTTGAGCGGGCAAAAATATCAAAAATAAACAGGAATTGAGCACCGGGGATAAATAGGAAATTCATATGCATCAAAAATCATCAAAAAAGAGAATTCGCAGGAAGCTCATCGGATTTTGGGGGGTCATGGTCGATAGGCTTAATGCAACGACGTCTTCCGCTCGAACAGCGACTTCAGCTTCTGCACGGGCAACTGCTTCTCGGCGTGCAGACCGTCTACCGGGTCCCAATGGAGCGACTCGACCGAGCCTGCGTCTTCTTCACCCTCGACGCCCTCCTCCTGGAATTTTGTGGCGTAATTGGTTCTGGTCAGCATTGAGCCGTTTTTTTTATAAAAAAAGCAAAAAATTGAGCAATGGTCATCGAAAAGTATTAGTAAAAATGGATCTGGGAAAGTTTGACAGCTCTTTCAGGCTGATTTTTTGCTGATACGATGCTTTCGTGTTATCGGGAGCTAGACGTCTTAATGCTCAACGGCTTAATACAGATATAAAGCAACTTTTCTGTCTTTTTTGGCAGTTTTCGTTCATTACAACCTTGTAAAAATGTTTAAACCTCTGACAGGTTTTCGGCCAGTTGGCGTTTTTATTATGCCATTTTCGATTTATACAGCTTTTCTGTATAGAAATAGTATCAAACCGTTTGGATTTGACTATTTACTTGTATTTCCCGGATTTTAGCCTTACCCCGGTATTTCTTGGGATAAAAGTGTTATTTTACGGGCTTTTCAAGGGCTGGGTTCCGAGTGGAAACGGGGAAATTTTGCGTGCAAAATCATGGGGGAAAAGTCGGGAATTTGTTGGGGGGTTTAAATTTAAAATGGTTACGTCTTCCTCGGCGATCTCGTCCTCCTAAAATTGGATGGTTTTTGGTAAATTCAAGTGTTAGAAAGCGGAAGACGGCACTGACCACCCAGTCGGTCATTGCCGGCGCGTTGTCGAGCGTGTTGCGCCGTCCCTTTTGGTTGGCGGTGGTGATGCGTAGCGCGCGACGTATCCGCTTCCGCGCCGACGCCATTTTTGACGGGGATGAGGATTTGCCTTCCTGGAACGGCAAATCGGTTATTTTACCAGCGCTGACCCCCCGCTCCGCGGGGGTTCAGCGCTGGCCCTCCCGGGGGGTAATAAATCAACATCCCATACACCGAAATCCCGAAATTCCGAAATCCCGAAACGCCCCGGCTCCCGGACCCGTCCGAACCGGTCCTGGGGTCCCGCAGCGATCCGGTCGGACGGGCGGACGGGCGGGCGGACGGGCGCACGGACATTAGAAATTTATATATACTCTGAATTTTGGACAATCCAGTTTTCACAGCGGAAACAGCTAAACAACGAAGGTCGGCCGGCTACGGCATAATTCAAATGACGGAGCAACGTAACGAGTAGCATAACGTACCATCTCGTTTGTCTAATCAATTTATTTAACAGGGTAAAATCCAGATGCTTAGCAAAATAAAGTTTTTAACTTTTCATTTATATTTTATCGTTTTCAGCGTACTTTTGTACCCATGTACCGAAATTTTGTTGCGTCCCGGATGAATTTCACCAAAATTTGCTTTTATCTCGAAAATATGAGCTCGGACGGAAAAACAAGACATATATTAGTAACCTACGCAAAAAATGGCATCGTTTAGTAATTTTTTCCTGCCGTATTTGAAGTAGAATTTGGCCAAAAATGCTTCGATATTAAGGTAAAAATCTTCTAAAGCTAACTCCTCTTAGGGCTACGGAACGATTTTTATGATTTTGGGCTTAAAAGATGCGGAATGACCTGTTCTACAATTCGTCCCGTTTGGATTTCCCCAATAACGTCGAAATTTTTTTAAATCACGATTTTTGTACAAACACCCTTGCATTTTTGGAAGGGGCCGCTGTCTATGGCGTGTGTCGACCGCGCCCTATAATCTGTCCCCGCCACCGTCCCCCAGCCCAGCGCACAGACTCTCAGAGGTCCCCAGAGTGTGAGAGACGCAGAGATTTTTAGCGTTACGCTGCCAAATCCTTCGTTGCAGTTTTAAGTAAGGGTGTATCGGCTGTGGTTTTGCGTTTTGTTTTCCGAGACTTTACGGATTTTTACAACCGAAAATAACACACTCCGGAGACTACTAAAGCATCGAAAGTTTCCATTTTTCTACCTGAAAATGGCCTTCGTAACGCATTTTTTTGGCAGTTTGGAGCTCCTTTAAAGTCCAGAACTGTCCAACAACGTAATAACAAGTTTTTACTATGTTTTTCCAAAATTAGCAAGATTTGAGGTAGAAGAATTATCTAAAAAACTTTAAAAATGTTTAAAAATGCGAAAATTGGGTCGAAAATCGGCCATTTTGGAGCCGAGTGGTCGTTTTGGTATTTGTGTATTTTTCCATGAAAATTTGTGACGTTTTTGCGCTTAGAAAACTTAAAAAACGGCTTATTAAAATAAAAAATATTGTAAAAAATAATCAAATCCAGAATTAGACGCTTTTTTCGGGCAATTAATGGTACAAAGTTATTGCCTACCGTCAAGTCATCAGATTGTATCGTTTTGTCCATAATCTGTGGGTGCGGCGTTTGTATTCGGATGTTTTTCGTTTCGACCTAAATCGTTTTTCGCCCATTATACCGATTTTAGCTGACCGCCGTCGACGTTTCCGCTTCCGCATACTCGTAAATATACGTCTGGATCTCTTGCTCGTTCGTTTGAGAACGGGGCGTTTGCGAATCATTTTCCTGAAAAATTCTGCCATGTACAAATTTCTGCAAGCGTCTCCAAGCAAAAGCTACAAAACACACAAATCACGCCTCAAAAAAAAACTGCGCTAATAGAGATTACTACGAGAAAATGGAACCTTGGTCTCCACGCGGTTTTCCTCCTAAATAAGTGTATTTATGGCGGGTGCTTTGGCATTACCGGGGGTGATCCGGGAAGCCTAGATCGGCATAGTAACGTAATGGAAAATTTTGCCATGAATTTTTAGTCAAATTTCGTGATGTTTGGAGTGGCAATTGATTTAGAAAACGTGAAAAGGTTAGAATTTCCGATTTTGGCCGGTTTTTGGAGGTTTTAATGAATGTTGATTCAAAAAAGACAATCCTGTACGTTCCGACAAGTTAATAGGGCATGTTTCAACGTTTTTAATAAGAACCTTAGCTAGAGTTCAGGCGGAAAAGTATTTAGAAAACTTGAAAATGGTTAAAAATTTTACTTTTTGTTGAAAAATGGGTATTTTATGATGTTTTGTAATTCGCATACCGATGTTCTAATTTGTGGAGTAGATGTCTCGGCCTCAGTATAGTGACGGACGGTCGTTTGAGTTTCAACGACGCAGCCGACCACCTGATCCGTTTGTTGTTCGCGTTCCTGAACAGGAATATTTGAAAATTAATGTGGGGATACTGTAGATGGTGTTTTTTCCGTAGCGGGCCCCTCGGTTTGGGTGGCATCGTCATCGACCTCGATCTCCTCGGTTTGCTCGCTTTGATCTTCGCTGAAAATTGGGGAGGTTTTGGTGGCGTCATGCATCCAAAACCTTTTGCTATCATGTTGTCGAAATTACATTTTATCGAAGTTCAATTTGTCGAAATTCGTTTTGTCGCAATTTTATTTTTGCGAAATTTTAGTACGCATCGAAATTTGCGAAATGTTTGAAATGAAAAATCGAGACAGAAAGGCATTGCATTTCAACCGAATGTTATTTCGGCAAAACGAAATATCGCAAAATTAATTTCGACAAATTTCGATGAAATCTGGAGAAATTTCGACAAAATGACTCTCAACAAAAACTTACGTAAGCAAGATCTCTGTTTGTGTATCGGCGTCATGGCCAAGGAGTCCACCCATCGATGCCATTGAGTTAGTCATGGCCAACGACTTCTGTTCGGCCACCTCGAGTTGCTGAAATAGAAAAATAAATGCTTTTTGGTAAAAGGCATCGGGGAAAGGGGGTTTGGGGATTTTTGACAAAGGGACAGTAAAGCTTGCCATATACGAAAAAATTCAACGAAAATATCTGGTTTTTATAGAATTTCCTGCTTTTTTTGAATTTAGGTAGTGGTTTTTTACCTATTTTTTTTGGCTTTAGCGTCCCTTTAAAGGTATGGGAAATTGTTCTCGCGGGGAAATTTTTGGAGGGTGGATTTGATAATAAAAGAAGACACAGGGTACACGCCACGCCAGGAAAACGGTTTGAAATTGAAAATCCGGACATTTACGCTTTGCGAGCGTAGGCTCATCCGCTCCGACGCCTGCCGCTCCAGGATTGCAATCTGTTAATCGAGCTTTCTATTAACTTCGCCAAACTTTCAAGTCTTGAAACGATTTTACGGAAGCTCCAAAGCCAAAGAAACCGCAGCAAGATGATTAAAATAACTTTTTCAAAAACATACATGTTTCTCGACCATGGCCTCCAACTCTGGCGGCATGGGAATATCCTCGTCCGGCTCGCCCTTCTTCTAAATAATTTTTAGAGTCTACATTCCAAGAAAATTTCAAACCGAGTGTGTCTGCTCGGCGATTTGGAGGATTTTCGGCATGCCCGTCTCCAGGTCGACGTCTTTCAGGATGGGCGGGATCTAAAAAAGGTGTCATGACTTCTGACTTGCTAATAAAAGGTCGTATTTATAATGTAGAAATGTCGAAATGTACGAGTTTTATAAATGCGGAATTTCAAAACGTCGAAACGCCTAAATTACAAAATATAGAATTTCTCGAATAAAAATTTCGGAATATTTCAAGAAAAAGAATTTTGATAATGTCGATATTTCAAAATTTCGTAATTTTATAATAGACTTGGAATTTCGATATTTCTTTTGAACATAGCCTTTTTTAGAATATCCTAGAAAAACGTCGGCATTTCGAGAAAAAATCCATTTTTTTGTGAATTGCTTACCTCAATTCCCTTCTTCTGCGCCTCAACCTCGACCTTTTCCATCGCCGTGCGTTTCATTTCTTTTCTAGAAAAAGGTCCATAAGTTTTTTACGTACGGTTATAGGCAGTTTAAGGCCTATAAAACAAACCCTAAAAGCGGCATCAGCAGTTTGGCGGTTTTGTTGTTGCCCCACATTCGCATCATGCCCATGCTGGCGCCCTAAACAAAGTTTAGTTTAGTTAAGTTAAATTTTATGGTTTTAAAAGTTAAAAACTACCTTTCAAAATTGTAATATATTTGTAATAATATATTTAAAAAATAGGTTTAGCTTTTAGCAATTAAAAACAGACCTTTGGATCCCCGCCGGCGGCCATTTTCTCCTGATACTCCATGATCAGCTTCATCAAGAAGGCCATGTACATCTCCTCGATGGCCACCTGGGAGTTCATTAAAGCTTCAATATGACGGAAGCGCTGACCTGCACGACGTTGATGGTCATCGACACGAGGGAGAGACCGACGATCACGAACACGAAGCATAACACCATTTTTCTAAAAAATTGGGTTGTAAAAAGTTGGTTTGAAACGAAAATACTGGGCTTTTATCGGGGGGGGGGGGGGGGGGGGAATTATTTTCAAACGGAATTAAAATAGCTTCTACAATATATTACTCTATTAATACTTCCTTCCCCCCGCTAACAGTCCAGTACCAAAAACGATGGAAAAAAACTGCGAATTTTTTAGCAAACATACCCCCTATGGGCGACGGCGATATCGCCAAGTCCAATGGTGGAGAAGGAGATGAACATGAAGTAGCACGACTCGCCGTACGTCCAATCTTCCCACATCGGGAACAGGGCCGAGCAGAAGAAGATCCACCCGATCGTGATCCCGAGGGCCACCTAAAAGTTGAAAATTTTGACGAAAAATTGTTGTATTTTTTTGTAAAATAACAATATACCTTCACGCTCATTCTCGGCATTTTCTCCTCCTCTTCAAGCAGTTCATCGAGGTCGTCTTCGCTGTAAAAGATGTCTTGAAAAGGTTCAACTCCTTGCAAATTGGGATGGGTGGGTGCAAAAAATGGGGATAGGGCTATCAACTAAAATGTTGTAGACTGCTACAAAATGCTACAAACCCGGTGTCGATCGTCTCCTTGGTGAAGCTAAAAGAAAAACGAGCGTTTTAGACCCATAAAAATTGTTGGTACTGGACTGTTAGCGGGGGGCACTTCCCAGTACTGTACCCCCGCTAACAGCCTAGCACCAAATCCCGCTCAAAACCTACCGATCCGAGTTGGTGCTCCCCATCTCGGAATGATTTGACGTGATCGACTGTGCTTCTCCCCGTTCGGCCGCCTCGACCTCATCTACCCGAATATCCACCCGATTCTTCTTCTTTCCGGTGAATATCCGGAATATGCCGAGGTAGGCCCACGCATCGTCGACGCTCTGCAAACGGGGGTGAACTTGCTGAAGTCGGGCGCCTTACCTTGACACACCCGTTGATGCCCTGGTAGAGGAACTTGCCGAGATCGGTGAGCGTGATGAGCATAAGTGGGATGCCTGGATAGGGATTGAAAAGTGGAATTCCTTGAATTACCGATGCATGAGTAGATGACGGTAAGGATACGGCCGGCTGTCGTCACGCAGTTTACGTCGCCGTAGCCTGAAAAAACCCAAAAAAATTTTAATAAAACAGCAAATCGTACGTTCGTGCTTGTTTATTAAATGCCTTAAAAATACCGATCTTGATCAAAAATAATCAAAAATGATCAAAAATTACAAGAATATCGATTCCCGACGAAAAATTGACGATTTTTACTAAACCCTCGAATTAAAAGGCGTTTACATAGTTTTTATCTACTTTCCTTCGTTTCTATTCATTTTAAATTGCTCCAGAAAAGTCGTACTGTCTTCATGCTCAAGGCAACCGGCTCGGTTCTGGTGCTTTAGCGGGGGGGGATAACGGTGGAGAGGGACGTTCAGTGTCTCAGATTTTTCAGGTTTTACTCTTCGATTTTCGCTATTTTTCGCATTTTTTTTTCGGCAGGATCGGAACCAGGATTAAAAGCTATGCCCGAAAAGTTCATTATCGATTTTTTAGAAATTTTTCCACTATGTTATAATTTAAAATTGCGGGAGAAAATATAATCCAAAAATACCCCCCCCCCGCTAAGGAACCAGAACCAGCGGTTTTGAGGCAACCAGTGTCGCGTATTTTGGCGCCAGTAAATCATCCTTCTCCTCCTCCCCCTCCCCACCTCGATCCGTCAAACGGGCTATTTGTTCGCCAACTTTTCCCCACTTTTTCGATTGGCCCCAAAAACGATTGGGGCCCTCTGATTGGGACCAAAATGTCCCAGCATCCCCCAAGCGTTTCGGACCGAAAAGACAACTGTCCGCCCATTCACACCAGATCAGCCGCCGCCGGGAAATTATGTGTGGCGAGGGGGGCCCGGGGGCCCCCCCAGCTGGGCCATTTCCGGCGATTGATGGCCATGCACGGTGGGCCCTCTGCCTGGAGTTTCTTCTCCCCCAAACCGTTCTGCACGTTTCTGGGGACACGTGTTTTTGCAGGGATTTTGGTTCAAAATGGCTTTGATAAAGCGTTTAACGCACGCCTGACTGAATTTCCATTGCGTAATTCATCCAGTGTATTCCAGTGGCGCGCGTTGCGTGTCGCGGCGCCCGACGAAAGCGGAATCGATACATCTGTATACGGCATCCCTAGTGATGTATTGCAAGTCTCTTGAAAAAATTCCTTCCGCTTTCCTCCAGCGCTGCTGTTCATTATCCCAACTTTTTATATTTTTATGGCTTTGTTCCGCTGAGCTAACGGGTCTCGAAATGAAAAGCTCGGCTTCGTTTTGAGTTTTCCGCAAAAAAACTTGATGGGCCCTTGCGTCATGTGTGGCCGGCGTTTATGACAGTTGAGAGAGGGTGGGGATGGGAGGTCAGGGGATGAACATGTGACTCCTAGGGGGCTATGACATGATCGGCATATGAAAACAAAGGAGAGAGAGCGAGAGAGAGAGAAAGAGAGAGCGAGAAGGAGAGGGAGAGAGAGACTGCGCGAGTTAGAGAGAACAAGACAGACGTTACGTTACGCTACGTTACACTACGCAACGCTCCTTTGAACATAAAACGGTGGTTTTTACAAAATTTTGCTGATTGTTAATTTTTTTAGTAGTGCTTAAGCCCGATTTTACAGTCAATCGTTCTTGAAACATACCAATCGTTGTAAACAACGTTCCGGCGTAGTACATGGCCGTCGCCAAATCCCAGGAAGTCTCGTTTTTCACGGAAAAATTAATCTGTAATCTAACCGTGTCAAAAGGGCCTGGAAACTTTTTTTTTAAAAGATAAACCGACCGAGCGTATATAAAGCCTTACTTAAACCATACCTCTTTATGAAAATGATCGATGGCTTGCGTCAGCGACATTCGGCGGGCCGGCCGATTGCGAATGGCTCGATCGGCTGAAAATGGGCTTCGGTTAAGCTTAGACTTAGCTTTGGCGTGGGCTCGGGCTTAGCTTAGGCTTAAGCTTGAGCCTAAGCGTCAGCTTTGCTTTAGTTTCAGCTTAGGCTTAGCTTCGGCTTAGCTTCTGCTCAGTCTTAGCCTTGATTTGGGCTTCGATTGAAGCTTATGTTTAAGCTTAGCTTCGACAAGTTTAGCTTCGACTTAAGCTTAGCTTCGGCTTCGCTTAAGCTTAGACATAGGCTTTGTGCTCGAGCTCAGGAATAAGCTGAGCTCAGGCTCAGAATTCGCTTTGGCGCAAGCTTAAACTTAGCCCAAAAATACACATGCCCAAAGATGACGATCGAAACGATATCGAGGAAAAAAGAAAAAAAGGAAAATGAAAAATCCGGGCCATCCTCATGCAAAAAATCTCGGGATTTTCTACTCGCTATCTCTAGACTCTCTCATTCTCTATTCGTATTTATATGGGGGGAATCGAACCGAGGGCTCTGAACCTTTCGATGGAAGGAGCATGAGGGGCCTTCGCCGGGATTGTCTATCTGAATTTAGGTAAAAAGACGCCTTCTAAATATTAATAAAAAGAAATTCGCAAAAGCATGGCAAGCAGTGTTTGGTACTGGGCTGTTAACGGGGGCTTTGGGAAGGGCAAACTAAATTTTGCGCTTAATACTCAATATAAAAAATTCTAATAGTGTTTATACAAGTTTAGTTTAAAAACTCATGAAATGACTCTAAAAATTTTCGTTTTTGACTTTTTGTTCAAAAATGTATAAAACATTTACCAAAAATGTTCGAATTTTCAAAATGTTAACTGTTTTTTTGCAACTTGCTAGCGTTTAAAACCTCTAAAAACATCATAAAAACCGGGAAAAACAAAAATTAATTTCCCTCCCCTGCTAAAAGCCCCCCCGCTAACAGTTCAGTACCGCAGTTTTCATGCTACAGTTTCTATCCTTCATTCTCTTCTGTCATTCTAAAGGACTGATTACCTCGCAGAAGGGCGCGATCTGGAAAAGGATTTTTGAAAAGAAAACGGAAAAAAGGGATAGGAGAAGGATGGGTAAATTATAGGAAATGAAAAAGGAAAATGCCGTACCGACAATCTCTTCGAATCGGCGCATGAGAAGCTCTTTTTCGCGTCGATAGTGTGCGTATTCGTTGGCTATCCGCCGAGAATCCGAAGGGCCCTCCAGCCAAAGGAAGAAAATCGCGCCTGGAAATTAGTTATGGGCTTGTATAAACCAAATTAAATGCATCAATTTGTGAATTAATAACTACCTAACGAAATAATTAAATGCATAAATTTTGTAACAAAACTAATCTCTGATTTCCCACCAAATTTCGAACTTAAATTTTTTGGGTGATTTTTAGAATGGGTGATTTTGAGTGTAACCAAATAAATTTCCTAGCAGTTGATATTTAAGTTTTCTTTGCGATAAGTCTACAAGCAACAAATTTCATTAATTGCGTTAAACCTATCTCAGGGGGTAATTCGTTAAATTGGCCTCGTTTTGAATTTAATTTTTTTTGCTTATTTTTTATTGGTCCGTTTATCGATTAGATTTGCTAGAGACCGGCTTCTATTCCATGTCGTAATGAGTTGGACTCACCAACAAACATGTAGATCATAATGAAAACGAGCGGGTTAAGGTATTTGATGTTGTGCCGCTTGTAGAACGCCTTCAACCGCTGCCGCCAGTCGGCCGGCGGTTTCGGGATTTCCGCGATTTTTTGTTTTCTAAAACGAGGTGAAGTTTTATCATTAGCGTTATGTAGTTCGAGGATTTATGATGGGATTCTCTTACAATTGTTGTACAGCTCTGGATGGGTCGACGCCGGATCGGGTGCCGGTCGACTGTTTTCGACTGTTGGAGCCATCGGTCTAAAAACCACAAAAAATGTGGTCCAGGTATTTTGTTGTTAATATATCACTCGCTCTCTCTAACTCTCTCTCTCTATCCGTCTCTCTCTCGCTCTCTCCATATCTCTCGCTCTCTCGTTTTCTCTCCATCTCTCTCCCTCGCTCTCTCTCGCTCTCTCCATCTCTCGCTCTGTCTCTCCATCTCTTTATCGCTCTTTCTCGCTCTCTCTCGCTCTCTCCATATCACGCGACCTCTCGATCTCTCTCTCTCTCTCTGTCTCTCGCTCTTTCTGTCTATCTCTCTCCCGCTCTCTCTCCCGCGCTCTCCCGCTCCCTCCAACCTAGTTGAAGTAAAGATTTATAAACTCGTCGATTCCGCACCTGTACTTTTAAAAGGTCCTGTGAGCCCGTACTGCTGCGTAGCGAAGAGCCGAGCCCGCCGGGCGGCCTGGCCGACGAGGTCGCGTCGCCTCGTCCGAACAGCAGCGGCATCTCGTCGGGTTACTGTAAAAATTTACATATGACCGAAGATGAATATAAGTTTTAAGGCGCTTTGGCATTATGGGGGGGGCGGGGAATGGGCCCATCACGTAATCGATCAAGACACCGCTACGATTAATTTTAGAGGCGGTCCATAGTCAAAAATTCTTTCCCAATCCCACCAGCCGTTGGGCTCATCTGTTTTGCGCTCGCTTGCCGCGCACAAGACCCGGGTTCGACCCCTGGCCGTGGCAAGACGTTTTGCTTTTTCATCAAAGACTGGGAGTTGAATTTTTGTTCATGACATCCACCCACCTGTCCCCCTTACCTATCAGAAACAGAGCTTTTCTTACCCTCCCCTTGTCGCCTCGTCAATACCCGGCCGGGCCGTTGTCTTGGTGGTTCAGTAACGGAATCGTTGTCCCGGTTCTTCGTCCTCCTTCTCCTTCTTTTCGTGGCGGGACCCCCAGGCTAGATCCGATTTCAACACGGTCAAAAACCTCTGTGGGCTTCCCGCGGCCGTGTTTCACCCAGAAAATGGGGGTGTGGAGTAGCGCTAAAATGTTTTGAGGTGTTTAATGGGATACAGTGCATCATACAGTGCGGTAGAGTACGAAGCGAAACCAATGACGGCGTGAAATCTACGATAGCGAGGAACCAGCCAACAAAAAATCTCTTGATTTCGCCATCGTACGAGAAGCTTTTGGTTACCTATGGCATTTTTTGTGAATTTTGAATGGCCGCAGACCAAGAATGCCGACAGCGAAAATGTATGATAGACAGCCAGAATGTCGACATCACGAGAATGCCGAGTATTGAAAGAACCAGAGCTAAAATGCCGACAACGCTAATGTCGACGGCCAGAATGCCGACGAGCCAAGAATGCCGATAATTAGAATTCTGTGTTATTAATTATATATGATTTTCTTAATTATATTAATTTATATTAATAGCTGTGGAAATTTTGACAAAATTTCAACAGCCAGAATTTCGAGGAATCGAAAATGCCGACAACTGGGATACCGAGCGCTGAAGTTTGACAACGAAAAGGCAAAAATACATTTCAAGCAGGTTTCAATACCAAGCTCGCCCGTCGGCAAATTAAATGTCGGTATTTTGAATGTCGGGATTTCGGGTGTCGGCATTTGGGATGTCGGCATTCTAAAAACTCTAGAAGCAAAAGGCAGCTCTTTTAGTGGATTTTTCAAATAGCCTTGGATGAAAAGGTCGAAACTCCGGAACATCTACGAAACCACGAAAACTTCCGGAAACGTGACGACAGCACTATCAAGGGCAACAATCACGCGAGGGGCCCAAATCAATGAGTGTCAGATAAAGTAGGGAGCCCTAAGCGGTGCGAGCAGCTGAGAGCATCTCCTTCGCCTCGTTGTCAATGTGGCCAACAGCAGGAGGAGAAGGCAGGGGAGCCGGGGACAACTGGCCCAACCCCTTAGGGCCCATCTCCTTAGGGCCCATGCTCCCTGCTGGATGGCTCTCAAAAAGCGGGGTGAAAAACGATTTTCCATCAGACCTAACACAATGTTTCCCCCCGGTCGACCCTCGGGGAAAGGGCCAAGCCAATCGGGGGCTTTACGAAATATCGGACGGTTATTGGTATTTTAAGGATTACAGCTATAATCATGATAACCCGAATACCGACAGACAACAAAAATACCGCCAGCTAAAACCAGGATAAGCCAAAATACCGACACCAAAACCCTGACAAGCCGAAATGCCGACAGAAAGGTTCCGACAGCCATAATCCCGACAAGCCAAAATGCCGACAATCCCCAAAGGTAAAAATACTGACAGGGCAAAATCCTGGACGCTAGTTTCTATGTCGCATCCTTTTAAGTTGCTACTTTTCCTGTCGGGATTTAGGTTGTCAGGATTCTGATTGCCGGGATTTTGGTTGACGGGATTTTAGTCTAAAGTGACTTTGACTTGTTTTTGAAGCTGGCAAAGATGCTTGAGGAACTCCGAGGAAAACTATCCTTCAGGAACCCTTGCCGGAAGTGACTTTAGCTACAGTAATCCATCAAGAAAAAACTACCGTATACCACACTTTTAATAGGAATCATCGTTCTATTATAAATTATCCATATGCCGAACACCCTGAAAAAATGTAATAATAGTGTGGACATGGGGGACAAGTGGCTTTCAGAGGGCCCAGCGGATGGAAAGACTCTTTTTAGGCGATTTTGAAAGGGAGGGCCCTGAAGGCATAAAGACGGAGAGGGAGAGAGACCGAATGAGAGAGAGAGAACGAGAGATAGAGAGACAAAATGATCGAGAGAAAGAGGGGGAGGCGAAGGTGTAATCTGTGTTGCTCAATGCCGGCGTCTCTCCATCTGCCCCTCACTCTTTCCCCTTCTGGCCCGGAATGACGAACAACCTCCCGGCAGTGACTCGATCAACGGCCAAAATATACCTGGGTTTTTTGGCCCGTTGGAAAAGGGCCGAGATGGCACGCAGCCTTTAAAACCGCACTAAAAATGCGGTTGTAGGATTTGTCGGTTTTAGGCAGGGGTGCAAATTGTGGAGCTAATTTTGCCGATCGGGCACCCCCGATCGGCGTAAAAACGGGTATTCTGGGGTAGTTTGATGCGCTGAGTTCGAATTTGACACTCTTAGACTACAAATATTTCATTTTAGACTACAAACTACAAAAAGTCGAACATCGCCAAGTCACGCGAAAAACACCTTTCCGGGGTGGTTTTTGAATGAATGTTTCTGAATCCGAATATAGCAATTCCGCAACCCCTATATCGGCTCATTTCATGACTTGTAAGCCTCATTTGAGACAAGTCCGAGTGCTGTGAAACGGTCCCAGGCTTACAAGCCAGTCATAGAATTGGTCAACGGGCAACGCTTAGCAAGGTCGTATAGAGTGAAGCCCCGTATCTGGACTTGGCGATGTTCGACTTTTTGTAATTTGTAGCCTAAAATGAAATATTTGTAGTCTAAGAGTGCCAAATTGGAACTCAGCGCATCAAACTACCCCAGAATACCCGATATTACGCCGATCGGGGGTGCAGGATCGTCAAAATTTTTTTGACGCCTTTGGGGGTCATCAAACTTGACTAGCTCCCAATTTTTCAAGGAATCAATTTTTTACAGGCAAAATTTGGCAAGATTTTGCGTAATTGCAATTTTGTTTAATGATTTCCAACCCCCGGAATTTACCGGCTTTTGAGCCTCAACCTCAAGCCAAAATCGTTTTAGCGGTTTGTGTCGTGTTTTTGTTTGGGCCCTTCGAAGGGGTTAATCCGGCTTTTGTGGTAAAGTCCATTTGTCCTCGCCCCTCTCAAGTGTTGATAGGCTTCCCGTGTACTCGCATCTTTATTTCGGGGATTGTCCGGGGTTTCTGATGACCGCCTAGGTGTCGCCGTCCCCTTAGACGCGTCTCCTTCTGTGCTTGTCGTGAACGGCGTGGCGTACAGGGCAGTGACAGTACTTTCCGTCGTCTCCAGGAGGGCCGGGCGGGCCGTAACCTCCTTGGCCTCCGGGGGAACCGGCGGCTCCTGAAAACGACGAGGGTTATGAAAGACTCCCATTAATTATTTAACTAATTTGATCAAAATAATGGATTACGGTAGTCGAGTCAGAGTTTAGCAAGTCACTGCTATACTCTTAAATCTAAGTTAGACCCAGACTAGCCGTAGGCTTTAGCTCGCTTAGTTCTAAACTTGGCTTGGGCTTGGGTTTAGGCTTATTCTTGGCTAGGCTTGGCTTAATCTTAGTCTCGGCTTAGGCTTCACTCTAGGTTAAGCTTAGGCTTATGCTTCAGCTTAGCTTTCGAGCTCTGGGCCTAAGCTTGAGCTTGGCTATCGGATTAGGCTTAGATTAGGCTTAGCTTTGCCCAAACATAAGCTTACGCTGAAATTTATGCTTAACTTTGGCTTGCGCTTTACTTGGGCTTAGACTTAGCTTTAGTTCTATGCTTATGGTTAGGCTTGCCGGATCGGCTCAAAACGTTCCAGGAAGTTTTTCGTTTGAGTTACGTTTTCGCGCATTAATAATACCCAAAATCGCCACCCACCATCGTGACCGGGCGCTCCAACAGGTCCAGTCTCGCCCTGCTTTCCATGTTTTCCCGGCTCGCCGTCGAATCCGGTGAATCCGGGCTGTCCAGGGGGCCCGGGCTCTCCCGGCTCTCCAGGATCTCCAGGCTCTAAAGAGACCGTGACAGCACACAGACCAAAACATACCTCCAAGCACTCCCTCCTCTCCTCGTGGCCCAGGTGGGCCCTCGGCTCCCTGTGGCCCATCGGGTCCATTGTCTCCGGGGCCACCGGGTGATCCAGAGGTTCCAGGCTTTCCGGTGGTGCCCGGGGATCCGGGTGGGCCGCCCCGGCCGGATTCTCCCGGGTTTCCGGGCAGGCCGGGCGGGCCGCGGGGGCCCTCGGGGCACTTTCGGCACTCCGACTTGTGGGCCAACTGCAAGGAGGTTGAGCGGTTGACGATGTTCTTACCATGAAGAAGACGTTGGCAGCTGGGGCTCCAACACTTCCGGGTTCACCTTGATGTCCGGGGGTTCCATCAAGGCCGGGAGTACCGGGACGGCCGGATGGGCCAGCCGGGCACAGGTTGTTGCCGGAGCAGTCTGAAATCAGCGGAATTTAGGTTTTTTTCGAACGTCTTGGCGTTGACGAAACTCCTTCAAGCCCCCTTAACCCTCGGTTGGGTTTTTTTTTTGTCCCCGGGGGGGGGGGGGAAACACAAAACCCCCCCCCCCCGGCTCCCCCCGGGAGGCCCCCCCGCGGGGGGGACCACATTTAACCCGGTTACGCGTTCTGTTGAGCGCCTTGGAGTTGACGCTAGGCTACGGAAAAGGGGCAGAAACTCACGGCATTCCCCATTAGCATCGAGTCCATCCTGTGTCTGCCTCTTTGCCTTATGCGTGCTGGCGGCCGTCTTGCCCCTCGTGTCCATCAGGTCGTGCCAAATATCGGCCGACAAACGGTCGAACTCGTTCATCCCCCTGAAGATGGCGGGAATTTAAGGGGATC